TTCTTTCTCTTCTTTCTCTTCTTTCTCTTCTTTCTCTTCTTTCTCTTCTTTCTCTTCTTTCTCTTCTTTCTCTTCTTTCTCTTCTTTCTCTTCTTTCTCGTTAAAACTCTCCTTGGCGGAGGGTCCTCTCCATCTACGTACATATCGACAGAGTGCATGGCTGTAGGTGGCACTGATAAATGCACAAGAGCTTATAAGTGAGAATCTGATAGTCGTGAATACTAGAATTGGCAAGCAGCCGCTCAGTCCGACCTCATCCACTACATGGGAATGTCAACCTAGTGGAATATAGATACTGAAAATCAGATCTTCTGGCAAAATCGGCCCAGCTGTGATACAGATAAATGTGTTTAGATGTCGGACATATATATGGTAAGAGGTATGGGCGTCTATAAAGATGCTATTGATGACCATGTGTATCATGTCACAGAGAGCAAGACCGGTCCACTGGCCCCCGAACCAGTCATGCGATAGAAAATCGTACATCAACATTAGTATCAAGATGTTCCATATCGAGTTACTGATTGCGGGATAGAAAATCCTAATGACGCCGCGAATGTGATTTTGCTGCACGCGAAGCTATATATCGCATCTATCAAGCAGAAGTGTATCCTTCTGGTACTGATGGAATTTGGTCCTTGAGCCTCCTAGCTTAAACCATATGCACGTTCAAGTGTTGCGCTTCGGTCCATAGGTATTCATAAGTCTCTTAATGGAGTCCGAGCATTGTGATTAATGAATTAGCTTATAATCCAGGCGTAGCTGAACCGCATTGCCGTATCTTGGATTTGTCAATAGTTCCTATGGCAGAGGAGTGCTCGTCACAATACTCGCCCATTATTGTGTCTTTCTCGGAAAGTCCAGGAGGATCATGAGTTGTCCACACAACAGTTAGGGAGTTGTAGTCCTAGAACTGTGAGATAGTATAAATGAGAGAATCGGTGGTGGCGTACTGATTTCATTGTTGAATGATGGTTCATGGATTTGCTTTTGATGCCAATGACCTGATGAAAGTCCTAGAGGTCTTAGAAGATTGTAGTGAATCAGCAAGAAAACTTACGAGGACTTTTGTGTACGTTTTGAAGTAAAATGTCTTCTGCAGGGTGTTGTCCTTCACTTCCCAGCCTTGCGAGCGTAGATGCTCAACGTCACGAAGGACCTTCGAGCGATCACTGTGGCTGGAAATTTGGAGGTCCATGGTGGACATGCAGTAAAACTTTAGTGTTGAAGTGGTAAACGTGGCCGACCGAAGCTTAGCTATCAATGATGGGTGAAGGACTGGCGGATAGTAATGCATTGTACTGTAATGGTTTCAGACTTATGAGGGCCTTGTCGGTTATCCATGCTCGTATGACGTTTCGAACCAAACCTGAGTCGGCAGAAGTATTTTCCGTGTGTACAGACCACAAGTATCCTTGACCTCGCCTTGCAACAACACCTTAAGTTTTGGACATGGCCGGGCAAATTTCTGTCATTGACTTTGGCCGCTTTATTGGGGGATCGACGAACGAACGAAAGTCTGTCGCCTATGACATTGATAAAGCTCTTACCACATCTGGATTTCTCTCACTTATCAATCATGGAATTGAGCAAAGCATCATTGACGAGTGCTTCTATTGGGTACATCCATCTATTTGATGCCAAGCATAGCAATAACGTAACTAGAGTGAGCGATTTTTCGAATTGCCAGTTCATGAGAAAAGCCAATTGAGCCCTTCAGTGCACAAAATGCGCCACGGATACTTAGGCATCGGCAAGGAAATCGTGCGCGGTGAGCGTTCTCATAAAGAGAATTTCGATTTCGGGAATCCCGAGGACAGTGATATGGAGTCCTGGCCTTCGCCTGAAAAGCTTCCTGGCTTTCGGGAATGCGCTGAGACATTCTATCATGTATCTGTGAACTACACCTGCCAATACTAAGCTCACCATTTATAGGCTTGCTCGCGGTTGATTTCCGAACTGTTCGAATGCATCGATTTAATCTTTAAACTGGATACAAACGACTCTCTCAGTAAACACCATTCGGGATCCGCCGATGTGGTTAGCTTTCTACATTATCCTGCTGTGCGTCAAAGGGGAAATTTCGTCAGGGGCATGGCGCATTCAGATCTCGGAACGATTACGCTACTATTCCAGCATGGCATCGGTGGCCTCCAAGTCGCGGATCATGACTCAACGAGGGAGACTACCACCGTAGCTATCGAAAAGACAGCTAACTTTATAGATGTCCACCCTGACAGCCAGGCTATCCTCGTGAATGTTGGCTATCTGCTTATGCGTTGGACAAATGGACGTTGGCCGAGTACCGTTCACAGAGTTACATGGCCTCCAGGTTTTCGAGATACACAAGATAGCGGAATGCAGACGGATACCCCTGAGCGATTCAGTATTGCGTTCTTCAGCTTTCCAGACTACGAGGTCGACATCGAACCGTTGGAAAATTGTCGCTCTCAACAGCAACCAAGAAGATGGAAGAATTCTTTGAACGCAGGCGAGTATTTGTTGAAGAAACGAAGACAATTGTATTCTTCCTAAGTCGGATCCAATTTCCGTAATTTGCTCTTTACCAATGAATGCATTCGAGAAATCCCACACGAAAGCGATGAGATTCAATGATCACATGGTTCGTCATTAATTAACGTCTCTACCGGTTTGTAAGTACGACTGACTGCCAGCCCATCCCCAATATCGAACATCAGTCAGGGTTGTATGAGGGTAGGTATGGCCTTGGTGTAAGAGTACTCTTGCACATAGAAAATGAGTATCTAGCGTATCATTAATATACAAGACTACTCTTCTTTGGATACTTTATCTGTATCATATATAACTTTATATAGCTAGTATAGAATAAGACTAATAATAAGTATATTTCATACATAATCTTAGATAATTGAGGATCTAACAAGTTTTAGACTCTCTGTTAGAATGTATGTAATTAGCGGCTTGGCAAAGGGGTTGGGTTTGAGTGCCTGAGGTACTCCAGCTAAGATAAGCCAGCCCCACCCCGGATGTTAGGTGACATGATCCCATGCTCTGAGTGCCAAGTCTCCCTCATTCATATCTCATTCCTAACTCCTACTCCGCCTCCACATTCCTACTACTCACTGTTGCCTGCTGGTCAGAGCGTTAAACCATCTTCCCAGTCCTGCCCCCTACCTCAACCATGCAATGAAACGCTCTTCGTCCGCACACGATTCCCTACCTGCTCGAGGCCGCAGCTTCATTTCCCTAGCAGCTTCTCCAGTCTCCGCGATAGACCTATCCTCCGAGCACGCGATCTATACTGGCTCTTGATAAAGCCCTAGAGCCTCTGCATATACCCATTGGAGCACCCAGCTAGTCTACTAAAGCTTTATATAGCTTTATATACTATGGATTCAGGCGAGCTGCGACAGCGCCGACCGGCCACTACCACGTCATCGAAGGTTGACGAGGGACATCCGGCGGGCCCGATTAAGCATGGTGGGAGCAAGCAAGGCATACTCATGGTCCTGTTTGGCCTGTATTTTTTCACATGCAGTCTTCTGTAGGTAACACACATAGGCAAGAGCTGGGGGGAAATCTGACGAGTTACTAGGATATTCTCAACACAATTGTTGGGCCTCCCACTATACCTCTGGAACAAAGCATACTACTACCGGTGGATGGCATGGACGAAAGAGCATTTTGCCCTGGTCCTGATCTTCATGACCGAGCTGTGGAGCCCGACCATCATGCGAGTGTACGGAGACAAGAGTGTCGAAGGGCAGCTCAAGCAGACTAGCGATGGGCGATTGGAGACCACATTCTCCCCAAGGATGGTCATGATTGCGAACCACCAGGTAGGCTCTTCTTTTAGTCGAGCGATAAGACTCTAATCAACAAAAACAGATCTACACTGACTGGATCTATTTGTGGTGGATGGCCTACGCCAATAAAGTGCACGGCTACATCTACATAATGCTCAAGCGGTCCCTCCAATTCATTCCAGTCATCGGACAAGGCATGACGCTCTATGGATTCGTCTTCATGGACCGGAAGTGGGCCAACGACGAAAAAAGGATGAGGCGTCGGCTCGAACAGCTCAACGCTCAAGTCGCACCGGGAAAGACAACCCTGAACCCAATGTGGTTTCTCATGTTTCCAGAAGGCACAAACCTGTCGTTCAACGGACGCAACGGCAGCGCCAAGTGGGCAAGTAAAAGCGGCGAGCAGGACTTGAAACACTGTTTGCTCCCACGTTCAAAAGGCTTGTTGTTCACACTCCGTCAGCTCGACAAGTCTGTCGACCACGTGTATGATTGTACCATGGCCTACGAAGGCGTTCCGTAAGTCTATACTGTCTACCTCCGCAACGCGAGCTGACTTTCTCAGACCAGGTGAATATGGTCAAGACGTCTTTACGCTCCGTAGCACATACTTCGAAGGCCGCCCCCCTAAATCTGTTTCCCTTCATTGGCGGCGCTTTCCTATGTCCTCGATCCCACTTCATCCACTCCCGACCGACGACATCGGCCCCGATGCCGAAGCGAAGGCCGAGAAGCGATTTTATAACTGGCTCATGGACCGATGGCGTGAGAAAGACGCGTTGATGGACAGGTACATGACGCACGGTAGCTTCAACGCAAACGACGACGGTGACGTCGAGCGGTTCCTGGCCGACCACCCACCGCAGAGTGAGGACGGCTACCAATTCGATTTCCCGGCTCAGGACATGAAAGTCGTCGAGACGGCCGTGAAACCGGCGGCGCCGTATGAGTTTGTGCAGATACTACTGCCAGCACTTGCCGTGTCGTTTGTGGTAATTCAAATAAAGTCCCTATGGAGAAAGCTGTTTGGCTCATGACTGACAGTACTGTGTTTCTTTTTGAATAGGTGCAGCGTCTTGTGTACGGCTGGCGATTGGTAGTGGCGTGGTTGACGCTGATACAGATGTTGCGAGATCTCGAGCAGACGGCCGAGGCGTTGAGACTGGCTGTTGGCGTCGGCGTATACTAGCCTCTGGCTCTGTCGCGACTGAATGAGGGCATATTAACAGCCTAGACTTTTATTTTCAGGAGGGCAGGGGGAGCTCGAGGCCATTGATTTTGATATTAGCGATATACCACCACTCGACTATTGACTTCACTATTTGCCTTCTTTGCATATACACTCTACACTTGCTGTACAGGCAAGGTTGGATTTTGATCGTGCACATGTTCTATACCACTCCATTCCAATACAGTCCCGTATGTACGTACATGTACGCTGGCTGACTTATGCTCTGCCCGCCCGCTGTAGAAAATGCTATGCTATATAACGCCTGACCACCCTCTCCCCTGCGGACATACAACATTATCATCATCTATTATCTTATTGCGTCTCATTGTATCGCATTTGTCCCTCCACTTCCGCTCCCAGGTCCGGTCCCATTCCCATTACCACTCCCACCACTCTCATCCCCAGCCCCATCACCAATAAACCCCCTCACCCACTCACCCAACGTATTACTCAGACTACGCCCCCTCACAATCCTCCTCCTCTCGTCGTCCTCTTGCTCCTCTCCCTCCCTCCCACCACCACCACCCCGCCTCATATCATCCACCCCACTCTCCCCCGTCCCAGACCTCATCACACCCAAACGCTCCACACTCCGCCGTCCACGCACACTATGACCCCTCCGCAGACTATCCACCATAGCGCTCAGACTACCCGTCAGAGGGCTATTCATGAGGAGCGGGGGCGCGGGGGAGTGTTTCGAGGACGCAGCGGTGCGTTCATTGACGAGGCGTTGGGCGACGGGGGTGCTGGGGGCGTCGAGGACGACGTCGGAGGCGATGCGGGTTGTGTGTGGGCGAGGGGTTGTGGGTGTGGGCGTAGAGGGGCGGGAGGAGGAGAGGATGGTTGGGATTGGGAGGTTGGGCGTGCTGAGGGAGGCGGATGGGGTTGTGGGTGCGAGGGGAGGGAGAGGGGGAGATGTTATGGCGCGGTGGAGGGAGGTGTATGGGGAGGGGATACCGGAGCGGGAGGGGGTCGCTGTATGGGATGGGGAGGAAGGTGTTGATGGACGTGGGGAGGAGGGGGGGTCGAGGGTGCGGGATGCCGATGAGGGAGGTGATCGAGGCGAGTTGCTGCGCTTGCGGGCTTTTGGAGTTTCGGGCGTGTCGGTGTAGGGGTCACCGGTTGCAAGGTCGATTGCGTCTGGGGGCTCCGGGCCGCGCTCTTCGTCGTCGGCCGGGCGCGGGCGGCCGGATGTGATGAGCCACACGCCTGCGAAGGTCATGGCGCAGCCGCCGATGAATTTGCCGGCGTCTTCCGGGGTTGTGCGTTCGAAGTCGCGGTAGAGGATTGCGGAGCCGAGGATGACTGAGAGGGTGAAGAGGACGAATTGCGTGGGGATGACTTGAGTTGCGTCGAAGCGCTTGAGGGCGCGGTTGACGTATTTGATCTGCATGACGGCCGTGAAGATGAGGATGAAGGCGAGAAGGTAGGTTACGGGGAAAGTAACGATGCGCCAGAACCTGTAGGAGAGGAGAGAGGCGACGCCTTTGGTTGATAGGGCTGTATAGCCGCCTATGATAAGTCAGAAATGGCCTTTGAAATTGATATCGAGAAAAGAGCCCACCAAATAATCCAACAAGCCCCAAGTCAATCACTATCGACTTTGCTCCGTATCTCCCGCTCAGCACCATCAACACTACGATCAGGCCACAGGTAATCCCGAGGTAGACCTCGAATTCTGTCCGTGAAATTGCGTCCCATATCTCATGTTGCCCCAGCTTTGGGTTATCGCTCTTCGCGCTCAACACCACCGTCACAGCACCTCCGACCGCGATCAACACGCCCAAGAAATCCCGCTTCCTAAACACCTCGCCGAACATGATAGGCGCGACGATACAGTTTGAGATCAAAGCAACGACTCCGAGGGGTGAGACGATCGAAGCGGGAGCGAAGCCGTACGCGAGGAAGTTTCCGGCCTCTCCGATGATCATAAGTATGATACCAGTCCACCAGTACGGCGACTTGAGGTAATTCGTCGTGCGCAGCTCATCGCTATCAGGTCGAATTGTAGCCTCCGAGTCGCTCGATGCGCGTCCGTGACCAGACCTCGACAGAAGCGGCTCTGCCTCTCCAGTATCAATGCTATCTGCATCACCCCCATGACCATCAACATTCTTCCCGTTACTCCTCTTTCCATCCATATCATCTATAGACTGTGACCCAACGCCATTCGTGCCATACCCTGCACTCTCAATCTCTGCACGCTCTCTCTTCAGCCGCCTCTCTTTCTCCTCTGCTTCTCGTTCCAGTCTGATGTGTGCGTAGCGCTGGATATTCAGCGCGACGCTGATGAGAACGTTGCCCACGAGTGCTGCGACAATGCCGATCAGCGAGGACCAGCTCCCTGCGCCCTTCTTGGGTAAATGAGCCGATGTCTCGAGTGCTATGGATGTATACGAGTCTAAAAAAAATGTGAGATCGGAGGAGCCAGCTTCCCGTGGTATGAACATGGCAGCCGAATGTGACGCCGCACTCGGTATGCGCGGACGTGATGGACTGATGTATGAGAAGTGAGCGGAGTGAGCAGTCAGCTCATGAGGATGCGTTGGAGATGGACGTTGGTGATGTCATGTTGCGTGGAAGACGAGCTTGAGTGGGCCTGAAGTGAAGAAGTCGAGATATCAGAACTAGCGCGTACGCGGCCCAACTCCAAGGCAGTGAGGCAGTGAGGCGAATCATATACTACCACGATCGTCCCTGTTGCCCTAGCTCTGCGAGTGGGTTTACGAAGCTTCTATGTTTAGATTCGTCTGTTGTATACACTATATACATTATATACAATAAATGAGCGCAGCCAAGTGGTGCTGTGCCTTGTCAGACAGGCTTCGGAGTATACTCCATTGTACAACGTGAACGCCGGAAATGCTCAACCCGGCAACACCAATGGATGCATTTCATACATGTACATATGTGTCCTGGGACACTATTCAGCATTGGCAAAAATAGCTGCCTTCGCTTCGGCGTCTGGACCTCGCTGTTCTAGTTCCTGACTTCTTCGAACTCTTCTGTACCCTTTGACGTAGCCCAACAGCGTCAGCATACCGCTTGGTGTGACACCCTCAATCCGATTCGCCTGTCCGATGCTTTCTGGCTTGAACTGATTCAACACTCGCTTCTCTTCGTTACTCAGACCCAGTATAGCCGAGTAATCGGTGTCAAGCGGTAATTTGAGACTTTCGTTCCGAAGGAACGCGGCCCTTATAGCCTGCTGCTGCTTTATATATGGCGCATATGTGGCTTCAATCTCAACTCTGGTCTGTATCCTCTGGCTGTAATCTTTGATTTCAGGAACTATGTCTTCCAGTCTGCTGATGTTGACGGTGTCATTCACGCTGTGCCGGACACGCATGACTTCGTAAGCGCTCCGTGACTCGCCGTTCATGCGCACGTGTATCCCAGCCTCCTGCCATCGTGCCGACGACAGCTTCTTGTCAGACAAGATCTTGCTTAAGCGCTTGATTTGTTCCTGTTCATTGCTGTAGCTGGCCCACCGTTCGTCGCCGACGACACCGGCTGTGCGACCCAACGGGGTCAGACGTGTGTCCGCGTTATCTGCTCGGGCACTCATCCTGTATTCGCTCCGAGATGTGAACATCCGATATGGCTCGGATACGCCCTTTGTTATAAGATCGTCAATCAAGATTCCAATGTACCCATCAGCTCGGGTCAAATTGAGCGGCTGCTTGCTCTGTGCCGTCAGTCCTGCATTAGTACCAGCGACCACACCCTGAGCTGCAGCCTCCTCATATCCAGTAGTACCATTGATCTGACCCGCAAGGAACAGGCCCTGGATTGCCTTGGTCTCGAGCGTCGACAGGAGACTCCTTGGGTCAACATAGTCGTACTCCACGCCATAGCCATCCTGCACGAGTACGGCATTCTCGAGTCCTTTGATAGACTTTATCACTTGTTCCTGGATTTCAGGAGGTAATGTCATCGATATACCGTTGGGATAGATAAGCTCACTGTCGAAGCCCTCTGGCTCTAGCCATACGATGTGTTGCTGCTTGTCCGCAAATCTCGTGACCTTAGATTCTATAGACGGACAATATCGTGGCCCGTTGACTGTTTCCCGTATGTGAATCGTCTTGTCAAGGTTTGCGCGAACAATATTGTGCGTTTCATGGTTCGTATGCGTCTCGTAGCAATGAAGCTGCTTGTCAACCGCAACTCTGTTATTCAGATAACTGAAAGGTGCTGGTGACTCGTCTCCAGGTTGTACCACCAAGCCAGAGAACTCAATTGTCTTGCGATCCAATCTCGGCGGTGTGCCTGTCTTCAAGCGTCCAGTCTGGAACCCAGCCTCTTTCAGCGACGTTGCCAAACTGTATGTGGCATCCTCGCCTATCCTCCCTGCTGGCCACACCTGGAGCCCGAGATGTATTTCACCACTTAAAAAGGTCCCCGTCGTGATCACAACGCTCTTCGTTGGTATCACATCACCACTCTCTAGCCTCACGCCCGTAATCTTCCCATGTCTCCCGGACCCTATTGCGCCGTCTTTCTCAATCACAATATCAGCGACGCTCGCCTCGACAACACTCAGGTTCCTGTAATTTGTAACTTCTTCTCGCATATGCTTCTTGTAAAGCGCTCGATCTATCTGCGCTCTTGGTCCCCACACCGCCGGACCCTTGGCCCTGTTCAGCACTCGGAAGTGTACGCCTGCCTTATCCACTACTTTTCCTACTAGACCATCCAGCGCATCGACTTCGCGGAGCAGTGTGCCCTTTCCGATGCCGCCAAACGACGGATTGCAAGAACACGTCCCCAGGTTGTCCAATTTCGGTGTGATGAGAGCGGTACGGGCGCCAGAGCGTGCTGCGGCAGCGCTGGCTTCACAGCCTGCGTGCCCTCCACCAATTACGACGACGTCATATGGTCTGTGATTGGAATTTATTAGTATATGGATCGGTAACGAGTTTTGGGCCTACGGGTAGGCGAGGGCCCGAACTTGCCTTGAATCGGAGGTGGTGGCGAAGCAACGTTGAAATTGGGATGACCGTATGTGAAGACCATGCTTCCAGAGTAGATAGGCCCTCGGTCGAAAGAGCGTGGTCATGCTTGTGGTGGTTTGTGTGTAGAGTTGAGATCGGCTTGAAGGGCCTAGTACGTTGCGGCGAGAAGTTCAAGACCCCCGAGCGCCAAGCCTTTTTTCATATACAACTAGATTTTGCGAGTTGAGTCAAGAGGATGAAGAGCAGCACAAGAGCTGCGGTAATTCAGATACGCAATTTGTTGACTAGTAGAGTTTTCAGCTGCATATGTAATCGAGTTTTTGACAGCAATTGTGCGATGCGCATAGTGAAACAGATGAATTTGGCACTGCCAGAGTTGGGAATCATCAGAAGCTATTATACAGCGATAGTCATCGACAAAACATCCTACATCCACGTGGTGAGCACCTGAACCCTCCAATTCCACATTATAGAAACATAAAACACGCAGGGAACCTTGTTCAGCCATTGCTCAACCACTCATGGCAGCCGCCTCGCCCTCGTTGCGTGGACGGCCGAGAACGTCGATGCTTCCTGTGGCGACACATTAGATACAATCTTTTTCTGGGATAGTGCCAGTGTAATAAGCTCGCGAGAGTGCACTTGGTGATGCCGGTGCTCGAGAAGACAGTCTTGGATTGACTTACTTTGGACAAGGTTGAGAGACGAAGCTCTCTTACCCTCTACGTTCGGGTCGTCGTAGACATCAATTCTCGCATCAGCCTCGACGTGGACAAGCGAGCTGTGAGGGGTCAAGTCAGCCAAAGTTGTGTTTATATGTTGCAGGAAATGTCCATCGCCGCTTGCAAATTTCCATGCCACCTCAGAAATGACTCCGGAGAAACTGTGAATAGAATAAAACTTACCCTTTGGGAAGGCCAAGAACATAATCTTTCCTCGGGCCCTCGTCGAAACAAGCGACGCGAAACCAGCTAGTCTTCTTGTTGTCCTTTGGTCCACTGTCAGTTCCAATGACATATCGCACCAGATCGCGTCCAGTGCTGGTGCTCACGAGCTCAGGCTCTGCTCCCAGGCGGCCGATGATGTTCATGCGTGCCGAGTTTTGCGCGCGGGTCGTGGTGAAGCTTCGTGATAGGGGAGCAAGCCCTGAGGGGGCACGGCGGAACATTGAGGCGCTGAACATGGTGAGGGTGGGAAGAACAAGAGTGTGAGTCGGTGCAAGAGTGCAATGTGTTGCTCGGGAGGCTGATTTGATGATCAGGCTTCGACGGTAGTGGATGTTGGGAGTGGAGGCAGATCAGGTCGCGTCTTGGGGGAAATGAAAGGTTTGAATCGCGTCTAATGCTCCTGTCAGTTCTCAGCGGCTGCAGTGTGCAGGATGCCTTGATGCCTTGATGCCTTGATGTGATGTTTGAATGCCTTGATGCCTTGATGCCTTGCTGTTGCAGAAGCGTGCTGTAACATGCGTTGGGTGCGCATTCAGAGTCCCAGCAACAGGAACAGGAAAGGAGGGCGTCTGCAGTCATAGGTTGGATCAGGGCGCATTGTCCACCAGTGCTACCCCTACTTAGAGCACTGTAGCACCAACTCGGGCTGCCCTAATAGGCTGGATAATATCAACGTTCCAAGGTTAAGGTTCCAACTACTGTAGGTGTCCACTGTAGTCTGGACTAACGCAGCCATCCCTGGCAGCCGTTCAACGTCACTTCGTAAACAAACTAAATGTGAATAAATTGCAAACGCTGCAGAGAAAAGATGGGATCGAATGTGCATCACGCGTACAAGCAGCTCTGTGCACGATTCCTTTCTTCCTTTCACGTTGATGCGCTGTTCAATGGGTGACTTAATGTGAACGGCATCTGGCGGGGTACTTTGTGTGAATGTGGACAAGTGCTGCGACGCCGACGCCATCAACGCGTAGTTCTTTTTGCCCCCCCTCGTCTCGTATCTCGCAAGATGGACTTCCGCAGTATCCTGTTGAGTGGGTTTATTTGTGAGTCACAAAGCCATCGCCGAACTTGGAGCAATTCCCGGATCGTCAGGGAGCAAAGTGGGAGGTTGGAGTGAATAGGCATATGGACTCTGTCATTGGCGGTGCTATCTCCCTTGATACATAATAGGCCATTCGAACTGATCAGATGTGCGATTGACGTCAGACGCGTAGAACAATACGTATTTTAAACCTGTTGGAAGATTACAGTCCCTTCGCAATGCCCTTCACAGACCCCTACGGAGGGGTAATCTGGTCTCTGAGAAGCCTCAGTTTTAGAGATAACCTTAAATTTTTATAGATTTCTTCTAGAGACTTGGTCTATAATTATACTGGTTGCTGCGTTGACCTAATTACACCGCCCATTTCGACGCGCTGTGTCAGTGTTCGTTGCGCCGGTAGCTGAGCCCACGGTTGAGCTACGTCTGTGGCCAGCTATGCCTTACTTCACCGCTCGCATGAGCAAATTTTCATCAAGGAAGACAATTATGAATAGGAGCTTGAGCCAATCATCATTGCTACGCTGTCGAGGTTCACTTTAGTCACCCTAATATTACAATACACATGTAGTCTAGCAGCGGCTATTCACGCGTTTCGGGTGCCTATTGCCCACTATTCAGTTCAGTACCATTGAAAACCAAATAGACGGAGTTCTGCCGGTCATTGTGTAATCACCTGGAAGCGCTCTGAAGCGCTCTGAACTTTGCTCTCAACCTTTCCCCTCCTCCCTTTCTCACTCTCACACATACAATCTCGTCAAGTTCCACTTTCAAGACTCTACTTGAAGCTTACATTTGTCTTCGTACACTCCAACAACTCTTCTCTGTCGATACTAAAGACCAACCTGCAATCTCACGCTTCACCTCATCCTTCATTGAACCTACAAACGTTATTTTGGAAATCTTGCCTCACGTTTGGCTGTTTGTCGTGTCAGAAACATTCTGCACGTCTATCTTCAACGTCGGCACGCCAAACTGTGGTTTTCCATTGAACATCTTCACATCAAACATACTTCTCGTGCTCTCTGAACATTCAGGGTGTAGCGCAATCTTTTCCGACTCAAGGCACCTCTTTGACTTCCACCTACAATCAGCTTCCTCTTCCAATCAACAAAGCTCAACTCACATCAACATGTCAAACTTTGCGGACCAACAGCAGCGAGGCCAGCAGATCGGCGTCTTGCCAACGTTTCCAATGCCTCTGCCTGCCACGCGCCGCTCGTCCCCATATTGTCTTAAATATCCGGCTCCGTACGGTGGCTACATGCCTCCAACTCCTCCAACACCTCACGTCAGTAATGGCTGTCCGACTCATGGGTCATCAGCAGCGAAGACCAACGAGTCAACGCAGCAGCACTTCCAGCCGCTCAATAGCAATGGCCAATATTACGGCTCATTGAATCATGGTTACGTAAATCCTCCCAATGGTATCCAGCTGCAGCAGACCCCTCAAACGAACCTACCTGGCCAGGACGCAGCCTGGTGGCTGCGAACAAATCAGAATGAGGAATTGGTTCGGAATTATCACCAGTTGGCAGCTCAGCAGCACCATCACGCAGTGACTGGACAGAACAGGCCGCCCCAACCGCCTCAACCGCCTCCTCGTCAGCACACACAGAATCTCACCGCTCAGAACTGGGAGTTTCCATCCCATCGTCTTTACTCGTCCTCGTACGACTCCAAGGATCAGGGAATGGCACACTACATGCAGTCTCAAGCCTATCCGCTATTCCATACCAATATGGCTCACCGGGACTTCCCACATCATAACCCACGCTTGGGTAACCAAGACCAATCTTTGACTCAACCCGAATCGACACCTCCGAGCGATCATGTCAATCCTATAGCTCATCCAAATAGTGACTTAGTGTCTTTGACTGGAGGTCAAGAGCTGTCCCCCTCTCTTGAGACACCAGCAGCTTCCCAGACTAGCACTTATCGAGCCCCTGTTGCTGTCATGACCGAAATTCATCGAGTACCTGCCGAGTACTCCGACTTCTTACAAAGGGTGCAGTCACAGCCTAGTCTCGCTGAAATGCAGGGTTTAAGGCAGCAACGCCTGCCAAAGAACCAGAATGGTCAGCAGTCCCGGATCTCCAACAGTCATCGTCGTGTACCGTCACGCAGTGGCAACAGTGGTATAAAGCCTCACAAGCCAGAGCGTAAGGTGCAAAAGCCCATTAGCTTGGCCTATGTACAAGCAGAGAGAAGGTGGAAGCGTCAAATGAAGATGCATAAGGATCTAAAGGATTCTCAGCACGTTCTCGAGAAGACAATTGACCACAATGCTCAGGATATCAAGAGCAGTCCTCAGTCACAGGATACTCGCAGTACTCTGATATCCCAGCAGACCCAACATCTTCAACAGACTCAGGACATTCAAGGCACCCCAAAGCCTCATCCGAAGCAAGTACAAAACGCTCAAAAGACACAGGTCGGCCCGGATTCTGGGCAAATGCAAATTGTCCAAGAGAAGCAGATTGCCCAAAAGCCTCAGCATGTGCAAAGCGTTCAGGATACACAGACTTCCCACGACCCTCTTGAGCTTGAGCTTCGGACTCCATCACAGCAAGAACATAATTCTCAACAGACATGTATGATCCTCAATCCTGAGCAAGTGCAAGGCGTCCAAGCGACACCGATCGCCCATAGCACTCCTCAGCCCCAACGAACGCGAAACAGTCAGGAGACACATGTCGCAAAGGACACTGCCCAAAATCAGTCCTCCCCTCAGCAAGAGAAGATCTCTCAACCGACACAGATCGACCCCGATCTTGAGCAAGTGCAAAACATCAAAGAGACAGCGGTCGAAACCGTCGTCCAAGAGACACAGATCGAAACCGCCCAAAAGACACAGGCCACAAATGTCGACGAGACAAGGATTGTCCCTGACGATCCTCAGCTACAGCAAGCACAAAGCGCCCAGGAGATGCCAATCGTCCAAGAGACACCTCGTTCTCAGTCTGCGCAAGAGCAAAACACTTCGGAGACACAGATCTTCTCACAAATTCCGCAAGTACAGACCATCCAAGGGGCACAGGCTGTCACCGATGCTTTTGAGTTACATCAAGTGCAGAATCCTGAAGATCTTCAACCGTTACAGAGCTTCCAGGGTATACCCCAGCCTCAAGAAGTGCACCATACTCAAGGGCAACAGAACATCAACGACGTTTGTCAGCCCCAAGAAGCTGAGAACCTTCAACAATTGCAAGACTCTCATCTTGAACAACACTTTCCTCATGACCTATCCGTTCCGCAGGATCTGTTCATTCAACAAGATTCAGTTTTTCAGCAGGATCCATTCTTCCAGCAGGATCCGTTTCTCCAACAGGATCCGATCTTTCAGCAGGATCCATTCTTTCAACAAGATTCTTTCTTTCAACAAGATCCTTTCTTCCAACAGGATCCTTTCTTCCAACAGGATTCTTTCTTCCAACAGGATTCTTTCTTCCAACAGGATCCTTTCTTCCAACAGGACCCGATCTTTCAGCAGGATCCGATTTTTCAGCAGGATCCAATCTTTCAACAGGAACCGCTCATGCAACAGGCTCCGTACTTTCCACAAGAACCGTACTTCTTACAGCAACAGTACTTCCCGGAGCAACTGCACTTTGCAGAGCAACAGTTCTCGCAGCAACAGTTCTCGCAGCAACAGCTCTCGCAGCAACAGTTCTCGCAGCAACAGCTCTCGCAGCAACAGTTCTCGCAGCAACAGTACTTTCCACAGGCCCAGGATTTCACACAGACCCAGAACTCGCAGAACTTCTTCCCGCCTGAGCAAGCGCAAAACTTCCAAGAGAATCCGAACTTTCTCCAATCTCAGCATGTGCAGAACTTTCCACAGACCCAGGACTATCAACAGAGTCACGACCTGCAACTCGCCCAGAACTTTCAGCTTGCTCAAAACTTTCAACACGCCCAGAGCATCCTCCAGCCTGGCCGAGCGGAGAACTTTCAACAAGTTCCGCACTTGCTTCAGCCTCAGCAACTGCCCAATGTACAACACCCACAGACATTTCAAGAGGCACAAGTTCCTCAACAGGCACAGAACTTTGGAAGTACCCCTCAGTTTCAGCCTCAGCAAATTCAGACCGTTCAACAGGGACAGACCGTCCAGCCTACTGTCCAATTGCAGGGTCCCCAACAACTTCCGCCTACGGTTACTGTAGAGTCGACATCCCAGCCTAAGTTCGGACAGCAAGGTCTACCAACGCACAATGTGCAGTGTGATCCTCAATCTGTGGATGTCTCGCTTGCGCTGCAAATGCACAACACGCAGGAAGATCTTCCACCACCGTCCAAGAAACGCACTGCACATGGGACCCATGATCGCTCGGGTCCCAGTAGCCAGCATACTGTACAAAACCAGCATGGTCATCGTATTCCTCAGGGCCACAGCGGCCAGCCTCTCCAATTCGACAAGAAGGCGCATGTGGCTTGGCACCTGGCGGCGAAGCAGCGTGCGGAACGTTTGGCTGAGAAGGAGCGTGCGGAACGGTTGGCTGAGATCGCACAGACAGCTCCCATGTACAATGGACCTCGCTGGAAAATGATGCCGAGCAGCAGGAAGGCTCCTGCAAAGAAAAGCGGACCGGGACAACAGAAAGCCAGCATCTCGGAAGGAACATGGGGTCCACCTGTTTTCATGAACCCCATGAAGTCGACAACGCCTTCAGCCCATGCGCCGTCGAGCTATTGTCCTCCGCCAGCGATGGCACAGCCCAAGCAGGCGTCATTCGACGCTAAGGCACATGACAGCTTCCATGAGGCGGAGAAGGAACTCTATTGGAAGATCAAAAGGGATGAGCATGACGAAGAGCTGCAATGGGCGGCCATGCAAAGTTCCACTCCAGCTCAGCAGAGTTCCAGTCAAGCTGGGACTCGGCCAAAGGTGGCTCCAAGGAGCAGGAAATCTCAGGCGAAAGGGCCCGAGGATCCATCTCACACAGACTCCACGTTGGCACCGTCTAGTCTGGACAAGTCTGTCGAGAGGAAACCTGGAAGTCCGACGCCGAAGAAGCGAGCTATCTGCGAGGCTGGAGCGCCTGGGTTCAAGGAGGGGGTGCCAGCGGCTGCAACAGGGACTAAGAAGCAACAGATGTCTTCGGCGCGCATCAGCACACAGTCTGGCGAGACTGTCCCGCAGTTTGCACCTGAGCCAGCTCCAAATTACGTCGAAGTCAGCACTGGCCGTGCTGCTTGGTTTGACCCGGATCTCGGGTCTTTCAAAGTCGGTCAGAAGAACTTCACTGCGTACGAAAAGTTCGACGAGATGTGGATGACCGACGCGGAGAGGGATCAGGGGTGGGTCCATCCAGAGCCTTCTGAGAACCAGTCGCGAAAGTTCGTTACGGTGACGACGGAGTCTGGACGTATCCTCTCTGGTGAGGAATGGGAGGTTGATATGCTCAGCAAGGTGGCCACGCTGATGGATGCTCCGGCCGGCCATCCTGATGCCTTTGTGCCATCTACATTCGAGACCACTGCTTTCCAACAGTAGGGGTAGAGTTAGGTGGTGCAGGGAACTTGGGATGGCTCGTCGATGATGAGGTCTTCTATTCTTCGGCTGGTCTACTTCGTGCGGCTGCTGGGGTGTCGCGAACCGCTCTAGGTGACCGGGCCCGGTATGTCGTTCGGGTAGATCAGCCAAGGTAGGAGATCTCATTATCAGCGAAAGAGACGTCACATATCAACCTTTGGCACGCAGTTTTGTATACGCATCATGGGTGCGTGCTTCAGCGCCGATTTAGTTGGGTACCCGGGCAGTGAATGGCTTGTCGATTTGCTTTGTTCACCTCTGCCTGTACATCTTGTTGCTCAATGCTTCTCTTCGTACTTTATCGGTTGGGTTTATGCCTCTATCATAGGAGACTGAGAGTAATCGGCTCTGTGCGATCATTCTGCAAAAAGATTACTCAATCGTGGAAAACTTTGATTATAGAATGTAAATCATTGGAATTTGAACTTGCAAGCTTGTGTGAACATTTGAGAATTGCTTGTGATTTTCAATAGTGAAGAATTTAATGGCTGTCCTATGCACACAGCACCCGAACGAACGCATGCCATATGGCCTATTTGTGGTGAAAAAATCGTCGCCAGGCTTCTCACTGATGTTACATACGTCACGTCTTATGTTGAATTATCTGGTGAAAATGGACTTCGGCAACGCTCGTGCAAATTTAATTTGCCCAGACAGATTTTCTTAGAGTAGCTGGCCATCACTATAAAGCCGACGGATCTTTCACATATCGGATTCAAGTAGTGTTTGCGCTCTTGTAATGCATGTACAGATTGGTGTGGGATAGCAAAGGCCTAATGACCGAGAGTGACTCTTGAGAACGGCCTTCTGATTCAAAATAAAAGTCATGAATAGTCGAGTACGAGTGAATGTATACGCCATGGAGACCGAGTATTGGGCGTATACAAACATTCACGCCAGAAATGGCTTAGCGTCGCACGCGCCTCATTGTCATACTGACCCATAACCGTTCCCTTTGGTCGTGTTTGTCACCCCTAATTTCCTCTTCAACACTTTATCGTCCTCTTAAAACATCTGCATATCGTCTCCGACCTGGTGGTCTTGGTACTTGTTGGACAAGTATCACAGTAGTCATGCGTGGACATCAATCAACGACAAAGTAAGTTTCTTTGTCTGTTTCGAAAGCTTTATACGACTCACAATCATGATCATCACCTCTTTACCGTCTTGGGACTGACACGATTTCAAGCTGTAGACTAGGTCAGCTAGGCAGGCCTCCACTGAGCTTCTTGGCCGAGCAGGATCTTCATCGAGCCCAGCAATATGCGGGTGCTCCATACTCGAGCAATGAGCACAGACCTATCGTTGAAGCCATTATCAATCTTGGGAGTCTAATTGAACATGCTACGGGAATATATCCTCGCTTCCCGGCGCCTCGAGATGTAGCCTGGACATACGAGATGTTCGGACGAGACAGACGTCTCGACTTGCTGCTGGAACATAGCAATGTGTACGGCAGGAGTACAGTCCGTGTGCCATCAGCTGGTGAACAAATCCAAGCAGCCACTGAACGCTTCCAAGTAGCTCTTCAGCGAGCTCAACCACCTGCTGAGCCATCTGCACCGCCAGCTGAGTATCTGGCCCCAAGGCGGAAGGAGAAGCCCAAGAAGACAAATACGTGTCGTGATCTCGAAGAGAAGCTCTACAGGAATGCAAATGGGCCCTACTTCGATCCTCCAGGTGCAGTTACCGTGACTAATATACTTCGAGGTCAGCTTAAATCAATTCGGATATGATCATAGGTTCACTAATACTGTGACAAAGGCAAGATCGTGTATCGAACACTGAATGATAAGATCGACTATGTGTTGTTCTCTGGACCACAGAAGAGTGCCTCTCTCGATAACCTTCCAACCCTCATGGGTGTCCTTCTCCCACAACCTGATAGGGTACAACTCAGCTACAAGTACCATCTAGATGGGTCGCCCGTGTTGGGACCACAGGGAAAACATCTCAAGGAAATCCCGTTTCTTCCAGATTTTATCCCTTATGATGCTGTCATCAGCAACAACGGAGACTGGCAAGTTGCGCTCACTGCCGCTTTTGGTATCAAGTTGCACCATGTGGGATCTATCCTCATATAATTGCACGCTACCCACTGACAAATTGTAGATCATCGAACGTGTCCCTCCTACGGAAGAGTTTGCCAGACTCGGCGAAGCTGGCCCTGCTCTGTTCTACAGCCAACTTCCACGCCGTCTCAGTAACCGTGCATCTCGCATCCGCTCTAAGATCGGTGGTCTAGGACCCATCAGTCGACGTCGCAAGCTTGCAGATGGTAGCGGTAGACAAGGGCCCTGCCCGCAAGACAAGAACATTGTCGGACGCTCTCTCAGCGGTACGAAGTTCTTGTTGAATCCTCCATTGCCTCATTTCTAGCTGACGTTCTTTTCCCGCCAGGCCTCAATCTCCTCCACAACGTCGTTTGGCCCATCCACTACGACACTGTTAGCAAGATCTGGTACATGCGCCAGCCGGGCAGTGCTGTGCATATCCGCCACCTGCTGCCTCGCCCACAACCGCTGCCGGAACGTGTGATGCAGACCCTCGAGGCGATAGGCTGGGAGCGCAAAAGGATGCCACAAATGCACCATCTAGAGAGGCTGCAGAAGCAGTTTATCGATAACATTCTCCCCGACGGTACCTCCACACTTGGCTGCACTAACTACTTTGAGCAACCAAAACCCAAGGACCCGCGTAATCGTAAGAAGCGTGCTAGTGGAGTTCGGACGCTGAATGATGGCCGTCGTGTCAAGAGAACTAAGACTGGAGTGCTCAAGTATATCGCAAAGGACGACGATGGCATGGGAGATGACACCGAGGACGAGAGTGATGACGAAGGCGAGGACGAGGACGAGTATGAGGACTATCAGAGTGAGGAGGAAATTGAAGACGAAATTGAAGACGAAATCGAGGATGACATCGAGGAGGAAATTGATGAAGTAGTCGAGGAAGAAGCCAACGAAGAGGTCAATGAGGAGATCGAAGAGGATATTGAAGAGGACATTGAAGAGGAAGGCGAAGAGAAAATCGAAGAGGACATGGAAGGGGAAGTGGAGGAGAGAATCAGCGAGGCCATCAAACAAGAGCCCACAGACAGCACCGCCGAGAACGACACCCAAGGTGAGATCAAGCATGAAACCGAGCCAGAAATCGAACGTGAAGTCGAGGAAGAATCAGAGCATAAATTCGAGCCTTGCACCCCATCCAACCCCAAGCAAGAAATGATGCAGGAAATGGCTGACGAAGACACCGCCCATTCCCCAATCACCGAGGTCGACGACGAAATGTACGAGCTCGAAGAAGGAGAGATATTGGAATCTACTCCTGAGGCTGAAATCCATCGCCACCGTCACCACCGCAACTACCACCACTACCGCCGTGTAGGAGGCTTAGATTACGACGAGGACGAACACTGGCAGTTGCGTGGGCCAGAGTAGACGCTCTGTCCTGCCCCTGAATACGGATGGATGTCAAGCGATTATTCCAAGCGATGGAGTGGCTATGTGGATAAGAGACATTGTAAAACGTACTGTAGGCAGGGAATGTGATTGAGTGAAACTGGATGCAATTGGATGATTATGATGCAGGAGCTCTCGGCTTGTTAATGTAGGTAGGATCTGGATAACTCTGTTTCTAAGCATTAAAGAAAGTGTAACGTAGTCTCTTCTTTGTGTACTCTTTAGTGTGCTATCTGCGATGGAAGCCATCTCGGTCTATTTGCCACTCCCTCATGAGCCGGGCAGACCCGTTTCACTCAACACACCGCCTGCTAGTTATATACACATTCGTTCAGATGTCCCATCATAGCCACAAGAAAACATACCCTCTGCCCATGGTCGAGCATATACGGTTATGTATGTATGGCGTCTACAAGAGACTCTAGGGTTCGTGACGCTTTAAGAAAGTAGCAATAATCTGTATATATCACCTGTAGAAGAAGATCCCATCACTTACAAATTCCATCAGGTTGACGTCTCCTCACACTAACATCAGTATCAGTGTCCCATGACCAACCACGGTCCACGCTCAAAGCATACGGATAATACCTTACCATTTTCAAAGATCCATATAAAAGCTACGAATCATGAGCCAAGGCATACTCTTTACCTTTGCCTGGCTTTGTACACGGTATATATATTACATGTATGTGTGTATACATTACGACAGACAAACAGCGGTGTAGTACTCCCTGAATCTTTTGGGCGCATGGATCATCGATGGGATTGATATATGTGTTTTGCGGACTGGGGATATCGCGTAGTTTGTGTTTTTTTTTTTGGGAAGGTAAGGTATTTGGGACGGTTTATTCGTCTTGTTTGGTCGTAGGATTTTGTGTCTAGCTGTTTGTGTTTAGCTGTCTATCCGTTTAGCTGTTTGTCTGTTCATATAAGTCAGTACTAGCTCAGTAGAATTTCGAATGCGTAGGGGGTGGTTTGACTTAGGAGAAAGCTATGCGTGAGACATTCGAGTATGATCAAACTTTCGGATTATTCAACACTTGTACACTTTTGACGTCTCTATTTCGATCATGTCGTGAATGATGACGGCGCACTGCTTATGCACCTCAATAGCGATATAACAGTGTACATGTGTGGATGATGGCTACGAAGGGGCATCGCCGCGATGTGCTTTTGAAAGTGTGCTTCGGTGGTAAGCGGACGTTTGGCAGTGTGTAGTGTATGTGCGGGAGATGGTGAGGTATGTTAACGTCCGTACATGACGAGACTGTGGTTTTAGGGGTGGCGAGGTGTGGGTTTATTGACAGTTTCTTGCGATTTGGGGAGACTCGAGTGGTTTGTGGGGACTCCGTAGTTTGTATTGTATATCTGATGAGGGTTCTAGCTGGTGAGACTGCCTCTGTATATACATCGACATGTGTTACGAAGATCCTACAAATGCTCGAATGGCGGAGATTTTTGCTGTATGGGCGGGTTGATAGAAGTCAGAGTGATGTACCTGCACTTACGAACATGCGTCTCTTGGTGGTCGTGTTGCGGTTTATGCTTTAGCACAGCTAGCGGGACGATTCTGAGTGCTGTCAAGATATCAGGTTTCTAGCCACAATATGTGTACTCGACTACTTTCTATCACTAACGACCATTATGGAGGGTCCAGAACGGATGGTCGACGGTCGCAAGAATTTATCATTTGTGTCTTTTGGGGCTGTTCAAGGCGAGAGGCAAATATCAGCTTCGACACTGCGACGGCAACATGCCGCATGGCAAGGTACGAGGGCACAATTCTCGACTGCTGGAAGAAAAGAGGTAAAGAGTTGGAATGGCTGGTAGAATATATTAGGAGGAGCTGGAATTCTTTCAAAGCAGCGCAGTTTGAAGCCCTGGGAGTGAGTGGTCTGTTAGGAGACGGGGCGAGTTTAGTTAGTATATATGTCGGTAGTAGGCCCTGATGATAGTTGAGAGATGAGCCTGCAGATAGAATGTGATACCGGGTCAGGAACGGGATCTTTCAGATGTCCTTTGTCGCAGTCCTTTAAGTTAGTCTTACGTCTAAGAGTATATGTGTTTTGGTGTACCGCTATAGCATGGGTCTTTATAGATAAGTTTATATGTACTGTGCTGCCCAGAGGGTGTATGATATGTATGTGTAGGGAGCAAGTATTGAGAGTATAGAGTTTCAAGGTGGATATAGGTTACAGGTATAGCAAAGAGATGGCACATCTGTGCAGAAGTAATAAATAGACAGTATTCCTAAACTAATCGTGTGATGTCTGCCTAGATTCGTTGTCTAGGTATCGATGTGGTAGGTGTATGTCCAAGTTGCTTGTCGTAGATGGTTTCTCTCTATGTCTTCCCCTTCTTTTCCTTTGGATCTAATCTCAACAAATGCCTATCATGTACATATGAGGTGATTCCACAATTTGGACCTAGTCCGTATTGCATGAAGCTTCTTATGATTGAGTGCAACACAGTACATACAAGCATGTATTCAGGTTGGTTTGTGTATAAGAAGAGACATTAAACTGGCGCCGACTGCCCACGGGAACTGTATGGCACGGTAGGCATTCGTTATAGGCGCCGTGAGGACTTCGAAACAGGTGCCAAAATGACTCAATATCGGTGCTGCAAGAACTCGTGATTAGTTACGTTAACATCACAGGTTACTAGTGGGTTAATATATCGAGCCAGTGTCGTTGAAATTTCGGCTGTCGAGGGTGATAGTCTTGAAGAGGAATCCACAAGACCTTGGATAACATCCAATCTCTTCGCAGCCACACAGCAGTGTTTTCCCATGTCCTCAAGCCATCTTTCACTCTACACAGTGGACCAGGAGTTAATACATGGATATCGCATCTTTTCATCTTTATGGGAGTGCACAGCTTCACCCTGTTCATTCGTGAAAAACCGGTGGAGACACAAAACACTTGACGATATCATGCTTCACAGACCACACGATTCTTCTATACCAAACAAATACTCGAGCCACAACGCGTCGGATACGTGATCTACAAGAGACATAATTGGACCAGACCTGTACCAGTGTACCGAAACAAGAGACATACCACGAGATCAGCGCCCAAGGTCAAATGCTCGTGTAAAAACCCTTCATGTAGACCTTACTCTCTCGGGACATTCACGACATATTACTGGTCCATGAGACTGAGTATAAGATAAGTAACACCTACGAAGAGGCAAGCCGACGACAGGGCTCAGCAAATACCTCAAAGACGACCGTGAAAGCACACTCTATTGCGCACGCGCACCACCACCATCCAAGCATTACGAGTTCGTAAACCTTTCCGAGCCTTCCTCCCCCCTCGGTTCCTCAGTCGCACGGGTAAATGCCGAGTTCGGGTATAGCGAGGACAAATAGGCATCAAACAGAGCAATAGAGACCCTAAGAGTCACGAATAGCACACAGGAAGACACATGTATATCTCCGCGAGATACAAGTTTGATTTAGACAGCTTGTGATCAGGTCAAAAGGTTCAATTCAGTCCATGGTTGGTGAGAGTACTGTGTAAGGACTACGCTGTGTCTCTTGTCTAGATTTAACTCTTGATCTCTCTACCCTAGTAAAGATACAAGGCGTAGGCTTTCTTTGATCCCATGGTTCTTTAAGCTTCCCTCTAAGAGGTTTTCCATATTCAAAACAGAGTCTTGTTATGGCAATCTTTATTCAAAAGAATAGTATTCGAAAGCTTGTGATTCAAAAATCCATTCAAAAATCCTATCAAAAGACGTTGTTCCAGTTTCAGCAACGTATATTTAACACGAGCCAAGGCGTGATTGAAAGCGATTCTCAGAGTTGCTTAGGTCTATATTGTTTTCCAGTACATATTTTCCACGAGATTTTCTGTCTCTTGAATTTTCAACTCTACATCATCATCTCTTCCTTGGTATATCTCTTCGCGCTTATATGATAGACTATAACGTCCCCCTCTCAATATTTCACTCTATAGTACGCCTCTCCCAGGATCGATCTTTAGGTGCAATGTTCCAAAAATCTCTTTCTGTCTTCTAGGCTCTATTAGTTCCGAAGAGGTGTGTGGCTTGTTTCGAAATTTGGTCAACCATTGTTCCCGTTGTTTTCAGATGCGGATCTTGAACACCAAAATAATGTGTGTGGCCGTAGTGTATGAAGGATGCGTATCTTTGTTATAGATTGGGGGTTTCCTAGGAACTATGGCTCTGCGGTATGATGACTTGACACTCCTTTGCGTTCTTTTTCCTGGGAAGAAAGTTACAGGGTTTGAGACCCGCGAAGATGGTTGAGGTTATGTGCGGCCCGAAGCGACCGGAATACGAAGTCTTCTCCTGTAGATTTACGAGACTTGGTACTGGAGCGTGGTGGAAGCTTGTTTGTTAGAAATGAACTACTCTATTTCCATGACATTGATCTACTATATAAGTGGTAAAGTAGCAATTCAAAGGCAGTTGTCACGTACTAGTCTATCCAGGTCATGCTTCATGACGCTTTTGGATGTGCCCCTGATATTTAGAAGTATTATTGATCAGCTTTAAGGCGATTTTAGGCGATTGCATAGTATTCTAAAAAGCTTCTACACTAATTCAGGGATGATTTATAAAATCTTAATCGTAGACATGGAAGTTTGATCTAAACAGTCTCTGTTTACTCGTATATCTTGCTCTATACATCTCATGACTGATCGTATTCATCCCCAGACTTATTACTCATATTTTGACTCTTGAACATAGACAATTGGCTTGTTCTTAGTCTACAAAAGTCGCCTCTATTGTCACCGTTGCTCTAGTTACGACCAAGTCAAAGGGTGATATTATGCTAGCATCATCTACCCGGCACCGTAGGGATCCGATTATCCATGATTGCGTATGAACCCTCCAGTACGAGGAAGGAGTCCGATTTGCTAGGTCTTTCCTCCGGGACGATCGACGATTGAACTATTGGGTCATCACTTCGCCTATGGTCTCGCGTAATTCACTGTGTTGAGTGAAATATCCCTACGCTCACGTGGTAAAAGAGAGGTTTTCATATGTCAGCACACCAACTCGATTTCGTCCGGCCTTCTCCGATCATACATTCGTACGTCTTGCACACATCCTGTTCGTGTCCCACTCGTTTTTCGCAGTATCTTCGCTCCGGACAATCGATATAAGCTGAGCAAAGTCAAACTGGTCCACCCCCCCTGAGCCTGTTCCACTCTCATCTGTAACGTCACAATTCTCTTTCACGTGCAGTTCTAGAAGATCTGTACTCAGATACATTGGAAAATAGCCAACAGTCGCAGTTTGCAATGGCAGGAGAGCAAACTCAACTCCATTTGCCGTCACAGGAAGGCGAAAGTGACCTTTCGTTGCGTGGTAGGGAAGCAAAGTAAGCTGGCAATGCTAACACTGTTCCTGTATCGTGATCAGTGCGGAGAATTTTGTCCAATTGTGTTGATATCCAGAACCTATGGCTGACAAGAGTAGTCTCATCCTCACGGGAGAGCTTCACGATCTGCATTCGACTTCGACTCTGAGCCATGGCACACTCGCTACAGTAGCTCCGTTTCCCCTGAGCGAGCATACCAGGACTGCAGAGAATACATATAATCCACGCGAACTCAACGTTTTCGACCCCTCGAATCATGACATCAGGGTTCAGAAGGACCAGGATACTATCCCCCATAGCACTAATGCCACTGCCGGGTATGGCAATACTCGTTACACCGACTACAGGACGACCGTCGATCTAAACGATCAGGGCCACATTCCTCATAATCACACGACCGTGACGACAGACTCCCCAAAGACCAGTCACCGTAACAATGGTCCCAAACAGTATAGCTCCCCGTATCCAACTGTGGTCCAGCCATTGGATGCTAAGCCCTCGACTGAACAACATACACTACCACAGAGTCATGCCTCCGCCCGAAACAGTGGAAACCCTTCTCCGATCAAAGCATTGATCGGCCACAGTGCACACACTCTTCTTAGCAATGCGAGACCCCTTTCCAGCAACATCTATGGTGGACAGGGTGTGCATCATCGATACAACAATTCCTCTGCTGCTCGCAATGCATATCCTACTTCCAATATCGCTTATGGTGGCCACGGTGGCTATCTTGTTCCTACTCCGTACACTCATGCCAACAACACATATCCTGCACCTCTTGGTCGACCCCTTGACAGTAATGCTGGGTACATTGCTTCATCTACCACCACTTATGGTAATGGTGCTGACTACCCTTCTTCATTTAATCAGCCGTATGGTACTTTCGGTGGATATCCATCTTCGTCCAATCATGCTCATGGTAGCGGCAATGGATATCCTTCTTCATCCAACTACGGCTATGGCGGCGATATTTCATACCCTTCTTTTTCCAATGATGCCTACGGTATTTATACTGAATACCCTTCTTCGCTGAACCACGCTTATGGTAACAACAACGGATTCCATGCTTCTACTAGCTATGCCTTTGGTGGTAACGGCGGGTACCCTCCTTCAACAAGCTACACATATGGTGACGATCGACATAATGCAATGGCTAGCCACGTCTATGGTGACAGCAGTGGACAACATGTTCCGTCACAGAGCGTCTACGGCCACAATCAGACTCCAATCAATGCATCGCACAGCACAGTCGCACAGCGTCACGCGGATCCGCCCTCATTATCCAACCCATATACGACATTTCCACCGCCATCCAAAAGGCCACATGAAACTGCGTTTGGACATGAGAATACTTTTAACCTTGGAAATTTCAGATCTCAATCACATATCTCACCTCAAACGTCGGGACCAGTACATTCGTCCCAGGATTGTAAGGCAGACGCGAGGGCTCACCGATTGCACAAAGAGATCCTTAACAGTAGCACATCAGCGGCCGATTATCACACACGGTTGGAAAAGAAATATTCGGTCGATGAAGATGCGAAAACTCCACGCCGTCCGCCCAAGCCAAGCTCCCCAGCCACTCCAGCCGAGGACCTCGATATTGCTGGAAGTTCTGTAGACGGTGAACACGACGACGAAGCTGTCCGAGACTCGGACTATACTCTGGATACCGCCGAACCTCTCATTCTTGATGAATCTGGCCGCCCATCAGCCATTGGTAAAGTGGTGTCTATTCCATCATATCCCGGAGCACAGTATTTTCCGTATGCCTCTGGCAGAGGCCTTATTGTTGCGCCTAATGATACAAATCTTTATGGTGAGTTCATCTGTTACGCTACGAAGACCTAACTAACATTACCAAGTTCATCCGCGCAGAAGAGTCGACCATGATGACACCGACTTCACGTCTTACATTGCAGAGCAAAGGACCTATACAGAAGACATGCTGCCCAGATTCATGGGTCTGATCCATGTCCGCCCAGATGAGAAAGAGAGAGAACCGACATTCTTGCGTGACGAGAAGGGCCGCATAGTTCGTAATCAATGGGGCCAGATGGTGAAAGAGTTTCCTTTCCTGCCATTGAGGATCTCACGTGAACTCGAAGAGTGGGCTCTGTGCTACTATATCGCGCTGGGAGCCAGCCCCGGCGATGTCTTGGATCGCATGTCGCCTCCCCCGAGAAACATTGTCGGCGACCAAGACGTCGATTGGAACAACATCAAGAGTATCAAGTACAACTATAGCCGCCTGAGGAGCAAGCTCGCAATGAGGGCAAAACGATGGTACCGGCGCTACAAGCTCCAGTTCTGCTCTAAGAACGAGCAGACCGGTCTCGACGCTGTGTACATTCGCGACATCCACAAAGATCTTTTCAAGTCCGGAGTGATCCATCCGCTTCAGCTGCTATGCCGTACATCGTGGGACTTGCGTTTCGACGAGGCGTCGAACAGTTGGATTATGTTCCGGGACAATGCCGAATACAACGCACCGAAGCCGATGGAGTGCGGCGATACTCTCAAAAGGATTCTGCATATGCTCCAGTGGCGTGTGCCGACCATTAACGACCTGCGCGTGTTGTCCGCCTGGTACCGCCAGGATCCACAACACAACCCGTGGATGACGAACCCAGACTGGGTCAACATCACACCGCCACCAAATGCTTTCAAGCAGAAACTCATCAATGAGGAATTCCTGGAGAAGAAGAGGTCGCGTGATGCCCAGAAGAAAGCAAGCCGGCGCGCGGGACGCGTGCGTAAGGACAGGAAGAAGGCGGACCCTAAGGTCAAGACGTCTGCGCCGGCAGAATCGCGGCCCGCTCAGACTGGCGCCGCAGACTCGGGTGCTTCGGATGAGGTCGGAGCGCGCGTCTACGACCCGGCAGCGGTGTGTCTGGAAGGTCCGTTGTGGCTTTCTTTTCCGTTCTTGAGAACCCATCACCAAGACTCTCCTCGTGAGGCGCGCGTTCAGGCGCCGAACGTCAATCTAGATGCCACGGTCGGGCATCAGTCCTGGGTGGATCAGCCGCCATATGGCGGAGCGATCTGGCGGTGGGAAGGCAGCGGCACGCAGCTGATGACCGGGGAGCCCGCAGCCAACCGTGCTCGTCAGGGTACCAGCCCGGACCATCAACTGGTCCTCCAGTAGGCAATGGATCCAAGGATGGTGGCTTCTTCGACTAGCCGTGAGGCGAAAAGTAGAGAGGAGGGCTTCTGGTGGTTGTCTGTGTTTTCGCTGGTTCTGTGTATTTTTAATAATAAGTGTAGCTTTATTTTCACCTCTTAGACTACATCACTATTTGACTTCATAAGTGACGATGTTATGATTTAGGAATACCTACCATGCTAAATTAATACTATCAAATACGCTACAACAAGGTTTAGTGACCTCTGATGCATTGTGTTTTCATCATCAGCTTAGATACGAGGGTATTGAGCGGAGCTTAGATAACGAGTAAAAACACGAATAAAACACTGTCTCGGAGATCAATAATGCCTAGTATACTATATATCCAGTATCAAACTGCCAAAGCAGCGGATATAGAGTTCTTATCATGCTACTCCGCTTGTAGTGGGTTGTGAATCAGTCTTATAATAAGAAAGGATATTAGCTCAATACTATGAGATTGAGTTGTGCTTCCAAGTGTTCTACCTGGTTTTATGGTTGGGAGAGACCATTTTTAGATCTATAACTACGCTATCATCTCCTCTAAAAAGGCTAGAACAGACTACATCAGGCTCTATATCGATGCATTTAACGTTAATTGGCGGTGAAAGAATGCTTTAAGTGGCACTACTTATGTGTGATCTGCCTTATCTAGTGAAATATAAAAACAGGGATTAAGTGCGCGTACAGCTGTCCTCTCTTATCAAGAATAGGGAGTTGTTCTATATTAAGCATAACATCATATTTCTCTCCGCTGTTTCCTCATTCTTATACTATGTATCAAGGGAGATACCTAGCTATTCCGCCGGTTTTATGGTTCATGATTCAAAGCTACTGTGGAAACTAAATTCATTGTTAGCATACTATAACAATTTCAACACTCTATGCCGCTCACAATGATTCTAGTTTAATGTCTGAGTTATGTCTTCATCCGTTAGTAATTCCAAACTCTAGTGAGTTTCCTTCATTATATCGAGATATCTAGGATTATACCTTTAGTGACCATGGTGAAACATTCGAATAATGGTCTCATGTCTAGGCTAGAGCCAAAGATACTGCCTAACAAGGTCTTCACCACACTGATGACCTCGTTCAGACTAGGAGCGACGAATTCTCCCTTCATCTAAAGCTGAAACTATGAGGCGGGAACTTTGCTCGAGGACCACGAACGGAACATGATCTTGGATTCTGGACTTTGGTAGAAGCAAGAAATTACACTTCTTCCGCCACTTAAAGCGAATCAAACTCTGAAAGCTATTCACAACACAGATCCAGTACTCAGCTTTTGCAGAATCAGCAACTCTCGACATTGATCCACGAAGCTCCCATCTCTCCTCAAAGCAATTCTACCGGTTCCTTGACCTCAATTTCTCACGTTCCGACCCCCCTCAATCGATTCTATGGCACCAGTACGTCCCTTCGCCCGCCGTCGCATAGTGGAGCTCAAAAGGGACCATACAGCTCCCGACGCTCCCAAGACCCGAACACTTATTTACACCAGGAAAAGCCACATAATTTCTGAAGCATCAAACCCATACAGACCTCGAGAGCTACTGGCGCATCTGGGTCATCTACGAAGCCAGGGAGAAACCTCTATAAAAGACTCTCACGTCATCAATGACACAGTTAACTCCCAAAGCTCGCGGCCACTGAAGCAGACTTGGAGCAACGCTCTGAAAGAAGGCTGCAAGGACCCGTACTGGCCTCCTTTACTCAATGAAAACAAAACCCCTGTTGCGAGGATGACCAACAGTACGTGTTGGAGGTGTGAAGGGTGCCCATCTACTGGAAAGACTAAACTTTGCATGTCCCTTTGCGAGAATTGTCTCAAGAGGACGGAAGTCAGAGATATCGTCCCTCCGCATAGTCTTTGTGAAAACTATGAGAGCAGATGCGGGACTTCTCCTTACGGTTACTCTCCTTCAGAGGCATCAAAGTCCTAGTTTCCCTTCACAGTAGTTTCCTTTCTCTTTCTCTAGGCAGCTTTTCAAGTCATAGTCTGCACCATAGACGCGATACATACATTTTGGTCACTTCTATAGGGAATAGACTCCACGTCTTTACTCAACGTCCTTGTCCATCAAGGTCGTGTTTATGGTAGCACTTGCTCCTTACTATGTTTATTAAATAACGTGCGTCCCTGAAGTGGGTTTAAATGTCGCGAAAGCATTGCTCATAGACATATGTATACCTTCTGATCGAAGAGTATGGAAAGTATTGCATGCCGCTATTTCGACGGACATTTATTCGTAGCACCCGTCATGGTGATACTATAAATTGACCCTAAGCCCTTGATAACGATCAAGCTAATCATAAACTCGGTCTGACAGAAAAGTCATAGCTCAATGTAACATCGCATGGTTCTGGATACAGAAGATGGGTGTATTCCTAGCATACAGTGATGCGGAATGATGAGTGGGTAGTACAAATATGCTGTTGCTCGCACAACGCATTTATCACTAAGCACGAGGTCAAATGATACAAAGGCCAAAATCTATGCATGCTTTCACCCTGTATGACAGATCTTCACAAAACGCACGTCTCTATCCTTCGTAAGCAGTCGCTCACATACACATCACATGCCCCTTCATCATACCGATACAGCGCTTGCTGGGATGCACATTTCACTCATAGATGTGTTTTGCAGACATACAAATGGGACGACCGCACCTTGCCACTCTTCTCCCAACTCATCCCTCAGTTACATTCCCATATCACACCTTAGCACCCCACGCTCTTCCGGCGCGACACTTCTCTGATCATTCTATCCCCTCGTTTCTGCAGAGATACAGCACACAACCCCACATATCAACATAGCAGCACCACTCCTTCCCACCATCAGCGACACAGGAGTTACTGTGGTATACGAACACAGAACACACCCCCTGGTCTCGATGGATTTTTCGAAAAGGGATACTCCCACGGAGCGTAGCGTATATCCGGCTCTCAACTTCGATGACTGGTTGAAAGATCAAGGAGTAAAGGCAGAGGAATTACAATATGAAGAAGACGACTATCTAGAAATTAAAGGCGAGTTTGACGACAGCTATGCCTCAAAGTACGTATGGCCTCTTTCCTGAAGCTTACTATGTCTACATCAGAGGTCGATACTGACGCCGAGTAGTGAGATGCTCTCTCAGGCAGGAGAGCAGTCCGGAATCAAGAGCGAAGAAGAAGAAGAAGAAGATGTTTTGACGTGAGTGATGCATTCTCTCCAGTATTTCGGAGTTTTAGCGATTATAATTTGACTAAGCAATGCAACAATAGATCTTCGACGCAAGCACAAGTACACTTCAAAGCACTGGAGGAGAACAGTAACCGTACAGAGTATGTTTACCTACATTGATACTCAATAAATCCACGATATCAAGAGTGAGTTGTGCGAAAGCTGACGTGAAATAGAAATCCAAATCTGATACACGCACATGGCCTGGCTCAACTATCACAGGGGAACACTATATTCTCCACTCCGGACTATTATTCCACAGGAGCTGATACGAAGCCGCTTGAATCTGACTCGAAGAACGTAACACACCCAATGGACCATATGCTATTGAAGCGAGGGACACCATTATCGGAAACATCGCAAATAAACCATACTTACCCTGGTCCCGTTAACCAGGCTGAAGATACCATGGACCTTTTTGGTTTGCCGAGCATGACCACATTTGGTGGCACCATGATGAGTACTGGTGGCTTTCGGCATGTAAACCAGAACGAAAACTGGTTCAACACAGCGCGATCCAACAACAACATGAACATGGGAGCGCCATCTTCAATGTCAAATCCTCTCCCTTTGTCGAACTTTGCCGAGCACTCCAATGTTCATAATTATGTGAATGTCTCGACGACGTCAAATCTTCAGAGTCCACTCCAGTCAGCTCCTTCGCCACAACCCTTTCGAGTGGGTAAAGAGCAGTCCAGGCCCAACCCCATATCTCAATACGGGGTGGGAGGTAACCTCACATTCAACAGCCCATCCTTGAATAACACTGAGTATCAGCAAAATTGGCATTACGGGACATATAGTTCTCCACAACCGCTACCAACATCAGCGTATGGACAATGGACCAGACCTACGGCGCCAATCACTGCACTGAGTCAAGGCCGCGACATCAACCAGCCATCTATGTCAGAGACCAGAACTCCCAAACGTCAAAAAACCGAAATGCCAAGCTATAAGGCAGGACTAACGGATTATTCAATGGAAATACCACCCTCGATGACAAATAACGCATTCAAGTCTCTTAAGAAAATGAAGAATTCAAAGCTAGTCCCCATCCAATCACAACATAGCATCATGGGCAAGCCGCGGACCATTCCGGTGGGCCCATCTAAGGCAAGTGTGCTCAAACAAGGCCCTGAGCAGATTACTATTGGACAGGCAGCTAGAATTCCTCAGAGAGGTGGAGGAACTGATTACGATGGGGCCGTCAACATATACATCGACGACACGACGCCCTCAATCAAGCTCAGTAAACGTTTCCGCAGGCACCGAAAGCGCGAGACAGAGCAAGGCAAACGCTTCGACGGTGAGGAGGACTTTACTTCGTTCAGTACCGACTCGTTCCAATATTCAGACGAGAACCTACCCCCCTTACTCGGCGTCATCTGCTGTGAGCATCAGAGCAAGAGCAGATCTTCTGATCTCCTGGATTCCAGAGGAAATCCCATTATAGGTCCTCGGGGTGTCCCGCTAACAGATGTCCCATTTCTTCCCCTCCGAATTAGCCGCAAGGTAGAGAAGTGGTTGATCGACTACTGGTTGGCGAAAGGAGCTCAACTGCACGACATCATCGTACGTACCCTACCCAGAAACGAACAATTCGTGTTCTATGAAAGAGACCACAAGTATGAGATTCGGAAGGACAGGAATGGCGACAATATCCTTCGGACAAACTATACACAGCGAGAGTGGGACCAAGCAGAGAAGGTCTGGGTCAAGAGAATGTTCGACATGGACAGGAATGCACTGAGTATGCGAGCGCAGCGGTTCAGAAATATATGCGGCCGGATATCCTCTTCAAAGAAAGGGTCTATGACTAAAAAAGCTGGGGAAGAGCTGCAGAAAGCGCTCAAGACTGGAACTCTCCATCCATTCCAGATCTTGCTCGGAGTTTGCTGGAACTTACTTCTTGACGAAAATGCAACGGAGAATAATCCTGAGAAAGAAGATAAATGGATAATAGCGCAGATCGACGATGCTAAGCGCACTTCTATATCGTACAGTCTCGATGTGTCGCTTGGCGTGGATGAAAGAATGTACCAAGCGCTGCTTGCATTGAGACGAAAAATTCCGAGAAAAAGCGACTACGATGCACTGAAGAAACTTTACTTTGACGGAATCAATCCATACAAGCAGCAGCACAAACATCTCGGCTGGCTTGACGTCGATGTCAGCCTCCAGCCACAGCTACTCGAGGTCATCAGAAGATACGAAAACCTTCCAAAGCTTGAGTTCTTCTATAGAGCACATACACACCATACTGAGGAACAAGAAGATGGCGGGAAGAGGAAGAGAACGATCAAAGATGTCCAAGACCTTGATAACGCGGAGAACCAACAAAACAACGAACGGAAGAACTTTGGTGAGTATGAACGAGATGACGGAGATGAAGAATATGCTCAAGAGTTCCAAAACTATGGTGACAATGAAGCTGATGAGGACCGCTTCGATGGTTCTGTGAATGAGGGTCATGCGCTTTGAAGCGGTGAAAACAATAGCAACGAAATTTCGTCATACTTAAGCATCGTTTTTGGAGCATAACATGATACTGTATAAATAGTTCTTCTAGCTGAAATTGAAGATATTAAAGAGAAAAAAAGAATTCGAGCTATGGGAGCGATTCTAACAAAAGTCTGGCGTGATACTTCTCGTGAGCTGAGTGATGAGGAAGGTGCAGCTATCACAACCAACAATACTGCCCTTCCCGATGGAGACATCCCATATTCTTCAGATGGAGATCAAGAAGACTGCTCAGTCGATGTCACAGACACACTTGCAACTCACAATATGACCATGTCAAGGCGTAAGCATTTACCTGCGGTATACTATTCGAGCCCGCCGCTGAGGTCTGCAGGTGGTCAGGACGTTCACTTTCTACTTACATCTCCACGGGAAACAGAACATTCCATCAGTACTCATGTCGACGAACTTGTTAGTGCATAACGACCATCTCATACTGATAGAATCGCTGATATTGACAGGAGATCACAGCTGGTACAGTAGTGGCAGCCGAGGCGACTTACAATGAATGGCATGAGTTCCCAGCAATGAACACAATAGTTACCTATCCGCAAAGCGAAAATGAATATAACGGCGAACCCTCCTCTGTTTCCATGCAGCACGAGTTTCCTCAACAAGCCCTCGATCAGTACGGAATCTTGGCAAAGGGGGCTATACAAGCTCCTATTTTTACAGAACTGAATCCAATAGACGATATGCGAGCAGATTCAGCAATGAGCACCCCAAAAAATCCAGCGTACACGTCAAACGATGCGGAAAAATTTCATTGGCAGACACTCTTGGGCTATCATCATCCTGTTGATCTGGTGGTTAGTGATGAGCAAGAGAATGAGATAGACCCGGACTTTGACTTTGATGAATGGCTCATGTCCGATGCAAGGAACACTGAGTGCGAGGGCCAGGGAGACATTATATTGCAAGGCATCATTTGGGCTCCCAACCCGACCAAGACAACACTCAGAGGTGGCCAAGGAGATGAAGATCAGGTTGGAGTTGAAGGGAAATTGCAGGCTGAAATCGGACTAGAACAACAATACATCCCAACAGAACAAAGTTTCTCAGACGAACAAACTATCTCGGATGACGAGACCATCTTAGTGGCACAGAGCAGCTCGGATGAACGGAACCAACCAGAAGAACGGGCTGAAACATTAGAATCGATCGAGCAGCCACTATACCAAGGTGGGGACGAAGATCTGATAATAATACCCACTCAGGCTGAGCTCGATTCAGTTACGGAAGCCGATATTCAATCGTACAGAGATACGGCGAATCTATATGAGCCAGGGACATCATACATATTACCAAGTTGTAGTGGCCCCGCCGTTGCGACCCGACGAGGAGTCGGTATGACCATTGAACAGTTCGAGGAGTTTCGGGATATCATTTTCTACAAGCGAATCGACGATAGTCGGAGACAAGCCACCCATCCCCACGAAGAACCTCGCAACTTCCCGCCGACGGAGGACTTCTTTCCCTCGTCTGACGAAGACTCCGCGGTAAGAGATTCTTACGTGCTTCAATCCTCTGTACCAACTTCGTTCGTACAAGAACGACGTGTTCTGATCGGAGAATATGGGAACGGTGTGCCAAAGATGGAAAGTGAGCTTCCGAGTTCTCCATGCGCCAGGCGGGGCATGGGACTATTAAGTTATGAAGAAGCATATACGAAGGAGCAACAAGCGGAGATGGAGGACGAAACACATACAGACATTGAAGATGAGACATATACGGATGTGAAGAGCAAACTTCCATCTTCGCCACCAGCTACAAACTGGGGTCGGAAAAGGCATCCTGAGGCAGACAGATATCGTGAAGGAGAACATCATCCTAGAAAGCGCAGGCGTTCGGCCTAATTGGAAGTTTGGCTCAAGCGGCGAGTAAGGGGTTTATCGAGAAGTTGTATTTCTATGTGTACGCAGAGAACAGGGCATCACCACTTTAAATATCCTTGTACATATCTTTCCATTCATGCAAACAGGTGGCTCATAGGTATGTTGTGTACGACTTCTGGCTCTGGCACCAACGTGGAGGTATGCGAAAGCTCTGACCGTCACGCACAACGCGAAATTCAGTCCCAAACGCATACGACGCGGGAGTGTATAGTCACATTTTCGATGCAGAGAATAAGCCGGTGTCTGAACAAACTCAAGGCAGAACACGGCGTCCCCACAAGGGTGAGAAATACAGAGAGGGCAAGAGTAAAGTGAGATTGCATTGTAATTAGACCAACTCTCCACGCGAGACCAGAGTAGACGTGACTACCACTATCGCCTTGTTAGATTATACGGCAGTATTCGGAAAAGAAAAGATACGCCTGCGCGCCTGCGTCATGGTTAAGAGCCGAGTATTCATGCCCTCGTTTGGATCCTTACGTGCTATGCACTAGGGATGCTCCACAGAGCAGACTGGAAATATGTTAACATATGGACCTTTGAGAAACCAAGACACTTGCCTGACCATGAGATTTGGTTCGCGCAAATTATGCTGCTCAGCTACATATTTGGTTTCTAGGCCGTCCGTAGTATCAGGACACTTCCGAATACCTGCAATACATGGTCCTTTATATGCAGGCCTGTAGCCGACGAGTTCCATTCTCGACGACAACTGGTCAACGAGTCATTTGAAGTGTTAATCTTAGGTCTCTTCGCTATTGGAGGCCCATATATCGCCTTGTACACGAACATCATGATGCCTCTACATCTGAAGACTTGGTCCTTGCTTGAACGAACTCAGATAGAGCATCGAAGGGTCATCGAGCGCTTTTAGAGGGAAATTCAATCGCTGATATCAATTATTTTCGATGATGAGGTGCATTGTCTTCAACAGCCAACCTCTCGGGCATAGTGAACGATCAAATTACGATAGTCTGAGGCATGCGAACAAACGGACGACATACTGAGAAACGGATTGGTGTGCTAGACCATAACGATCTTTAACGTAGTCCAGTATTGCACGCTTAAATCTCACGGACAACTCTACCATCTCAGATAATTGGAGCGCTCGAGCCAAATGGACGAGGCTTGATGGGTAAGATCTGGACGTTTCAAATGCTGCGGCATAAACTCATCGGCTTGCTTTGGGCATTATTTGCTTCACAGCCGCACATACTAAAGGTTCATCGTGGCCGCCCACGAGATGCATGTAAGCGACCCGTGCCAGGTGACACATGCCGGCCGGCGCTCCCTTTATTGAGAGGGCGCTTCCTCGAAACTTCAGACCTACCAGTCGGTGCTATCCAGTGCTTTATGCCACCGACTAGATCCATGAATACTTGAAATGGGTATATGATGATGCTGAAAATACCATTCATCCAAAAAGAGCAGCAGCTACTGATCCATTGCAGAAGCTTCGCGATGACACCCGGCTTCTGCCCGGTTCGAGCAGCAGCGGCTGCCAGAGATAGCGCATCTTTGAGTCGGACCTCGAGGTCATGGAGACGCGCTTCATTTTGTATGGTCTGAGTCGTGTATCTCTTCTCATATCTGCGAACAGCGCGATTTAAGGCATCCAGCTGCGGTTGCACGGTTTGGCGGACTGACGCACTTATCTCCGTGACCCGAGTATCCTTCTGAGAAAGATCAGTCCCGTCACGGGTTTCCTGTTCCGCAGCACGAGACTCGATTGCTTCTACTCGCATCAAGATATCCTGCACTGCTTGGCTGTCAACCGCCTCAGGTGGGGAAGGCTCGCGTTGCACGATGCGCTGGAGATGCATGATACGAGCACGCTGTAGTCTAATCAGATGCGATACCGGCCGCAGTTCTGCAGCTAGTACAAAGATTGTCAGATTGTAGTTCGAGACCAAACCCTCGGATGGGCGTGTCAGGTATGAGCGAATGTAATGCAAAAGGTAGGCGCCTAATACTGGGCCAGCAAAGCAAGCTGCGAGAGACAACAATTCGTTTCTCCGCAACTCAGCACTCGCATATTTCTGCTCATCTGTCTGCCGCTGTTTCTGTTTCTGTTGACCAATAGGCTCCGCAGCGGGAGTAAGAATACTGTCCGATGGCTTCTGGTCTTGACCAGTATTTTCTTCGGCGTCACTATCCTCTTCAAAAATTGTTTCAGAAGGCTCATCATCAATTTGCTTGGATATTATGAGCACATGCTGTGCTGAGTTGTACCAGTCCCTATTGACAAGCGTTAGACATACATGCTCATCGTAAATAGGACAGCCTACTTACCATGGAGTGCGCACGCACCAGTTCAGGAACATGGTGCTCAAGCCAAGTAGCAGTATATCTGTGACAACTGAGCTGCCATTGTTGAACAGCAGACCTCCGACGGCTGGAAGAATGGCAAACACCAGAGGCACCGAGTGCCAATGCGAGGTGTCTTCAGACGTCAATTTCTCGAGGGCGCCAGGACTCAGAAGATCATCGGTGGAAGACTTTATGGAATGACGAGCATCGTCGAAGGAAGAGGACGAGAAGAGGGAGCTGCGACGCCGAGTAAGACCTGGAGGTTGGGTGGGACGCACGCCCTCAGCGAAGGTGGCAGCACGAGTCGTTTGGCGCTGTTCTCGTAGAAACGGAGTGGAGGTGCTGCGACGCATCTCGAGAGGAGGAGAGGCAGTGCGGTCTCCCATGATGATGGTCGTCGACAGAGCTTGAAACATGAGTTGAGCAGTCCGATGTTTACAGATGGATGACGTCGAGGTGAAACTAACTGCTTAGGTGCCCGCCCGCGATGGTGAGCTATCCACGGCGTCTTGAGGTATCGAAGAGAACAAAGAACAGAAGCGCAGCGGAAAGCGCGAGGATATGGTTGACGCTGCCATCCGGACGGTGGCTGTCAATCATTTGCAGCTGAAATGCAGGAGAAATGCAGATACAGATGCGTAGATTCGTGCGAGTGGTTAGTTGAAGCTTCCGCGCATGTGATAATCTTCCAGCCCAATCCCGCAATTCCCGGCCAGGAGTGATCGACATCAGGGATTTGGAGGGTGGTGCCTCGGTGCCTTAATATCTTGATATCTTGATGCCTTGTAAGGCCGACTTGCTCGGGGCCTCACACTTTCGTCTTCTCCGAGTCACGCCAGGCACACATACATGGAACTCTCACTCACAACTTCACAACTCACAAAACCGGACGAGAAGCTTAACGCCACTGCATTTTGCTAACACATTTCTGGGTCAGTCATGCACTTGCGCTGTAGTCTTCAAACCGCGTAATATGGCTCACCAAGGTCGCCACAAGCTTTTCACGCCCAGCTATGTTGTCGATCCATTGACATAGAATTTCATGGAGCCTCTACCCAAACACAAATCTGACTCTTAATAGAAAAGACCATGTGGTCGTACGACTATCTCCAAAAGCTTGACGGTACGGACGGGTCGTCTCCCGACCCTGGTCGACATTCATTTACTATTCAAACCCCGTTCGGGACGACGCCTCTTCTATTCACATCCCGATACGGTAACCTCCCGCTCCAGACTTAGGGCCGCATCCACAATGTTGCATATCTTGGACTCAAATACCTGCATACTCAACGAATCGCTATCTTCGCCAGATAGAATCATTTATCTCGTGTTCGTTATACTCTTGTTTGTCCTATACTTGTGAACCTTTTGTTCCTTGTTTGTGTGTGCGGCATTCAACATTGTTATCTAGGAAGTATTCGTTTCCCGCTCACACAAGTGAACCGTCGTATCACATTGCAGCCTATTCTATTTAATTTGGCATGGGCGATGCGTTATTCTGGTTAGATCCTATTCAAAATGACACGGTCTATGAGACTCCAGTCCACAGCCTGTCCCTTCCTGTACTATCACACCTTCATCAACATGAGCTTTGCCCCTCCAAAGAATAATAGTAGACTTGGAAAGTTGGAAATATCCCCCAAAACCCTTTGGGATATATATTCTACTACATGTCTGCGAATTCTCAACCTTCCCACAGCATGTCCCCCACAAGAGTCGTGCTCGTTGCGCTGGCCGCAATCGTTGTCGTCGTGGACATTCCGCCTCTCATTTGGCATTTCAAGAACAGGAATATTGCCCTGTTCAGTCTATTGCTATGGCTCATCATCCTCAACCTCGTCACAGTCACTAATGCGCTGATATGGCCGACTGACGATACAAGCACTTGGTGGGATGGTCAAGGTCTTTGCGACATCCAGGTCCGACTTCTTCTAGCGGCCGATTATGCTCTCTCGGGCTCATTGGTCTGTATCATGCAAGGTCTTGCAAAGGTCATGGATACAGACCGCGCAGTCATCAATCAGTCTCGACACGATAGGATCAAAAAGACGACACTTGACCTAACACTATGTTTTGGACTCCCAGCGGCATTGTCAATATTGCACTTAGCGATCGATCAGCCGGCACGCTATGTTATATTGACGGTGAGCGGCTGCACAGTCCCAATCAGCTACAATTGGGTGACGTTGGTGCTCATCTGGCTTGTGCCGGTGCTTATCACGTCTGTAGCCTCATTCTATGCCCGTACGTACTCCCTCGCCCTCGTCTGTATCACGCGCTGACATATCGCCAGTGACGGTCATGTATCGCATGTATAGGTATCGACGACAATTTTCAGCACTCCTTGAGCGTTCGAGGACCACCAAGGCTCGCTTCATCCGCCTCTTTGCCATGACACAGGTTCTTCTCACTATCACATTACCACTGCAGCTCTACAGCTTGTCCGCAAACCTCGCAATGGTCCAACTTGAGCCTTATTCATGGTCAGTGATTCACGACCATTGGAGCAGCACCATCATCTTGGTTCCCATGGACGGCGTTATTGATCCTACAATATGGGTTCGCGTCGTCGCTGGTCTACTTGCATTCCTGTTTTTCGGCACTGGTGCAGAAGCAATCACCAGATACCGTGGCTGGCTGATCCTACTCGGGCTCGGAAAACTCTTCCCAAGCCTGCTCCAACAACACTCGAGCATCACATCGAATCCATCACGAGTCACGATCAGTAGTGTGGGAAGTAAAGCGAAGTTCTGGACAAGCTGGAGGGCCCGTAAAGGAAGCGCGAGCACTGAGGCGTCTGCGTATGTATCGCCCTGTTATCCCTGCCGCGTGTCAAGCTAACGTAAAATAGGACGAATATATCTTTATTCCAACGTTCTCTCACCACGTCAACCAGGGTTACAGATTGTCCGCAGATGCAAACTCTGGATAACATTTACATTACCAGAGGGTCTTTGATGTTTGATATCGATCCTGATTTGGAAGCGCAGGACGATGGGGATGATTCGACACATGAGCCTAGACCACGACTGTAAGTCGTCGCCCCACAACACGCGCGCTCGTAAATATTTTGATGCTTCCTCGCCATCCTCTTTCCGTCGGCATCTTCGCTTGGTCAATATTGACAGGCCTTCGTCACCAGTATTTTACTTTCATGTTGAGATGATATATCATCACGGCACGAGATAAAGCGTGCCTTTGTACTCGCCAGGCTGACTTCTGTCATCACAACATCCTTCATGCATTAACCTATAAACCTTACATGAAGCATTGATTGGGACGCCCCTCAGCGAAGGAAGCACGCCACACGCAGGGCGGTAATCAGAAACAAGCCGGGAGAGTGTTGATGATCTATACTGGTCTTATGCCACACGTTATCTCACAGTCTAATTAATGAACCGGGATGCATGAATCCCGTTCTCACTGTCCGCGCGACATTCCCTGTGCCTAGCATAAATAATAACTCGCTACTGGATTACTGGTGTCCACATTTATTCGAGTCAGGTTGCTCGGCTTAATTCCTTATTGTGCGCTTTCATGATTACTAATTACTCCCAGTGGACTTCCTGTTTGATCCACTTCAAGTCCACTACTAATAATCCCAGTCCCGAGTACTGCACAGGTAAGTCAACCGCACGGACGCCCGCTCAGTCACCATGGATCGCTCAGCCACTCGACGAAGAGTGAGGCGTCTGTGTTGTGATTCGTCGCCCGAAATCTAGTATCTAACTGGGGTGCGGACGCTTCCTACATGTCCATGCGTGTGCGTCGCGTTCATACAAACACGAACACGTGTGCCACGCAAAGGAATTCCAACGCAAATGCGGTTCACTCACTCCTCACTGGTACACATACATTCCCACGACGTTTCCTACGTAGAATACATGGGCTCAATGCACCCCCCCCCCTGCTGTGCAACTAGACAAAAGCAAGTGGTCACTCGTCGCCGGTTCTTTCGCGGTCTATAGTCCAAGAAAGAATAATAGAGCATAAGAGGAGAAGTTGCTTTGATTGGTCCGTTTGTAGAACGTGCAAATGAGGCCGTTTGGCTGAGAAATAAATTGCTCGCTATCACTATGTATTCACTCAGTTCTGTGCCGTCTCGTCCGCGTGGTCAAATCCTATCCGCACACGGATCCATGCTTTTCTATAATTAGATCCAAGATGATAAATGTCCCGACGATTCATTCCGCAGTTATTCAATGTGTCTATTACAGCATCCTGATTCAAAGTCTATAGCTTTGTAGCTGAGGGTCTATACTACCTTACCACCTGGTCATACCATACCACTTAGCAATGTAGAGTTCTCAAATTTGAACGTGCAGAGTATGTATTGAAACCCTGGATCACTATGACTTCAAACCTTAACTTTTGAGAGACCTGAATTTCCAGACGCTAACGCCACCTGGTACGAATGAAAAATACCGCACACAGCTTCAATCAGCCGCGTTGCGAAATGTCACACCTCATAGTGGTTATCAACTTGGTGGTCCTTGCACTCGGTCATTGCTGTATCTACCACACCTAAGAGGAATCCTTACGGCTGTACTCCCTCAATAGATATTAAAGCCGCGCTACTTATACTTAATATAGAAGTATTCCTATTAGTTATTAAGATGAGACTTATTTTATTAGCGTGTCCCGTAGATTCTGCGTTTCTGAGTATCAAGTCCTTATACGTTACTAATATTTTGTATGTAGCTATAGACAGAGTCTATATATATAGTTAGAAAAGATAAGAGAAGTAAGAGATAAGAGAAGTAAGAGATAAGAGAAGAAAGAGATAGAGATATATATAAGGATACTACGTGAGAGCGGTGTTAAGAAGTCATTTATCACATCACTATACTAGAAGTATTTTAAGCATATGAAATATATTATATACCAAATTATCTACTACGAGCTAGAGATGATTCTTTATTAGGTATAAATCGTGCGGTATTAAGCCGTGAGGCATTACCATTGTTAGTGGAATGGTATGGCCGTAAGTTGAACCTCTTCTAGGACTTAATTCTAATATACCAGGACTAAGGACGTTACTATTTATATCTTGAGCAAATTATCGCTTTATATACCGGTTAGTAGAAAGAGATAGACTAGGTTTGGGTCTTCAAAAATGACGCGCTACCTATATTATATCATGCTATAATAAATACTAAGAACTCTGCATAATGTAAGAGCTGTTTTGCTATAACTATTACTCACTATAACTCTTTATTTCCCTCACATCCTCTTATTTGGACTCTTGATTATCAAATATGGTAATGCTACTCCTAGTGTTATTACTAAGTTTATTAACTCTTTCCTCGGCCCGGACATACGCTTGGCACGAGTCATGCGATAAATATTCAGATTTTCCAGGTGTTAAGGATGTGATGGACGAGGTGATAAGAAGTGCTAGACTAGCTCATCGTTATTTAGAGCTAAAAGATAGTCCCCCTGGCATCGATCGTGCCTTCCGTCGTATGTTTGATCCTAGGGATCCCTCTGCGTATGAAAGTACCGCCCGGAGGGTGGCATCTGTTATGCGTAGTGTAACGGAAATGAGACCTTCGCCTCAATTCTTCGACGCAGAGGCGCTATTCTACTGCGACAACGATAAGCGGTGGAAGATCAAACTTGACCAAGAGAGCGGACAATCCCCACTCCAGGAAATGATAAAATCTTGGCGTCGTCAGTTTCCATCTTTACATACCAAAAAAGATGAAGAGATCATTGAAAGACTATTGATGTATAGCCCAACAAGAGTAAGGGGAATGGTCACGTTCGAAGACGCTGAGAGCGGGATGGTCACGAATGACTTCCCAGGCTGCATGGACCCAGAATATTCTACGAGTGTGGGCGCGATAATGTATCGAGATCAAGCCCCCAGTACCGCAGACACGATACCTGAAAGCCGGAACACTCTCACGCTATGTGATGCAGTGCTGAAAAGTGGATTCAGAACTATGGAGCACTACGTACAAGAGGCCACCAAAAACGATCCGCATAGGGTGCTAAATCTCCAGGTCTTCGAAGCAGACAAATTGGTTTCGTTTCTTAGCCTTACATTACTTCATGAGCTCATGCATGTGCTGTATACCGAAATAGGGGACGAAAAGTACGGGACAGGGTGGACTGCTTGTCAACAGTTACCTACGAGCGCTGCGCTCATAAATGCGGAAAGCTATGCTTATTTCGGTATACTCGCACTATTATTTGAGATGGGGTATGAACTAAGTTCTAGTCCAAGAGAGGCTTACGTTGGTAAATTAGTTAAAAAAACTTCCTAGTAGATCCTCCTACTATAGTTATATTATAAGGCTATCTATCTATATTAAACGAACAACCCTGTGTGATTAATATGATTAATGATTTTGGTACTAATACTTCTCTTATACACTGATAATTCTACAAGGAACGTCGCCTATATAGAGCGTTGAATTGCTGTACTTAGCACCGTCTTTAAGTGTACATTTTCTAGAGCTATGACTAAAGATCTATAATTGTAGGCTCTTTACTATTACCAAGCAGTAACCTGGATCCTCTCTTAATATGACAGTGACTACCAACAAATATACTCCTTAGGATGAAAAGGTATCAGTGCTGATAATTGACTCGTAATGTACACTGCCTCGATCACGCATGGACGATCAACACGATCAGCAAAACCTTAAAATTTCTATTGGTCGATCTATATACATAGCTGCCTGGGGTGAGGATCGTAACACTCTGATTGCTCGCCTTATAAAAAGAATTGAAAGGACAAATACAAGGTTATACCTAGCCCGGCTAAATGGAGACGTTCAATCAAGTAAGATTTACAGAGAGTCTTGAAGAAAGTTGGCATGCCACGCAATGCATGTAATACCCGGGAGCCATCTGCGCCTTGTACTTGTTTGAAATTTTACGCCCCTATCCATGGAATCCAGGACCCTAGTACGCCAACCCGGGAAAATGATAAGTGGATATCAATGTTTTGAATGTAAAGTTGTGAGGAGCCTGCCGACCTCTTCATACAGCGTTATGCCGCTGCAACAGGTTGATATCGCTGCGTTCCTGTATGATCAGGCGCTGAACCCTCCCAGTGCTCGACCAGAGTGTCTTCGGCGATAGTCATCTCAGCTAGACATTCATTAACTCTCTCCCAGTCATCTGTTCCATGAACAACTTCATTATCGACCACAATCCAGCTGTTCCGTCGTTCTTGTGGGGGCGTCGTTGACCAGGACGATAGGAAGTGCTCCATTGCAAGGTCCCCGAGCACACGCGCATAGTGAATAGCGGGCGGTCGAGTTATCCCCGGTTGATAGGGGTTCGCGCCACGTTCGAGTAGAAGCTTTGCTCGAGGGAGACTACCTCGCCACACCGAGGCATGGAGAGCGGTGTCGAGCTCCGGGTCGACATCGCTAATGCAGATTCGTTGATCGAGGAGTAGTTCCAGAATGGGAATGATAACCGAGTCATCTTCTGGTCTGGAAATGGCAAGCTGCAAGGCTGAGCCATTGCTGAAGTGTGCGTTGGCGGAGAGAAGGAGTTGTATGCTTTGCAGCGGACCATATAATGCAGCAGCATCAAGTGCCGAGCTGTTGCGGCGCGGATCTATCATGTCGAGGTTGGCGTCGTGGGAAATGAACCACGAGATCAGTAATGGGGAATGAGATACTGAGCTGCGTGGAAATGCTGCTTAGTTTTGGTTTGAAAGTGAAAAGGAGAAGACCTAGTCTTGCTCAAGCATGTAACAAAAGAGAGTATCCTACAAATGTAGGAAACATGGTACAAGTACACGCGATACTCAAAGAGATTGTGATCCTTACTGGATGAAGGGTGCGCCGTTGTGATCGATGGAATCGACGCTCCATCCCCTTTCAAAGAACGTGTCAAATAACAACAGACGTTCTTGATCAGGCATTGGATGAAAGATAGCTTGGTGAATGGCGAAAGGCGTGAGAGGGGAGCCTTCATCTAGGCTGAAGCGCACCCAGGCAAGAGAGCAGTGTCGTATTGAGTCGACTAATATTCCTGCGAGATATTCGTCGAACTTGTCTTGGTATTCATCCGTTAAGTCAGGATGATACCGTATAGCTGGTGCCAATCGGAAGGCATCGTCGAGGTCGCCGTATTGGCAGACCCAGTAGAACTGCTTCCATAGCTCGGCGATACTGAAGTCGTGCACGGATATCATATTGCTACAATTCATATCTGCTCTGGAGTAGGCAGACGTCAGGAGCATACAAACGCCAAGGACATGAGACACTGTTGTTGGTGAGAGGAGAGTGAGGAAGACGTACGACTAGGAGGAGGGAGGACTTGAGCCGCTCTATATGCCATATCTGTGGTCCTGTGGCGGGCCAACATTGCGAGCTATTGGGGGCGACCCGGGTCCGGGTGAGGCAGTGGGCTGGTCAAGGCATAAAAGTGAGGCGGACGCTTGGGATCATCGGGATCACGTCAACGGTTGGATTTGGCACGCAGGGGGCTTGCAGTCTGCAATACAGTATGTAATTATGTACTAAAGGGGATCAACTGCTTATGCCGGAATGACAGAGTGGTCCTTGACGAGCCTCAACGCCTCTGGGAGCCCAGATAGGTTGCCCTGTAGCCTTCTCTTTCTGCCCTCCGGGCTTGTCCTTCGTTATTCCATGCGGCGGCCTTCTCGCCAGTGGTTTCACACATGCATTCTACGTATCATCGTAGTGGTAAAGCAAAAATGCTGACACTATGTGCGGAACGATGACTGTATGTGCATGTAGCATGATTTGCTCGCTTGCTGGTGGTATTGGTGGTGATAATGGTATCGGTTGTGGTGATGCTTCTTCGAGAAATCCAGTACCTCCCTCGCATCTTGGCAGCGATCACTGTAATTGTGGCTCGTGCCTCAACAGGCTAAACCGCGGCAGCTCAGCTGTACACTAATCCGTTAGTGGTATGCAGAGAAAAAGTCGTCCACACAGAATACAAGCTTGATCACAGCAGAGTTCCAACGACTACGCCAAACATCTTCGTGATTAGCCAATCTTTCAAGATGGCGCTCGTCAAGAAGGATGAAAAGGACTATACTATCAAGCCAGCGGCCAGTGCCCCTGCTCCTGACACGAGCGACTGGCCTCTCCTTCTGAAAAATTATAGCAACCGTATGCTGAGCTCGCGATTCCTCCATGGAGCTCGCAAAAAGCTAACAGTTGACAGTCCTCGTTCGCACCTCTCATTTTATGCCGATACCCATGGGATGTGCCCCTCACAAGCGCGATCTTAAGCAGTACATCAGCTCTGGCGTGATTAATCTCGACAAGCCGTCCAATCCTTCCAGTCATGAAGTCGTGGCATGGCTCAAGCGGATGCTCAGGTATGATTCTTCAGCGCATGCTCTGTGTTCCTACTCATCGTACGCAGGGTCGAAAAAACTGGTCACAGTGGCACCCTCGACCCCAAAGTCACTGGCTGCCTCATCGTCTGCATTGACCGCGCCACCCGCCTTGTGAAATCGCAACAGGGAGCAGGAAAAGAGTACGTGTGCGTGATTCGCCTCCATGATAAACTCCCTGGTGGTGAGGCTCAATTTGCTCGAGCACTGGAAACCTTGACTGGAGCCCTGTTCCAACGACCACCTCTCATCTCTGCTGTAAAGCGCCAACTGAGGATTCGTACTATCCACGAGAGCAAGCTCTATGAATTCGACAACGATCGGCACTTGGCGGTCTTCTGGGTCAGCTGCGAGGCTGGAACCTACATTCGTACCTTGTGTGTGCATCTTGGTCTCCTGCTAGGCGTTGGTGCACATATGCAAGAGCTGAGAAGAGTAAGGAGTGGTGCAATGGACGAGGAGAAGGACATGGTCACTCTACATGATGTTCTCGATGCCCAATGGATGTACGACAACAATCGCGACGAATCGTACCTTCGCACTGTCATCAAGCCACTGGAGAGCCTTCTTACGACATACAAGCGAATCGTCGTCAAGGACAGCACGGTGAATGCTATTTGCTATGGTGCGAAGCTCATGATACCAGGTCTCCTCCGTTATGGTAAGAACCTTTTCCGATTGCTTGCGCTTCGCAATTTTGCTGACATTTATCTCAGAGAGTGGCATTGACCAACACGAAGAAGTTGTCTTGATGACTACCAAGGGCGAGGCTATCGCCATTGCTATTGCACAAATGTCGGCGGTCGAAATGTCATCTTGTGACCACGGTGTTGTGGCGAAAATCAAGCGCGTCATCATGGAAAGGGACCTGTACCCAAAGAGATGGGGAATGGGACCAGTGGCCACAGAGAAAAAGAAGCTCAAGGCTGATGGCAAACTTGACAAGTACGGGCGGCTCAACGAAAATACTCCGGCCAAGTGGAAGGCAGAGTACACCGACCTTGGAGGCAATGCTCAGCAAGAACGTATCGAGGACGTCCCTACGGCTGAGACCACCTCGAAGGCAGACGGTTTGGCGGCCGCACCCGTACCACCAACGGGCAATGAGGCCGAAGCAGCCTCACCAGCCGACGTCAACGGCGACACGAAGAAAAAAAGGAAACACGAGGACGAGACCCCTGAGGAGAAAGCTGAGCGGAAACGCAAGAAAGCTGAAAAGAAAGAGAAAAAAGCGAAACGGAAGTCCAAAGGAGGAGACAGCGATAGCGATTGAAGTGTTTCAGCTTGTCGAGTCTGTCTTTTCCTGAGCTTGTAGGGATCGGCGTTTTCATAGCTAATGGTAGGCTTATATGTGTACATTACCATGTCATGCGGAAAAGCTATCATGGCGGAGTCCTGGCGGAGTACAAAGGCGTAAATAACTGATCGAATACCACACATTGTCACACCCATGGAACCAGTAAGGATTTAGAATACAATAGGAAATGTTGAAGCCTTAGGCGTTCGGGTATCTTGGCATTGTATGTCACTTTGTACCAAGCAATTAACAATAATTCTGCTCCCACTTAGTATCCTTTGAAGCGCCTCAAGTCTTAATTGATAGAACTATGCCTCCTTTAAGACCTGAAGCTTGATTGATATTGTTGCACAATGTTTATCAGTGATGGTCACATCGAACCTTCCAGAAAGTTCGATAGCGTGACGTTTGCAGCGGGACTGCCCGCACGATGGAGTCGGAACGTTGTGGGGTGTTCTCGCCGGTGAGGCTGCGTCGGCTGACCAGGACGTCAACATATTTCGTTCTTGCCTTGTATTCCCTTTTTCACCTCTCGCTTCGTACGTTGCAACCTACTTCGAACGCACTTTTATAGTCATCGCCACATACGATTCTGGTCGCTTCCCTCCACCGCAATACGTAAACATGGTGAAAGAGACAAAGCTCTACGATCAACTAGGTAAGTAACAGTCACCTCCAATACTCTAACTAGCGCTTCAGGATGACAATCTTGACTTCGAATCTGTACATTACTTAGCTGATCCCTCAATACCACAGGCATCCAACCTAGCGCGACACAAGAAGAAATCAAAAAGGCATACAGGAAAGCAGCGCTGAAATGGCATCCTGATAAGAACAAAGACAACCCACAAGCCAACGAAAAGTTCAAAGGTAGGCTCATCATAATGATCTCAAGAAACGCTCGACGCTAATGGTCCTTCCGCAGAGGTATCGCAGGCCTACGAGATCCTTTCTGACCCCGAGAAGCGCAAGACATACGACCAATTCGGCCTCGAGTTCTTACTACGGGGTGGACAGGCGGCGCCAGAGGATGGTGGAGCCGGTGGTATGCCATTCGATGGTTCAGGAGGCTTTCCTGGATTTGGAGGCATGGGAGGAGGCGGTGGTACTCGAACATTCCACTTTTCCACTGGCGGAGGTGCAGGGGGCTTCCATTTCAGCAATCCAGAGAGCATATTCTCGGAGTTTCTCAGAGGTCAAGGAGGCATGGGAGATGAGGACGATTTTGGAGGCTTTGGTGGGATGGGAGGTATACCAGGCATGAAGGGCCGAACTACGAGCAGTCGGTTCGACGGTGCTGGGCGCCGCGCTCCTACCCCTGAGGTTACTGTAGTGGAAAGGGAACTTCCAGTTAATCTAGAAGACCTGTTCAACGGCACCACAAAGAAGATGAAGATCAAGCGAAAGACATTCGACCCGCAAACACAGAAGCAGAGTCTGCAAGACAGAATTCTAGAGGTACCGATCAAGAAGGGCTTGAAAGCCGGTTCAAAGATCAAATTCTCCGATGTTGGCGATCAGGTTGAAGGCGGTACCCAGGATTTGCACTTCATAGTCAAGGAAGTAAGTGATAGCTACGAACATTACGATGGACCTGTACTGACATTTTGCAGAAACCTCACCCCCTGTTCCACCGAGACGGAGACGATATCACCCATAACGTAGAGCTCGACCTCAAAGAGGCGCTGACCGGCTGGAGTCGTACTGTACAAACCATTGACGGCAAGCAAGTAAAGGTCGCATCGGGTGGACCGACGCCGCCGACGTGGAAGGAACGGTTCCCTAATCTCGGCATGCCGAAAAGCAAGAAACCCACCGAAAGAGGCGACTTTGTCGTTGGTGTCAACATTAAGTTTCCAACCAACCTGACGGCTAATCAGAAGACACAACTGAAAACGATTCTATGAGACAAATGATAGTAGGAGAATTCATGAAAGCATAAGTAGCGGCGTCTGGAGTTTTCCCTCATGTATGATGTTGACGTATAAGGAGGCTGGGTTTCAGAAGCCAGTTATGTAGTCATGCCGTTTTTTTTCAAACGTAGAATGCGGTGCATAACCGTACTCAAAAACTGAGCATCCACAATCAACATGTGTTGCGTGAATTCGCTCTTCATGTTCCAAATCGAACGTGTTGTGCCAATATTGCTGCCTGAGACAGGATTCACGCGCCAGGCAGCACGCATGACTTTTTTCCACGGGCTGACTGCACCGACCTTCGAAAAGCCACCTTGACCTTTCACCAAATCTTCAGCTGCCTCCAGACTACATCCTCCAGCTTTCATCTCCTCTTCTCAAGCTTAACCAAGTTATCAAGAAGAATTGAATCATTATGGATGTCTTCTGGCAGGCACCGCCAGTGTCTAGGTAAGACCTCAACTATTTACAACCCGTTTGGTTCCCAGCTGATTTGTCCACAGAACCCTTGCAGCTTCTGCTCTTATCGTGTCATTGCTAGGACATGGCAAACTCATCCCGCTATATCCTTTCGCATTCATATCACGACAAGTGTTCAAGCTTCCTCCCGAGATATGGCGACCTATGACTGCCTTCCTAGTGACAGGGCCAAAGCTGGGAATCATCCTGGATCCCTTCTTCTTATATCGATATGGCAGCAGTTTGGAGACTGGAAGTCCCCGCTTTAGCAGACCAGGAGACTTCTTCACATATACACTCTTCGTGATGACGAGCATAGTGGTACGTCGCGCTCCTGCTTCTGAACATTGCCTTGTTGCGTGCGTGTCGTGTAAAACCTCCTATATCTGCCCGTCCAGCTATCAATAGCTGAGAGCGGTTCCTGGAACGGAGGGAGATTACCCTTGCATTTCATACAGGTCCCATCATTCGCAAAAAAGTCAATCATTTAGGACTGTATGGGGTGTGAGCATGGTGGGATGTCACTTGAGAACCTGGCTGCAGCCCCGGATTGCAGGTGGGGGTAATGACACCCTACATATCATCACTATCATATTTGCGTGAACACTGAGTGTAACAAATGAGCATTTTGTCAATTCTGGTTGCTGACAAGCTCTCACTAGGTTGCTTGTGGCCTTGGCCTAGGTGGATTCTTTTTCATGTCCGGTACGTACTACAACCATCAGCCTTACACATCCTACTCACGAACTACGCAGCTCTTACTCTCGCCTTTGCCTACACCTACAGTCAGGACAATCCGAATGTCCAAATTCAATTTTTCATCATCAATTTCCCTGCCAAATATCTTCCTCTCGCCATGCTCCTGATGTCCTTTATCATGGAAGGTCCTACTGTCTGTTTGGAGCAGTCCACCGGGATCTTCGCTGCCCATCTTTATGATTTTTTCACCCGTATATGGCCGGCCTTTGGCGGTGGCAGCAGGGAACCATGGATCAAGACTCCGCGACTGATCGCACAAGCTTTTGGCGCCGACCATGTAGGGCCGAGACCGCGAGCTTACGGTACTGCGTTCGCGCCGCCTGGAGATGTGGACGAGCCGAATGCCGGCAGAACCACAGGCGCGTCATGGAATCGTGGACCTGGGCGCCGTTTGGGCTGATAGCATGAGGGATCGCATGGGTAGTCTTAAGTTTGCGGTTCATAAATTTGCGTCTCTATACTATAGTACAATATAATCACCACAAAACAAATATTTTGTCGATCTAGCCAACGTGTCAGAAGTATTTCAGCGTTCGTCCTTACTCTCGAGTCTACAGACAGATTCTAGCCTCATTGATCCTCACTGCGCCTAAAACTTCTCTTTTCACTGGCTTCGGATGTCCCACTCTCCTCGAAATCAACTTCAAATCTTCTCCACACTTCCGCATCCCGCTTAAACTTCTTCTCTCGCCTCACATCCAACTCATGTTGCCGCAGCCTCTTTTCCGCCCCCACGATGGAGCCAAATGTCATGAACGACATTTGTAGGAAGCTAAAGGTCATCAGCAAGGATCTAATATGTAAAGGGGAAATGATGTAACAAATGTATCAGAGATGGAAAAGGACGACATACACTTTGAACTGTATCGTCAAGCCCCGATACACAGGCGAGAATCTCCATGCCGCGACTGCGCACGCCCCGCCTATGAACGCCCACTGTATTCCACCATTCACCACGTCAGCCAGCCCGTCTCATCTCCCTCACAAGCCAAGACTCATCATTTACATATCTCGAGCTCCCTGCGACGACGCCGGGCGCGCGTGCGCACGTGACACGTTTGCGTGCGACCAGTAAGACCTCCAGAAGCGCCGTCATACCGGTGAGATTGAGGATTGGACGAGGGGGAGATTGGGTGGTAGGTAGACAGGTATATACATACACGTACGTACCTTTGTACCACCGGCCAATGCGCCTCGCATGCTCTCTGCGCCCGCGCGCGTCATTTCCTTGTCGGACAGCTTGACATGGTGCGTGTGTTCATCGCGCACCATGGTTTTTGAGACGGTGATGTGGTGGGATGAGCGCTCACATGAGTTTCGATTGTAGCAGGTTAAAGAGGACTTTACCACACTTCTTCCGGATGGAAAGTCTGTACATATATGTGTTGTGTGTTGTGGTTTCTAGGTTGGGTTCCGATCGATGATGTTCATCCATGCACTAAACTCCGGCGCTTAGTTTTAGTATGATGGATGCCCCACTGCCAGAATCCGTGTTGAGTTACGAGCTCGGCGTTAGAGGTTCAATGCTCGATCAAGTTATGTACAGGCGTGCATATTGAGGAGAAATTGATACATTATGATATAGTGATAGCGATTCCTTGTGATCAATGCGTCTAACAGACATATGTATATGTTTTAAGTATGAAAACAGAAACGTTCTGGTGCCATGGGAAGCACCTTTGTACATATCCCAAGGTCACGCCATTCAAATCCAAACCGTACCCAATTGACTGAATCAGAAGCAGAAGAAGGTACATCGACTTGGTACAGGTCGCTTACTTTGATGGTGGAAATATGGTACAAGACGCGGATGTTGTTAGGGACAGTGAAGGTTGGATGGAGGGTCTGAGTAGCTCTTGCGTAAAGCCATGTGTATTCGTGTCGTCGTCCGAATGCATAAAAACCAAAATGTACCATGGCTCTATGGTAGCTTTGAAGCTATTTCCTTGTAGAAGTCCAGTTCATCTTGCTCTCTCTCGTCAGTAGTCGTGCCAGAGGAAGGCATTGTAGTATCGAGGTAAGCGCTGAAGCTGATTTGCTTCTCCAATGTTGGAGTGCTATCGATCTTCGCTTGCTCAATCATCTTACTGATACTTCCAGTGCCTGTGTCCGGCCGTTCGAAGTCTTCCTCGTCGATCTCAAGGTTGGTAGGGACACCGTTCGCTATGTCGATATTACGCTGGAGATACAGACGTAGCCGGTAAACTTGGCGATCCCAGCTCTCATCTACAAGTGCAAGTGCGGCTTTTATATCTTGGTCGGACAGTGACGATGGGCCAGGAGAGGTTCTATCTTTGCCGATGGCAATGGTCGGCATTCCAACCATATTGGCAAACTTAGTGCGCGCAGAGCTTGCTTTGCTTGGCCCTTGAGCGGGCACATCATCACGCATCTGCTTGACCTGATCTTCTGTTTGCTTCAGAGCTATTTGTCGACTTTCGTCCATCTCTGGGAGATACAGCAGTGTTGTGTTGCGGTTAAGAGCGTTTACTAGGTCGGTAAACCCAGAGAGGTTTATTCCGTTGTGCTCGCAGTGTACTTCAGTCAATGTCTGATTACTTTTAAGTACATCTGCGAGCGTACTGGCTCCTTGTATACCTAATTTCTGAACTGAGGAGTATTAGCAAAGGAGGCTAACATAACGGAGATGCTTACAACGAATCCACAGCGTCCGCAGAGAAGTGTTCTCAGTCAATCCCCACAGGGCTCGATTGACACCTACGCCTAGCTTGGTAGTCTCTAATCGTGATTCTTCCCCAGAGATGTCCAGATACTGCAAGGTCCTGTTATCCGAGAACATCTTTTCCAGAGCTTTGCATGTTGCGTCCGAAGCATCACTGGGTAGAGAAGCTTGAGAGAAATCGAGTGATAGGATGGTCGTGTTCGCTGCAATGGCTAGAACAAGTTTACGGAAGGCTCCTTCGTCTTCAAACTCGAGCAGTCGCAATGTCAAATATTTCGGTGCATACCCGCTGGCGATTGCACGCGTGAACTAGAGATATATTAGCTTTGATCAAAAAGATCAAGATTTGGGTGCAGAAATACCTCTACAAGCCCTAGCTCTATGTTGTTTTGGCTCACATCAAGGTGCATCTCACGGCCCTCGCCTGGATTCTCCGTCATAGTTTGCATGATCAAGGCAATGTCCTTGCCATTCAAGAAAGTATGATCTAGGCAGAGCTCACGTAATCCTTTGGACTGCTTGAAGTTGTGGAGGTACATACAAAGTGCATCCACGCTTGCAGTATTAAGTGGAACACCACTGAGTGTTAGCTCAGAAAGCCTCCATACGTCCAGTGTTTCTGCGGACATCAACGGTTCTGGACCAGACGTTCGGCTTAGGTTGGCAAGATTGAGCTTTCGGATGAACGCAAAGGCACCGATGTGCGAGTCAAATGAAGATGGAGTGATGCGAGCAATGTTTCGAGAAAGGTCCAGTGCCTCCAATGTGTTTTCCTGGTTTCGAAGAGCATCAAGAACAAACGATAACGTGCGATCAGAGAGACCAGTGTTGGAGAACCCGAATCCTCGAAAGTGACATGTCCGAAGCACGGCTGCTTCGACGAGGTAGTCTAAATCAGTCTCACCGAGCTGAATGTTGTTCAGGATGATCCAATCAACATTTGTGGTGTTATGCTTGCATAGAGGGAACAAGGCCTCCACGATTCCACAGCCCAGGTCACGCCCGCGTCCCGTCTCGTCGCCATTGGAGGGTCTTCGAAGAATGCACGATGTGAAATCTAAGCGTCGAAGTTTCCTATTCGTAACAGCTAACGCCCGGATTTCTTGGACGAGAAGCGAAGCTTCATTAAGTTTCTCCGAGCTCATCTGAATCGGAGTTCCTCGCTTGGTCTTTGTACAGACATGTTCGAAGCCGTAGCCGTCAGCCACACCGTTCAGTGTGTCAAGTTGTACATCTGCAAAGGATAGCGAACCAAACGTTTCGTTGTATCTAAGAGCCCGCATAATGGCAAGTAGTTCTGTCATTCCATACTGACCCGTGCGGCGGTCAACAGGTGGAAGCAATTGGAAACAAGGTCCATCATCCTCCGGGTGTGTTATCTTGTACCTAATACTGCTGGGATTGACATCATATGCAACACAATAGCCGATCAGTGTTCGGTCGAGAGAATCCAGGTCGACAGCGTGCGCATTCGCATTCGCATTCCGTAGAATGTCATCACTCACATTTTTCGGCAGGAAGAGCTTGAATGGCCGCGATTCCCATTCAGGTCGTAGCTGTTCTTCCATTGCCCTTAGACGTATTGCGATCTCGTGGGACGCTAGGCTGGCAAGCTGGAATACTTTGGGCTTACGGAGAGGCGTACGAAAGGTCATCTCAAAACTGTCGTCGACCTCGTCAACTTCCATATAGGTCAAGGTGAGAACGCCATGCGATTCTTGAACAGTCTGTGAACCGAGGGTAGAGGTAGTGCCACGTGAGGACGATCTACTGAGTGGAATCAGGTGGACCTTGTGAACTCCAATCGCAAGGAAACATACTGTCGTGGCAACCCTGAGGATATCGTCAGATGAAGAGGACCGACTGTTCTTGGTACCCGGTCGAAGTACCACTTTATGAATCGAGAAATTGGGCGGCTCATAATCTTGTTCTCGCTCGACCACTCGTGCAACCATTGTTGAATTTGCGAGTGATATAGGGGCTGCATCAGCCCTTCTTACTCGGTTAGCCGCTTCGCGGATCGACCTGAGCCACAAATCCATGTCTTTGGGCTCACCAAATTGCAGTGTCATGGCAGATGCATTGTTGTTTTTTTCATCCAAGCTTGCAATTTCCAAAGCGAACCAGGGTCGTCCATCATCAAGGCGGTAAACCCCGACAACGTGCCTCAAGGGAGTGCCCAATTCGCGCTCACCTGAATGTTCGGACAGTCCCGATGTTAGATCGTGCATTGAGCCTGTGGATGGTGAATAAGAATGTCTTGCTGCTTGAATACGGTGAACGGATGGAGAGACGCTAGTGAATCAGTCAAGCAGTAGTTTCAAGAGGTAAGACTTGGCGTACCTGCTGAAAGACTCTGTCGCCTTTTGTTGGCTCTTGAACCGGACTAGGTGTGTCTCGGTAAGCACTAGATATTCCCGCTTCTTTCGGAACATGGAGCTACTCGTTTGAACCTCCCCGTGCAACAGGACCTCGGAAGGGTAATAGGAGGCTTCCCCATCTTCAGTTTCAGCAAACGAGGACTTTGTACTGGAAGGTAGCAGCCCGATATCATCGTAGCTGTCCGATGATCGCGAGAGTTTCCATGAGCCCATTAAAGATGCCGGCCTCGACAGTGCGCCTCGGGTCGGCTTTTCGGAGCGTGAGGGCGAAGCAGGACTATGTGCGTGTGGACTTGTAGGAGGTTTATCGCGAATCTGATTAACCGCATGCGATGCAGCCGAAGAAGCACGTCGCTTTTTCAGTAGATTTGTACTAGAGCCACTGTTTCCATCCAGATCGTCTGTGTTAATGGGAGTCAGTGCGCGAAGAGGAGTTCTTGCGAAAAGACTACGGCGCTTGAGGCTGGAGTCTGATTCCAGGTGTAATTTTGGCATGGTGCGAAGCTGCTGCCAAATCGATGGTGAGGGGTATATAAAATGCGTGAGCGAGCGAGAGAGTGAGCGTGAAAGACTTCAAAGAGTGTGTTTGCTCGACAGCAGATCTGGGTTTCCTTCGAGATGAGTTGTCCGAGGCCCAATCGTCATCGTTTCGTGGCGGACAGAACCTCCTCTTTCTAGCATTATCAGAGTGACGTGACGTGACTGGCGATGCGTAGGTAGGTAGGCCAAGGACGGCGAGTCGTAGCAGCAAGCATGTAAAAATGTGGAATACCTGCCATAGGTCAATCACAGAGTCCATAGGTTCGCAAATCACAACATTTAGGGGTAGATATTCACCTAGGTGAAAGAGATTGGCCAGGCAAGGTAGAGATACAACAGTAAAACACTACTCTTCACGGACGCTGGAGGAAAGCGGTGCAGGGCATCGCCTCGGCTCTACGACAAATTGCGATCAGCCTCGAAAGGATAGAGATAGAGTCAAACAGACTGCAGAATAGCGGAGGTGAAGGCTCGGGCAAATGACGTACGGTTTATCAACAGGCGCGTGTATGTGTAGGTATGGTGCATGTATGTCGTGGCGGAGTCGCGGACCTTGCATGCTCCCTCCACTTCCGCTCCGCTGATGACGACGGACGACCCCCGGACCGGAAGTCACTGGCGGAGCGCCGAGACCGTCAGCCCACTAGCGGCATACGCCAAAACTTTTCTGTCTGAACACTGCTTTTACGAGACTTTAGCTGCTGGTGCTTTGCACAATCTTCGCCTTTTGATCGGCTTCAGTCCTTCTCCTCCATGCGGATTGATGGCGTCTTCTCTGTGGTTTCCAGCCGCATCGCCCTGCGGCTTTTCCCGCACGAAACACCAATAACTCACTGCTTCGACGCCTCGCCCATATCAGTCCTATCGTTACCCTGTACTCGACGGTATACGAACAGCCATCATGGTCGCCAAAGGCGTTTTTATAGTGCTGTTGTCGAACGCGTCAATCACATTAGTCCCAGCCCGCCCATGGACCCAACCCGCGCTACTGTCGAAGGAGACTCGATGCGCCACACCCTGACATCAAGGTTAGGAACAAAGGACATGAAGCAAGAGTGTAGCAAAAAGAAGCAGGCAGGTACGGTCGTGAAGCGAGAGCTGAAACGATCTATAATACCGACGAAAGCTTCTATGGGCGAGGGGTCTGGGGCAAACGATAGTAAAAGTCGATCACGAGGAGTTGCGCACTCGAATATATCTACACGCCGCCGTAAATCTTCGAAATTGCCAAAATCAGCGGGCGAAGAGGCTCACTATCTTCATGATATCAGCGTTGATGCTAAGAGGAGAACCAGCCCTGGCAAACAACGCCAACATAAAGACGTAGATCTTACCGCGAAACCCAAGTCCGTGAAACGGCTGCGGATAAGAAGATGTCCTACTGTAAATACACCAGGACGAAAAGCCGCGGAACAGGAAATGAAACGGATCCTCGCACCACGCCCAATCGCCGAAGACAATGGTACAACTGCGGCCCGCGAAGGGGTACAGCTTGTGAAGCCAGACATGTCCAATGTTAACGGAGTCGAAGACCCTGAAAGACAATCAAACGAATCACCGACACAGTATCAGATCGGATCAGACGTCTGGACAGTTATCTATACTGGACCACATGCAAATAGTACGGTCCCCAAACGTGAGGTTGGGACTCGAAGGCACATTGCGACCTCAAAGAGGTTAATAGCCAAACAACAGATTACCGGGGGAAGATCAGTGGCTACTGAAAAGACCCTGGCTGATTGTAAACCTGAGTCCTTGATTGGGCTCGAGGCTATGGTTCGGCGTAGCGTACGACGGGAAGGCGAACAAGATACTGGTAAGGCTGTACGGCAGCCTATGCAGAACTTTTGCGTGCCATACAAACCAGCGATAGAGGAAAGCCCGGATCGAGAACGGCTGGTCTTACAGGCGCAAACACTGGACTTGAAGAGTATGTATGGCCATGATGCGGACGAACAACAATGTATTGACTGCAATCAGGGCTGCCAGTGGACATAAGCAAAGTTCCTCCCCTGGCTCATGGACTAGACCGCGTACTATTCCAGTAAGTGCACAGGCTACCTGAACGACCATGCCCTAACTCATGCGTAGCAATCACATCTACCCCTTACGAGATGGGCGGTCTGGAGTCTACAATTTTGACCCTTACCTCGAAAATATCATGCCTATACAAGACTTCAATTTTGATGCTCTCAATCCGTTCCTTACATCTTCAAAGGACACGACGATGGCCCAGCTCGCATCACAACACAGGATGCGTTATACGTGCTCAACGTCTAGTATATCTTCTGTCATGGGCCAGGTTCACCGTTTCTTATCGTTGAAACGAGAGCTTAACATCGAAAAGGTGCCGTCTGGAAAAAGACAGCCAACGCCATTCTATTCTTCACCCGCAGGCATCTTCCTACGCTGGAAGAATGGTTCATACGCTGTCGATCCTGACAAGGCGTATGATATGGAAAATGTCCTATCGCGCCTGGGCCATGTCCTAGAGAAATTACTCACGCGGTCTACCGAAGACTTTGAAAAGTATAGGTCGTGCAGGGCCAACGAAGCCGGACATCAGAGCAGAACCGATAGCGAGAGTTACCAGTTCTCAACCCTAGGCAAATTCATGATGAGATCGCAACTTGATTCACACGACCCGCGTCTTCCAGGCACTGGAGTCTTCGACTTGAAGACGAGAGCTGTTCATCCAATCCGGCAAGATGTTGCCAACTATCAGGACTATGCCGATTACAATATTCGCTTTCCCAATGGAACGTGGGAGTCTTACGAGAGAGAGATGGTGGACTTGAGCAGGGGAACGCTGGTTAAATACCTTTCCCAAGCACGAATGGGCAACATGGACGGCATTTTTTTGGCATATCACAATGTCAAACGAATGTTCGGATTCCAATATTTAGGCTTGGAAATGATGGATTATATCATTCATGGAACTTCAAAGCCTGCACTTGGCAATGCTGAATTCAAATACACATTTGCATTGATAGAACATATTTTCGATAAAGCGACCAAAAGGTTCCCTAAACAGGTAAGGGTATGTCATGGGTTGTAAGAAGACGCTAATTACTTCAGTCAATACGCTTTCACTTCGATGCAACTACCACTGGTTTTATGAATATTTTTGCGGAACCATACACGGACGAAGAAATAGACGACGCTAACGCCCACAAGGAGCAAATCGGGCGAGAGATAGCAGCACAACTAATGAATAGAGAGATAGTGTCTGAGCCTGCAGTTGGAAAGCAGCAACAAATCGATGATAATGCTAATAAAGGTAGCCGCACGTGGGCCGATTTCGACTTAGAATGGGAGAGTGTACACTATCGCTCCACTCGAGAGCTTGTAGGCTGGACTGCCAACGTCATGAACGTTGTCAACGGACAGAGAGTCCTTCGACCCGAGAACTTGGATTCTGAGGAGCAATGGGAAGTTGAACTTGACATCTGGGAGAATAAAAATCCACGACACGAGTACACACAGTGCCGCAAGCGGCGGCATGAGGCAATTATGAAGGAAGAACTCAATGAGGATTTGGGCTCCGATGCTCGCCATTTGAGAGAGTTGGAAGAGCGCGCACAATACCGCGAGAAAATGCGGCAGATCTCGGCCAGCAGTGGTGAGGCGATGCGCAAGTGGGAAGCCCAATTTGAGGGCCAAGAGAAGGTTCAGTTCTGTGAGAGCGAACCGTTTAACGCCTTCTGGGCCACGAGAAAGCAGGGTTTATTGGGTCGGCTGGGCCGTCGCTTCGGGCTTGTATAGCATGTCTGCATTCTTCGCTTCTGTTGGACATAGTATGATTGTATTCATATTTTCTCGCACCTTCGTGTACATATATCCATACCTTGTATCTAATTCGGCTTGCACAAGAAGACATGTGATGATAGTATGCCAAGACACAGATGTCCTGCTCTCTCTTCCTACAGAGATGCAAGCAACGGACTCTGCCCCCCTGTTGCTCTTGTAATTTTACTTCGACGCTCATACCTCAACAGCCCTCACCCCCAACCCGGGATACTCCTCCTTCTCCTTGTCTTCGCTGACCTTCAATCCTTCCGTCTCCATGTCGACAGCGCCCGTCGACAATAAACCTACACCACGGGTCAGTCCAAATTTATTCTACACAACCAGGCAGGCCATTACGAATATACTCACAGGTCTCATATACAGACATGCACAGACTCACAAAGATCGCAATAACAATGAGGGCAACAATATACGTCGCCGTCACCATGAAGACCACCTTGAAGAAGCCGAGAACAGTGACTCCAGGGATGCCGACAGGCGAGGGGGCGAGCGGATGCTCTTGGGTATGGAGGAATGAGCAGGTGGTGTTTTCGGAGAGCATGGAGGTGGTGCCATTGAGGTGGTTGAGGGTATTCAAGGAGGTGAGCGTGGTGGTGGTGATGGTTCCAGGTTTGGAGAGGGGGAGTTGAGCTTTTGTGATGAGGAGTTGTGGAAAGTTGTGGATGCAGTGGATATGGTTATCGCCAATAGCGCGGATACTTATTGGGAGGGGTGGCATTGTAGTGGTGAGGATGTTTAGTTTGTGTTGTGGGTTTTCGTGGTTGTGTTTGTGTATATTGTGAGTATGTCGTGAGTATGTTTATGTGGTGTATATGATGATGAAAGGAATTTTCGCACGGCTGCAGATCCTATGTATATTTGGATTGTGGATATGGACTCTGGTAGACTGTCTTTTATCGGTACCGTGGTATAGAGTAATTCGATTTTTGATGTTATGGCTCTGCATAGGACGACGTGTTGTTTGGTGTGCGTTCCATGGTACCAGGTAAACAGTTCGGTCCGGGGCGGAAGAGTCTCCTGAGTTACTCATGGTAAACAAATTTATGTTGGACTCTATCATACTTTAGATGCATATTAGCGCTAGATGTAATAAAGTAGACTTACAATACATGCTGTGTTTCGCATCGTCGAGACTTAGACAGTGTATCAGAACTCTGGATGCATGAAGCCCAGCCTCTCCTCACGACCACGAAAATCATCCAGGCGGTCATAACGTTTACCCTGCTCTCGATTACAGTTGTTCTCCGTTTTTATGTAGATCGAATTAATCACAATCAGAGTCAGGGTAAGGCCTAGCACACCCAAGTTGAATCGAGGCCAGGGGGGTGTTAGTTAAGGCTAACCACGATACCTGTACCTACACATCCACCCTACGATACGCCAACGTCGCGATAAAAGCTGCCATGTTCGCACTGGTGATCTGGATCCAGCTCCTGTAGCTCGCACTTAATGCGGCGCGAGATCATTTGAAAGCCACCCAAGAATAAGTGGACTACAAGGGAAGATACCGGCGGCTACCAAAAAGGTTCCTCCGTACTGCACAAGACCGCGCGCGCTTGCTATGAGCATGATGTACCCAACAATTGCGACTGCGACGCCACCGAGCATCTAGACACCTCTCTGTTTTATGCGATCGGACAGGGACACAAACCATCAGAACAGCAAGGAATCCTCCCATATTTGGTGGGACTGTAAGTAATTGCGTGATGACTTTGCTGTAGGCTAGTGTGCGTAGGATGGTGGGAAGGAGAAGCGAGAAGGAGTAGATAGGAGTGATAATAGCGAAGTAAAGAAGCGACAGAACGGCGGTTTCGAAGTTCAGAATCGCTACCTTGACCGAATCCCAGTTAAATTTCTCGATGTCCACATTTGGTTTCGCGGATGCGCCTCCGGCGTGGATGTTCATTCTCTTAACAGCCAAGTCACGTTCTTCTTCAGTCAAGAACTTTGCCTAGGTGGGTGTATGTAGCAGAAAACATATAGCGCCAGCTCCTACCAAGACAGCTATCGCACCTTCAATGAAGAAAATGGAAGGCCATCCTCGATATTTCGATGTTTCGATTTGAGCAAGACCTGTGGCTAGAAGGCCACCGAATGCCCCAGCTAGAAAAGCTGCTGAGTAGAAGAGGCCGATCCGGAGCATTAGCTGATGACGACGGTAGAACATAGCGAGATAGACTACCGTAACACCTAGCAAGCCAGCTTCTGCCAGACCCAGGAAGAAGCGTGTTGCCAGAAGTCCGGAGTACGTCTTGCAAAAACCGATACACGTCGATACAAGTCCCTAGACGGCTACCAGACCCGGCAGATACAAGCCAGCCTTGGATCTTTTGAGCTCCAATTGCTAGGGGTATCGTATAGGATGTACTCCTGAGATGATCCGCAGAACACAAGTAGCTACTGTCTCGCCGGTTAATCTGTTGTTATTGAGACAGGAATACAAAGGTTCCCATTTGTTTATCAAGCGTGTTAAACGTATGCACAACATGTAGATATGGTAATGGGGCCGATCTCACTTACAGCAAGCCGGGGTGGAAGGCTATCGACCGCAGAAGGCGCGTTGACTCGGTCTTCTGCCAACAATGCTCATCGCCGAACGAGGCCTATTGTTCTCCTGTAGCGCTAGTCCTGTTAGATTGGTCTTTACTCGGGCGATTGTATTAGTGGAAGTAAATAAGGATCTTGTTGGACAATAGTTCCTAAATCGTAGAAGACTGAGTGCGTGTTGGAGTGAGGCTTTGGATTCACTTCCGCAGGACTGGGGCACGGGAAGTAGTCGTCTAATCGGATCACGAGCCCATGAAAGTGATCAAGGTATCGAGGTTCACTTAGGAGAGACCCGGTGTAGTGGTCATAACAGGTCCTCATAATAGCGGCCGCCAGCGCAGCCCGTCAAACAGTGGTGTCTCCGCGGGAGTGATAATCTCAATTCCAACCTCGCGCACATTATACATTAACACAAGAATGGCACATCGTGATCGACTGTCTGTATTAGAGGCGGGATCCGCCGCTAAGACACATCGTACGCAAGAGTTCTTGAGATCCCCTAATGCCGTTAACCATCGCAATTACACCGCAGTAGCATCCAGAGACCTTGATGCATTCAATGAAACATACCCTGGTAATATATGAAAATACAGTCTCAAATGAAAGAAGTCTAGGCTGACTTTATCCACAGAGAAATGGTTGACCTGGCTGATCGACCATACTGTTCAAGTTCCTTACCAGCTTTACCAGATTGAGACACTTTTGCCAGCCGGTCAACAACAGCCACCTCCTCCGATAGAGAACAGCTCAGGAGAAGCAATAAAGGGTCGCGGGGGACGTCTACTCCGCCAGGTCTGGCTCCCTCGACAGATCAAAACAGATGAGGCTGACTGGGTCCTGGTCGCGTTGCAAGATCTAGATTGGCGCATTGAGCCGACAGATATCTGTGATCGCATGTATCGCAGACCCGACATGGACAGCGTGGCCGAAGACGAAAGAGTGCAACGCTCAGTGAGCCAGAAGATCTGGGACTGTCGAGCTTCTCTTCATAAACTAACAATCCACGCGAATCGTTCAGTTCGCCCCAACTTGCCGGCGCGGTCAGAGCTGGAAGTGATCGATATGTATCCAGCGGTTAACATCAAGTATAATTTCATAGGGAACGATGTTGGGAACGGATTGTTCACACCGTTTCCCGACGGACCGCTATATCGGTATCCAAATCCTAGCGTAAGTACCTACTATGTGCCGTGAAGAAGAAAGCTGACATATGCAGGGTCAGATCAGCGACAGAATGATGGACATTGTCCGAGAGCTCGAGGCGGCGAGAGGCTGGGCGCACCATGGAGGATATCAGCACTGGCAAGACCTTCCCATCTACCCGGGGAACCACACGCCGGGTCGCATCTGCAAAGAGAGAGATGCAGGATTTATCGATGTTGTGGAGGAGGATGCTACTACTGATGGGAGTGGACGACGCTAAATTGGAGGGAGAATGGTTGATGACCGAATGGATGATGCAGCACGGATGCCTTGGCTTGTGAAAGCGGTTGTCGAGGATGGCAGTCTGGATGTGAGTGGCGGATCAGATTGTAGCACTCGTAGTTCCGAATGGAATGCGATGAACGAGAATATATGAATAGCGATAGTGATGATGCGTTTATGATGCCGAAGTGCGTAGGTAACAGTGACAATACATTAGTCCGGCAACACTTTAACGGATTTTTCGACACTGCAGCATCACCAGACTGATGTCAGACTGACTGTTTCAAAGTCTACTCTCTCCGATGGCAAATGGGATGTTGATTCTACAGGAGAGTTCAGCATCGTCAATTTGGAGCTCGGCTTGGCAGTGGGAAACCGTGAGGCTTGGCGCTACATCGCTAACGGGCTTAGTGTCTCGCTTGTGTCTTCCCGCACTTTGCCAACGAAAACCTCGCTGGTGTTGATGCCCGCCGCATTCTGTCAAGACAACTAACTCTACTACAGCACTCGACACCTCACAATGCCGGTATGCAATACCCTCAGCCCATCCAATAAAGCCATCTAATACTAATTTGACATTCTACCACAGAGCCACAAGTCGTTCCGTACCAAGCAGAAGCTTGCCAAAGCGCAAAAGCAGAACCGTCCCATTCCTCAATGGATTCGTCTCCGAACAGGCAACACCATCCGGTGAGACTCTCTTGTTATCCAACCTGCAATGGGATTTGCTGTCGAAAAGTCTGAGATCTGTGGGACTTCTGTCTAACATTTTCTCCATTAGTTACAACGCTAAGAGACGTCACTGGCGCAAGACTCGCATCGGTATCTGATCAACTCGCCCTGCTCTTTCCTTTCTGTGCGGCAATCCAGCAATCGGAGAATTACAACGCTGGATATGGATTTGAACATGTACGAGGAGGTCTGATGGAATAGATGCAAAGATGCATAGGATGGGAATCATGACTGATATTGGCGCGAGATAGGGCTAAAAGGCAGCACTACATCACAGCTAGCCAATGGAAAGATCAAACGAACATTACAGTGAACTGCTGCCGAGTGTTGTTACTTCTATATTGGAAATGCAATTTGCCCACTCGTATATACCATCACAGCTAATGTACAGCACACAGCTATCCGACTCACGACACTCTGTTCAGCCATACGGGAATCGACATCTTTGGGAATTCTAAAACTTCACGTCTATGGTCATCATTCATGTCGCAACTCCATTGCGAATTTGGGTGGCTATAAGCATGTCAGCAACTGTTTTTCCCAAGCCGCATAAACGATGTTTACTTACACCATCCGTGTCAACCACCATCAGCTTCTCCTCATTTCTTCCCAACATATCCAAAATGCTGACCTTCCCACCCTCAATTCGAATCACCGCACTCGACCCAGCATAATTTGTGCCCCCCTCACTCCCACACCTGTTCGCAAACACCAACGTGACCCTGTCGTTCTGCGTTGCTGTTCGAATTGGGTCCATGCGCGCAAGCCAGTAGCTCAACGTCCCATCATCCGGCAATTTCGGCTCCTCTGCCAGAGCCTCCGTTGTCAGATGCGTAATGAACGCCGTGCTCACAACTACAATGGGACTCTTCGCCGCCAGCGCCGCGGATGCAAACTCGTACTTGCTCCACTCTGCTTCAAATCTATAGCTGTTGATATCCATGCATATGCCATGCGTGACGGCGCCCAAAGTACCTAACGTCCCAGAGTAGAAGCCCGGGCCTTCGGAGGCCCATGTCTCGTCGGTATAGTATAGGTGTGTCTTGCGATAGTTGAGGAGAACTTCGCCGAGGGGCGAGACTGTGATTGTTGAGTTATAGTTCTTGGGCGGGTCAGTGGTGTTGACTTCTGGGTAACCAATGGTGACGTGGCAGCCGAGGCGTGAGGCCACGGTGCGTGCCCATTCGGTGGTGCGGCCGGCGGCGGTGGGCTCGAGGTAAGGAGTTATTTCTTCGAGAGAATGGAAGTTGTAGCCTGCGAAGGTCAATGTACCATATGTCGTATGCACGTGATATGCATGTTGAGTGTATTTGTATGAGCGAACCAGAACAGGATGTGAGACTCGACACACTTACCACTGAACGCCATTTCTGGTAGTATCAGCCAGTCCCAGCCTGGTGCTCCATTTGCTGGCATTGCTTCTACGATCAGGCTCTCTGCGCGTTGAATGTTGTCCTCTCGCTGGCCTACACTCGGAGCGAATTGAAGAATGGCGACTTTCATTGCAACCAGCTCTTTCTAGACAGCAGGGCAACTGGCTGTATGTATCATATGCTGTCTCTGTATATAGGTATAGTTTATATGCTAGACAGTAAGATCCTCGTTCCGCAAAACAGAGGAAAGCTAACGCACCCTAATAGTAGAGCGTTGGGATGCTCTGTCGACAACGTACATTGGGACACGAGGTTATATCAAACTAGACGTCTTTAGTATCGCTCCCTCATCTTAACAGCATCAGCGTGTACGAATGTTAACTGAACGTATTCATTCGAGGATGGAAAGGTCGCTGTGGAGCAGATCAACAGCCAATCAGACTAGGGCTAGGCCTGTAGCGACCACGAGGGCAAGCTTCGTTTGAGCAAATGTCATGACGCACGACTTTATCGGCCTTCAACTCTTCAAGCCTTACGACTGCGTCCACCATGTCATAGTGATTTATTGCACATATGGCTGGCAGAAGGCTTCTCGACGCTGCGAAGCTATTCAATGCCTCGAAAGGTGTAGCACGACAGCACCTCAAGCTCCGGTCAGAGCAGTACGATGCATACACCAAAACTTCAACCCTCGCAAAGGTTGTCAAAGATCAGACAGATCGAATTACTCTCACGTTGGAGGCTTATGCAGCTCTGGCTCGCCGTATGAATGAAGCCCCTCCGAACTACACGGCTTGCAGCACCTCGGACATCAAGGAAGATGATGGCATACCCAATAAGGGTACGATTCAGGGCGAGAAAGAGTTTGGAAAGCCCAGAGAAGGTCTTGCACAAGACCATCACTGGGAAAGATCACAGGAGAACGCAACAGATAATGAGCAGCCCCGGGAGGAGCTCAACGTGACCCAAGAGCAGGCTAAGCGGTATCCCCTCCCAGACGGCACAATACCTCCAGCGGGTGCAGACCTTCCGGGACGACCTTTCGGAAAAGACATATTCAACAAACGGCCAACGCCTGAGCCATATAAAGACCCATTAGCAGAAGAATCTGCACGTCAAAACGAAGAGCTACAGCCGGTGTCATCTGGGACGTCCACGATTCCTACCCCACTGCGAAGCTCGCCGTTGGAGCCTGATCATGCCAGGACAGCGCAGAGGCAATCAGAGAACCAGATACCTGCTCTCTCAGCAGAGACCCAAGCACCATCACAGGCAGACCATGAGCTGTCACAGGACCACGACAAAGACGTCTTTTACTCCAGATCGACTACGATAGAGCAAGACTACTCGTCACTGCCAAGATTAAAGATACCTAAGAGCTTCGAACAAGGCCCTTCTCCATCGGATGAAATTGCTAGTAGAGACATCAACTCGGACGTCTTTCATCGGCCGACAGGTTCGTCAGCGAAGGAGGAGCTGCCAGAGGGTGTAGATACGGCTGTGTTCCGGACGTCTAAAGTGGCAGAGATGCTTGGTGGAAAAACACATGACAAAAGTTCGCCGTATCAAAGTAACCCGTACAGAGCCAAAGAGGTCGAGAACCGTTCGAGAGCAAGCACTACGTCAGAGAGGCAACGTCGGCCAGTCGTTGATGAAGATGAAATGAGAGCTTTCGCTTCAGATCTCGCTCAAGATTCGCATGATGCACAAGACTCTGCGCCTGAGGTATAGAATAAACTTTTAAAGCGCATTGCCAGCAGCTGACATGCCCTTAGGAGCACCTTCAAGCCAACAAACGATATCACCTGAGGGAGTCTACAGTCCCCTCAACTAGGTTCGGCCGCCTTTGGCAGTATGGAGGTCTTGCGACAAGCATGGCTTTTGGTGCTGTTGGTGAGAGCCTTCGCCGTATCACAGGAAGCGGAACTGACGGTGGTTCTTTAATGCTTAGCCCAGCGAACATGGAGCGTCTTGTAACAAAGCTTTCTCGAATGCGTGGTGCAGCTCTCAAACTTGGCCAGATGATCAGTTTCCAGGATCTCAAGATGCTACCAGCTCCTATCCACGAAGTGCTGCAAAGAGTACAGGACAGCGCCGATTACATGCCTGCTTCGCAACGCAACAAAGTACTGGCTGAAAATCTGGGCGCTGACTGGGAAGCGCTCTTCAGGAGCTTTGATGATGTCCCCATTGCTGCTGCATCGATCGGACAGGTACATCGTGCAACGCTTGCATCTAACGGCAAAGAAGTTGCCGTGAAAGTTCAATATCCTGGCGTCGCCAACTCAATCGACTCCGACTTGAACAACCTTTCTATACTATTGACAGCCTCGAGACTCTTACCGAAAGGCCTGTACCTAGATAAAACCATAGCAAATGCTCGAACCGAGCTCGCTTGGGAGACAGACTACGTGCGTGAAGCTGACTATCAGATGCGTTTCAAAGCTCTCCTTGCCGACGACACTGAGAGCTTCAGAGTCCCTACGGTTTACAAAGAGGCGTCGGGCGCTCAAGTCCTGACTGCAGACCTCATGAGCGGAACAGCCGTGACAAAACAACCTAACCTCAGCCAATCTCAACGCAACTGGATTGGTACACAAATACTTCGTCTTTGTTTGCGTGAAATCGTCGAGTTCCGCGTCATGCAGACTGATCCCAACTGGACTAATTTTCTTTACAATGCAGAGTCCGAGAAACTCGAACTCCTGGACTTTGGTGCCTCCCGCGACTATCCTCGGAAGTTTACAGACCCGTATATAAACATCCTCATTAATGCATCGAAAAATAACCGCAAAGGCGTTCGTGATCTCTCCATAGAGCTGGGATATCTCACAGGTCACGAAAGCAAAACGATGCTTGACGCACATATTGACTCAGTGCTGACGCTTGCCGAACCGTTCTCAGAGTCAGGCCCAGAAGTGTATGATTTCAGGGACCAGACAATCACAGATCGCGTCAGGTCATTGATTCCAATCATGGTACGAGAGAGGCTGGCACCGCCTCCGGAAGAAACTTACAGTCTTCATCGGAAGTTGAGTGGTGCGTTTTTGCTTTGCTCGAGACTGGGTAGTCAAGTACCTTGCCGTGCACTGTTTACAAAAGCGGTCGAGACATTCAGATATGGTGGAGGGATTACGGACGTCTGAAGATACTTAACTGTATAAGAATTTCATGTGTGGTACCTTCTGTGCATATGTATATAACAAAAACCATATGTTGTATCAGTAACGATTGCACCTCTTTATTACTACAGGTCCAAGAACATTTCTGACCTCTGAAGTAATTAAACTCACGTGGCTGAGATAGAGAGGAAACAAGCTAATGACGTCTACGATTTCGGTTCATAGCGCTGTCATTGTTACCAACCATCAGCCTGTGTAGCGCTAATATCCTATTATGTCTAGTGTTTCTCGGAACTCCGTCGGAGTACCATCCGTATACGCAAGATACATATATATAGACGACGACAACGTTCACCTGGGCACAGGATACTCCGACAAGTCCGTAATATACATGCGAGCTATCACAAGGCATCATTTACGTGTCCCTTTCTACTCATTTCAGAACATCTACAGCCAATTTCAACTTCCGGCTCAGCATAACTCACCCCGAAGATCCGGAAGCATGGCTAGCAAATCAGATCCCTACCACCCTTATAAAGATCGCTTTACCAACCCCCAAGGCCCGGGTGATGCTCGTCCTACCGCCATGGACATCATTGCCGACGAAGATCTGCACGGCAAACTGACCGGCCACGTAATCCTCATCACCGGCGCCGCATCCGGAATTGGCATCGAAACAGCTCGCGCCCTCCACGCCACAGGCGCCACGCTCTACCTCGCTGTCCGCGACGTCGCAAAGGGCGAACAAGTCGCCGATGACGTCCTCCGCTCCAGCAGCGACCAAAGCGCCATCATCAAAGTCCTCCCCTGCGACCTCTCCTCACTATCCTCCGTCCGTGCCTGCGCCCACGCTTTCCTCGCCCAGAATTCCACCCTTAACATCCTCGTCAACAACGCCGGCATCATGGCCGTGCCCACACGCACCATCACGACCGACGCCCACGAGCTCCAATTCGCAACAAACTACCTCGGCCACTTCCTGCTTTTCGCCCTTCTCCGACCCGCCTTACTCGCTGCCGCTGCCGCATCCCCAGCTTTCGACTCGCGCGTCATCAACGTTTCCTCGCTCGGCCATCGCGCCAGCACGCTGCAATTCGCTGATCTCGCGTTCACAAATGGGCAATACACTCCCTTTGGCGCATACGGTCAGATCAAGACCGCGCTGATCTGGATGGCGAATAGCATCCAGCGGCGGTACGCCAAGCACGGATTGACGGCGAACAGTCTGAATCCGGGCGGTATCTCGACGGGCTTGCAGAAGCATATGCCCCGTGAGACACTGGAGCGGTTTGCGGGCGATGAGGGAGTGCGGAGGAGTATGTTGAGTGTAGAGCAGGGTGCCGCAACGACGGTTTGGGCGGCGGTGGGACGTGTGTGGAAAGGTGATGGAGGTAGATACTTGGAGGAGTGTGGGGTTGCAGAGAGGGCGAGTGGGAATACGCCGTATACTGGGTTTGCGCAGCATGCTTTTGATGAAGAGGGGGAGGAAAGGTTGTGGCGCATTAGTTTTGGGTTGGTTGGGGTCGAGGATGATGATTAAGTAGCTGGCTGGCTGTTGTTTTAGGGGGAAAGGGGAAGGTGGACTCAGGGGGTGGGCTGCGGTGCTCTGCACTGTCCACGCCTATACAAGCCGGAGAAGACTAGCAACTCCCATTCAGACTAAAACACGATGACTTGAGGGCATATCAAGGGAGGCAAATGATACTCGTAGCGCAGCTATTGCTCTCTGGTGATATCCAAATCCAAGAGCGAATGCACGGCGTACGGGGAAGGCAGCTGGCGGTTTGATCTCATAACACAGGAGGTAGATCTTGTCGGGAGACTATTCTGACTGTACATCAATCTCTAGGGTGGATTTCTGTGCGAATACGAAGCTTGCAGACGCGTCTTGGGATTACTTTGCCAGCACTCACATCCTCGAAATAGCATGAGGAGAGGTCTTTTCTTCACATCTTCAACTTCTCATGGAGCACTACATGATACTTAGGATGCGTATGGCATGGGAAAGAAGGTTTATTTCGTCTCGTCTTGTGGTTGGTGGACTGTAGCGCAGTGACGTGGTGAGGATTCAGTTGCAGTGGGACGGCGTCCTTGATGCCCAAGGCTACGCTGTGAATCACTTAAAGCGGCGAGGCGCCTGTCGAAGTTGAATGAAATGCACTGTGAGTCACAAGAGAGTCTCGCTATGTGGTTAAATTGGACGGAGTTTGCGAGTGTGCTCGAGGAGGTATTGATACGCTTGCTCTGGATTACTGAAGTCTGACGGGACGGTGATGGTTTGGATATTTTGATGGATCTGTCTACCATAGTCAAGTCATATGATGTATCTCTCGTACTCTCATATCACGAAACTGTCTGAATGCATCGATCAATCATCTCCCACATAACAACTTAGACCCTAGCCCCCTCCTCGGCCATCGGACACCCCCTCCACCGACCACCAACCCACCCACCAACAAGCCGGCAAGCAACAACACAGTCTCGCCGACCATGCAGCACCGGAAGCAAGCATAATTGGCTACCACGGACTCCAAAACGGAAGTCTCTCATACCATCGTGAGATTTCGCTCGGACATCGGTGCCGACATTGCGAAGGCGGACATCACGGGCGCGCTTGCGGGGAGCCGGAGAAGCAGTGGGTCGAGGTGGTGGGGGTGGCGACCGGGGAATTGATGTCGGTGTCGATGGTGATAATTGCGACGGCGTAGACGGGATAGTGTTTCGAGGCTGTTTATATCTTAGATATGGATCTAATTGCTAGGATTGGCTGTGTTACGTGTTATCCATTCGGAGGGGTCCTAGCTGGCAGCGGAGCGTTGACGCTAGCCCACGCACGGCAAGTAGCGATTGTGAATGTCGGGCAAAGTCCGATATAATATATTCATGATGTATTCAAATCTTGACCTCAATTCCGCTGTATGTCCAGGTGGAAGCGATCAGACACCCATAGTATCAACAAGCGCTCCATGAAGAAATCCTTTTGTATTATGAAAAGCGTCGCTGCTGCCGATCCGAGCTTGTAATGAGCAAGGCTGTACAGCAAAGGATGCAAGGCTGGGTTACTGGCCTGTCGACCGGCTGCCAGAGCGCAAGGCTGACTCACAAACTTGCAGCCGCGCAGCATAAAAGTCTCGTGTCAACCCCAGATTTCGAGTATAATCACATCCTCATAGCATCATACAATTTTCGGAAGACTCAATGGATTCAAGATCATGGACGGATATGGTGATACAATCACCCGAAGCAGCGCACGTACAAGCACGCTCTGCGGTGTCAACAATCCCGGCGATAGTAGCTGCATCCCGGTTCCCTCCAGCCACGGAGTCTAGGTCTAGATCTAGAAATGCTTCGAAAGGTATCAAGAAAAGACACCGGGAACGGTCAGAATTACCTGCATATACTCAGCCATGCCCGCAAAAAGACGTCAGTTTCGACAGGAATGAATGGAGCGACGGTCTAGGTCCTCAAAAATGCGCGTGGATCAACTACCTAGTCTCTAGAGCAGATGAAGTAAAGCAAGAAAATGCTTTCAATTTTATCTTCCTGCTATGGGCAGCAGACGAGAATGGGGTCGCTATCGCCACAGATATCCCTATCCCGAAAACTATCATAGAGAACGACGTAGAGCTAATCCGACACTTGAAAATGAGACTTAGATCTGCTAGAGGGATGATGAGATCAATCTTGTACGGGGCTGAGCCAGTGGGCAGTAAGGTCAGTCAACAGTTCGTAGTCGTGACACAATGCAACGTCTCACCGTACAGATGCGTCTCCTTGGCCAACCTCGACCGGACAGTACGTATCCGGTGTTGCTACGCAACAAAGTCACGATGGATCTTGATCATCATATAGAAAGTCAGAAGAATGAATATACGAACCTTCTCTTGGATCGCGAGTTTCTCTTGGAGTTCGAATTTGATGTTGATGAGTATGAGACTTGTTGTGCTACGCTCAGACAGGTAGAGGAAGAGCTTAGCCAGATCGAGATCTTTCCTAAGCTGCTTAGATCTGCGTGGCACAATCCAGTCTTAGCAGAAGGGCAGGGCATATTCCGTGCACACAGCAAATGTTCTCCAGTGCTTAGATTTGGGCCTCTGAACTACCTGTGAGACATCAGCGCCCCGCAACATACATGATAGAGGCTGACCAGGATTCAGCACCTGTGCAAAGTCGCTCTCTTCGCCGGCGACAGACTTTGCCAGCGTAGTTTCGTTCACACAAGACATGAATGGAATCTATTTCGAAGAAACTCTTCAATTCCTACCATTCATTGCACTGACTAGCTCGGCTTCTCTCGCAGCATTCCTGTTTGCGAGATGGATATTCAGTTCCTGGGAAGTTGGCGTAGGATGTGCCAGTCTGCTCGTAGGAGTAGTTACACTAAGCGTGATGAGACATGGTTGATCGGACAAAGTAAGATAGCCACAACAACAACGCACTCAAGTCGCAAAGCTTGGATGCTTATGGAAACTGTAGAAATCCACGAATCACACCATCTCGGGAATCGGCAAGCTCCTAGACCGGCCCTGTACATCCGGTCCGACAAAAGCAGCGCATCAATGTAATCAAACGCGGGGAAGAGTGCTCATGTGCTATGGTACGCGTACTCTTACGAAGATAGGTTTGGGAATCTCCAGTTTCACGTGTGAGAGTCGCGAAGTCGTAAAGACCAGAGCTCGTACCTAGTGTAGCTTTCCTACGGCCACTGTGTTTGAGTATAGTCTCTATCGACTATCTGAAAAAATGAAAAGATTCATCACCATCAAATGGTGATCTTGTCACCGAGACAGACCTAATCAACACAAGGCAATGTCCGAAGGCAGGGTCCATGAAACCAGGCGCGATAGAATTCTGTATCTACTTCATCATAATCTATTACTGTATTGGGAATGCATAGCCGAGGTCGTTCACTGTTACGTGCCAATATACGCTTGGCAACGGTTCGCCAGCTGTAGCGCCCTACACCATTGAAGCTTGTCCTGAGCCGAACCATTGTTCGTAAGGATCTTCATTGCGGCTCCTGGTGTTAGACACAGTGACCATTTAGCTACTAGACTCACACTCGCTTGAAGGAATCGAAGCGATTGGTCGACTTGTCTTGGAAGCCAAAGATGGTGGGCAATGACCTGAGACTCATTGGCCTTTATCCTAGCTCCGATCACTTAGGTGCCTCAGCTGGTCAAGTAGTTGCGTATATCGTCTGAAGACTAGCGGAGCCGCGTTGTATCACGTCTTCGACGACGACTGGCGTCGCCGGGGCAAAAGATTCTCTTAGTCACAGTAGCATCTAGCTTTTCATTTTCATGTAGATCAGAGGGTGGGATAGCCAAAATGCTAGGCAAAGCAGATGATGCCAGATGGGCCTTGATGGAACAAAGACCAAAGGGTCGCCACTTTTGGTAGACTGAAAGCCTAGGACTCCTATTACACTACACCTGCATCGAGACAAAGATATGCCGCAGAACCATGGTGACCGTATCTCGATATCAGCGCTGGTTCTCTTCAGATGCGTTTGCGACCCTGGTGGTTGCAAGTGCAGTATTTACGGTATGTCCTGACCCCTGATCTTCGAGTATAAAATCGCTCATTATTGACGCTCCTGCAGGACAACTTTGTGTATGATCTGGTAGGTCATCGACGATCTGCCATTGTTGGCGTAGCCTGACTTGAATCAGGTCATTCCATTTTTGCCACAAATGCTGAAAACCAGGCTGAGGATTACAGCAGATAAGAGTGAGTGACGCAAAATCCAATACTCATTGGAACACAAGTGGTGCCGCTGGCTAATACTCAAGCTGTGCAGCTCAACAGTGGACATCGATTTTACTAGCAACTTATGGTGCTGCGTTCCTACTATCCAATTGTAAGACTTTACGTCCCAATCTATCATTCATACTCACTGTAGTGAATAGATGTGGTGGGCTATGCCACAGACAAAGTTCGCTCGAAGAAGGCCATATTTTTCTGGGGAATAATATTCATGATCGCGGCTGTGCTCATGTTTTTTCTCGGGCAGCATATTGCACTCACGGTAGCTGCTCGAGCTATCCAAGGCATAGCAGCCGGCTTTGTCTGGGTATCTGGATTTGCATTCTTGACTTCTTATCTCGACAGTTCAAATGTAGGTCGATGTATGGGATTTGTCTCTGCCGGTATGGCCGCAGGTGAGATTGCTGGACCATTGATCGGTGGTATCCTGTACGAATATACAGGGTATTACTCGGTAATGGGGCTCGTACTGGGTATACTAGGCTTTGACATTGCTCTAAGATTCTTTCTTCGAGACAAGCATCCGCAAGTCGGTAGAGGAAATATCGGTTCCACTCATGCATCGCTCTCTGATATAGAAGCCACTGGTGAAAATAGCACATCAGCGGGACGATCAATGACGCCGGGCACAGATGAGCCTGGCTTCCTCGGAAGCACCTCGATGTCCTCAGACATTTCTTCGAACGCCGTGCACAAGAGTTTTAAAGCCGGCCAAGCGAGACTAGACAGTTCTGGGAAATTCTTGGACTTCTTCGCGGACCCTGACTTCCGTATGCTGGCTACTAGCTTCTACGCATACGCTGTCAACGCCATTGTTCAGTTCACCTTGGAGTCTGTAAGTAGTATTTTCGGCAATATGACAGACTACAAGCTATGTTTGTCGGTTGCTAATGAGACCAGGTACTCGCTATTTTCGTTCAGAGGTATTTCGGCTGGGGTAGTACAGCAAGTGGTGGTGTCATTTTCGCTCTGCTCGCTCCGACTCTTCTCTCGCCCATGATAGCACCCTACGTCGAAAGACATGGGCCACGCTGGCTCAGCGTCATCTTCTTCTGCGTTGACACAGTGGTATTGATCATTCTGGGCTGGCTTATACATGCTAGATACTTCGTCGAGGCAAGCAAAGGCTTCAAGGCATTGTATGTGGTCATCGTTTCCATTCTAGGCATTTCTATCGCGGTTCTGACGAGCTCCAATCTGATCTCCTTTTCGGTTGTTGCCAAACGTCGTGAGGAGAGATTGAAACGGTCAGGTAAACAAAACAGTTCGACTGGTCAATCGTTTGGCTGGCTCCAGATTGCTTGGGCATCAGGGATGGTGCTTGGACCGTTGCTCTCGCTTGCATTTCTTGACACGATAGGATGGTTGGCTCTGTGTATTTTTCTTGCCGCGCTTTGTCTCGTCAGTGGTATATTTATGGCGGCCACCTGGAAAGAATGGGATGTGTCTGTTGGAGGCTAATTGTTGGGATTTGGTCTGAGATCTGAAGTAAAGTCGAGCTGTCTAGGATGCAGGCGTTCAGAGGATTAAATAGCAGTTGGTCTGGTAACAGTACTGATATACAGTTAGCACGTATATCGACCAGAAAACAGATCGGATCAATGGCAACGATATAATCCTCTCTGTGATATCTTCGAAGTGATGCCTTTCGTTCCCTGGTCTAAAATACGTGCCAAGGTGTCACTTCGTAGCCAATCGAAGCTTCATATGGGAGCTGCATGACGCTGAGTCATTTTGTCATGCCGATGAGCGAAGGATCATCAAGCTCAGCTAATGGCGATAGACTGGTGGAATGTATGTATGGGCGTGTTGGTGTTGCAGCAGAGCCTCTTTACGTGCATCTCCCTGCAGTATCAGTACAACGCGCGCAAACTCCGGCCCGAATGCGGGGGAGGGGCAGCGGCAGAGTGCCTGAGGTTCCAGCCCCTCTTCCGGTCTCGCACACCCATTCGCCAGTACAGGTGGGCAGTCTGAGCAGTCTAAAAAGAAAAAAAATATGATTAACAAGCCCGATACAAGCCGACCGTAAATGATGACTCGTCCATCTGCGAATCGTGCCCTGTGCTCTGACACCTCGTCCACTTGACTCAATTCCTCTCCGTTTCTCTGTACATACCTTACATTGCAACTATTCAATCCTATTGATCTATACAGAATGGCTACTGAACTCCCCACCTCCAATGGCAACGGTGCTCACGATGGCGAGTCCAATTTCGCCGTCAAGGCGGGGCTGGCACGCATGTTGAAGGGTGGTGTTATCATGGATGTCGTGAATGCTGAGCAGGTCAGTCGTTCTCTTACATCTTCTCAACTCTTTCGGCACATGTTACTGACATCTATCTGCTTCTACAGGCCCGCATCGCAGAGGAAGCCGGTGCATCAGCCGTCATGGCCCTCGAGCGCGTCCCAGCAGACATCCGCGCCAACGGCGGCGTAGCACGCATGTCGGACCCGCAGATGATCAAGGAGATCATGGAGGCAGTCACCATTCCCGTGATGGCGAAGGCACGGATAGGACACTTTGTCGAGTGCCAGGTACCAGATCCTCCCACTCTACCCATCCGACGACCACAATTCCCTATTGCAATACGCAGAAAACCACAATTGACCATACATCAAGATCCTCGAAGCAATCGGCGTCGATTACATTGACGAATCCGAAGTCCTCACCCCTGCCGACCACATCCACCACGTTGAGAAACACCCCTTCAAAGTCCCCTTCGTTTGCGGCTGCCGCAACCTTGGCGAAGCTCTGCGCCGCATCAGCGAGGGTGCTGCCATGATCCGCACTAAAGGCGAGGCCGGCACCGGCGACGTCGTCGAGGCCGTCAAACACATGCGCACCGTCAACAGCGAGATCGCAAAGGCCGCCAACCTGTCCGACATGGAATTACGCGTGCTGGCTAAGGACATTCAGGCCCCGTACGAACTGCTAAAGGAGACCGCGCGGCTGAAGAGATTGCCTGTGGTGAACTTCGCGGCGGGCGGAGTGGCGACGCCCGCAGATGCGGCGTTGATGATGCAGCTTGGATGCGACGGGGTGTTTGTTGGGAGTGGCATCTTCAAGAGTGGGGATGCGCGCAAGAGAGCGAAGGCGATTGTACAGGCAGTGACGCATTACAACGACCCGCTGAAGCTGGCGGAGGTCAGTGAGAACCTAGGAGAGGCGATGGTGGGAATCAATTGCGCAAGCATGAAAGAAGAGGACAAGTATGCTAAGCGTGGATGGTAGGAGGGTGGGTGAAACGCATATTCCACGGTTGAGGCGTCCGGCGCGACGTGATGCATTTTGGTATCGTTTATGGATGCAGTGAAAAAAAGCGCCTACAGATGCAACAGTAGCAAAAACAAAAATCATAGATCCGGGTATTCAACACCTTACCAGAAGTCCTCTCACTCCTCAGCAGCCAACTCTTACTCCTCAGCAGCCAACTCTTCTACCAAACCTTCCAGCTCCTCCCTCCTAAACGGTACAACCAACCTCTCGGTTCCCACCCCGTCCTTCCTGCTCTCCACCATCTGATGATCGTGAAACTCCTTCAGCAGCGTGCGGAACGCGACTTCACTGCTACAAATAAATGCCTCCACCGCTTTATGATACAGCACTCGATACTCCACTCCTTCGTCTGCCCTCCTCACCTCCTTCCGCTCTCTCTTCTGCGGCGTAATCGCCTGTCCCACAGCCTCCATCTCCTCGTCCCCATCATCCCCATTCTCGAACATGACTGCGAGTTGCTCAGAGATGAGGATCAGGAACAATGCGCGTGCGTTTTGCGGTAGGGAGCGGAGCACCCAAGATACACCGTCTTTGCCTTGCACTTTGCGGCCCGTACGGCCGAGGAGGATGTTTACATCGTCAACGACGCTTATTTCGGAGGTGTAGGGTGCGAAGGTGGTTGCGTCGTGGAAGAGGAAGCGGTATTGGGCGCGCAGGGATGTATCCCAGAGGATGGGAAAGTTTGGCGTGTCAGCGGTCGCGAGGAGGGATATGTGTGGCGATGCAGCAAGGGCGGCAAGGAGGGCTGGCGCCGGGGCACGGCGGAGAGAGGGGGAGTCGATAGTGTTCAGGAGGATATGCTTTGGCTTTGAGGGAGGGTTGATTGAGAGAGTTGTTAGGATGTGGGAGAGAAGAGCTTGGGGCTGAGTTGGGAGTTTTTGGATGGCGGATTTGGGGAGGAATGTCGTTGCGATTGAGGAGAGTATCTCGCGGAGGGATAGGGTTGGGTTGCTGCCGTTTACTATGAGTATTTTGGGAGATGTTTTAGCTTTGGAGGTGGCTGCGAGATGGTCGTAGAGGTGTGATGCAAAGTTGTCGACGAGCGTGGTTTTAGATCCATAGCCGTAGAGACAGACATTAAAACCCTCGGCAAGCTCAAAGATCCATTGATCAAATGCTCGGGCATGTAGTTCTAAGAGGAATTCTTTCTCTGGCTCATGATGGTCCTGATAGTCTTTCAAAGCATGGAAATATTCCTCGTGATCAAGAATCTTCTGCCCGACAAGGGTATTACTAGACGTCTTGTTCGCCCCAGGTCTGTTCTGCCAGAAGTATTGTTCATGTGGAGGGAGGTTCAGAGGTGGTGTAGGCGATCGTTCTTTTCTCTTTCTCTGGCTTCGTGCCCTCCCACGTCCTGTCTTGGAGGGTGTCTCAGGGGCCGGAGAACCATCTGGATCTGCATCCTCATCGTCCTCCTCTTCGCCCAAGATCTCGGCAGCGAGTTGGTCCTCCTCGTCTGAAATCTCTTTTTCGCTGTCTTCCGGGTTCAACTCGCGTTCAATTAGACGGCGTGCGCTCTTTCGTCGGGCTGAGCGGTCTGCATTGCGTTCTATTGTCGGTGTTCCATTTAGCCGCTTGAGCTCTGACGCTTTTGTAGGAGTTGCGAACAGGACCTTCTTTGCCGATTTTGGTGTCGACGCAACGGGCTCGGTACCATTGGCGATTCCATTGCTCCTCATATGCATATCCTTTGCCAATGACCGCTTCGCTTGACTTCGGCGACTGGGTGTAACAGCTTCCTGAATCTCGTCTTCGGATTCTGATGGAGGCGATGAGCGTGCTTTCTTTGGGGTGGATTTCGGCGTTGCATCATGATCGTCTGTTCTCCTTCTTTTCATGTTGGCAATCACTGCCTCTATCTCCTGTCGACAAAGAGTGTTTGTGATATGCTTTCTCAGTACACTTAACTTGCGCCCAGAAGTCCAAGTTGAAGTTAGTCCGACGCGCCGACGCGCTTTCTTGAAGTCCGTGCGCTGGCTTTCCTGCCCGCTACTCTCGGAGGTGATCAGTGTTCTCAACTCAAATACTCAGACATCAATTGGCACTCACGCGATGCTCCATATCTTCTCTTTCTTGTACTGTAAATAATAAGTTCCTGTTTTGGCGAGCTTATTTGCCCGTCGGGCCCTACTGTCACCAGGATGGCATGCCAGACGCAGAAAGCCCTTCTAATAATCGCAAACTTACTCATTCCCGCAGCCGTCCTGACATTCGCTGTTGGCTTCTTCCCTTACAAAGCTGTTCTGCCAGGACTGGCGACATATAGGCAGTTAGAATATGGGGATCCACCCAAGGCGCCTTTTGACAAGGTCGTCTTCATGGTTGTAGATGCACTCCGAAGGTCCGATGATATTGTCAAGTTGAGAGCAAAAAATGCTAAGTAATGCAGTGATTTTGTATACTCTGAGAACTCTGGCTTTAAATTTACACAGAGGTACATCTAAATGACCTATCCTACTCTTCGAATGCTAACGACTCCCAGCTTGATACGTTCTGGCAATGCCATACCCTTCACAGCCCATGCCAGCTCTCCCACGATTACCATGCCCCGCGTAAAGGCCATAACCACCGGGTCAATTCCTTCTTTCCTCGATGTAATAATGAACTTTGCAGAGTCTGACGACTCATCCACACTGGCCAACCAAGATACATGGTTGGCGCAAATGAAAGCAAAACCAGACGGCAAGCTCGTTATGTACGGAGACGATACGTGGCTGAGACTGTTCCCCGGTTTCTTTGATAGAGAAGATGGAACGTCAAGTTTCTTTGTATCGGTCAGTGGATCCAATACTTTCCATGTACGTAGGATTATGGAGCTGAAAATGAGAGTTAGGATTTCACGGAGGTCGACAATAATGTGACGAGACATGTGCCCGGAGAATTGAGGTCTGACCAGAGTGATTGGACAGGAATGATCATGCATTATCTTGGATTGGACCATATTGGGCATAAGACTGGTCCGCTTGGGTGCATACCACTGACACATGACTTTGGCTCCTACTGACTTTGCCAGACCTAATATGATTCCCAAGCAAAAAGAGATGGACGGCATCGTGAACAAGATATACAATGCCATTGACAAGAGACCCCATCTCGAGTCAACCCTGTTTGTTCTCTTGGGCGATCATGGCATGAATGAAGGGGGAAATCACGGCGGATCTGCGCCAGGCGAGACGTCGCCAGCCCTTGTCTTCATCTCACCCAAGATGAAGAAGATAACCAAAGGCTACAAGTGCCCGACAACCCCTAAAGACGACTATAATTACTACCGGACAGTGGAGCAATCCGATATAGCGCCAACTTTGGCTGGTCTTCTAGGCTTCCCAGTACCGCAGAACAATCTCGGCGTTTTCATCCCGGAGTTCTTCGAGTTCTGGGAGAACGGTATGACGCAATTTCGAGACACGAGATTCGCGCTGACTCCATAGCTAGAAAACGATCGCGCTCAGCTGCTGCTGAGAAACGCAATGCAGATTCTCGACATCGTCAAAGCGACGTTCCCACATGAAGCTTTCAGCAACCCCTTTTCTGCACTTGACTGCTCTTCCCCGTCGTCTGGCGCGGAGGAGCTCGCGTGTAAATGGAGGACGTGCACCACTATATTCCATGCAGCAGGCAGTTTTCGACCTCGAGCATCCGAGATCATGCCCGCTCTCACAGACGTAAGCGCATGCTCAGCCAAAGATACCAGGTGGATATATAATATTAACGATTATTGCAGTTCGTCACGGCAGCGCAATCAACCATGAGCAGTACCGCAAGCGCCTACGACATCCCAAAACTGATCATCGGCGTCGTCGTCTCCTCCCTCGCCGCAATCCTAGCCCTCGCAGCGCTCCTCCCCATCCGCTCAGTATCCCCCAGCGGAGCCTTCTACACGATCCTCCTCCTCATCTACGGCATCATGATGTTCGCATCCAGCTTCGTCGAGGAAGAACAGCACATCTGGTACTGGACCGCATCCTTCTTCCTCCTCTATCTTTGGATCCGCAGCCTCCGCACCGGCACTTCCCTCTTGTCTTCCTTCACAAGCCCCGAGATACTCGCTCTCGCCGTCCTAAGAATTGCGAGACGGTATAACCAGACCGGTCAGAAACATGCCGGCGCGCCAGACATTGCGCATTCGTCGTTCCTGACCATGCCGATTGTGCTGTGGTCGCTTGTGGGACTGACGTACTTGCTTGCTACGCTGATGCTCATGCCGCACTTTGCGCCGCGGTCGACGTCTGCGGATGGCCCGATGGCGGAAGAGCTGTTCTTTGGGATCAGTGCGAGTGTGTCGATTGGGTTTCTGGCGTTTGTATTCAAGGCCGCGTTTACGGCGCGCGATGCGCCCGAGTCGCTAGACGGGCTTCTGTTCAGTGACTTGAGGGGCTTTCTCGAGCAGTTGCCGATCGTTCTTCTTGCGAGGTTGGTTTTTAGTGCGCTTGGTTTGGGTTTGCTTTATATGGTTGTCGCGGCGCGAGTACGGCGTAGCCAGGGGAGGGATGAGGAGGAACCAGAGGGTACGTTGATTTTGAGATTGAAGGGCGCGTCGTGCCAGCTAACGCGTATGAAACCAGTTTCGCGCCTCTCATCCGGGCTGTTCGAACTCCTCAACGTCTTCATCCTCACGCAAACAAAGACAACCAACATCCCGCTCTTTCTGCTATTCCGCGTCATGCACCACGCACTTTGTACGGATCTCCCTGTGCTTCTCATTTCGCTATTAGTCTCTAACAAGCACCCAGCAACGCACCCTCTAACACCGCTCCAAACAACACTCACAACCCTACTCATGACACACGTCTCCTTCTTCGCCCTCGGCAACTCCAATGCAATCTCCAGCATCGACCTCTCAAACGCCTACAACGGCGTGTCTGGCTACAACATCCTCGCTGTCGGCATCCTCGTCTTTGCCGGAAACTGGGCCGGGCCAATCTGGTGGTGCGCCGCCGGCGTTCAACTTCTCAAGACTTCATCATCATCCACAAGCCTCATCACCCCCGAATCCGCGAAATCAAATGCCCAGAAAGACGCGCAGACAGAAAAGGAATGGGTGATGCGAGAACGCAAGCGTCTTGCTGCGTCGGTAAAGCCGGGTGCGGCAAAGGAAGAAGAAGTGGGTGATGATGGGAGGTGGTTCGGGCATGTGGCGTGCCTGACGCTGTTTTCAGCAACCAGTCTGGCTGCTGTCATGGTGGCGTGTACGGTGCTGCGCACGCATCTGTTTGTCTGGACGGTGTTTAGTCCAAAGTACCTGTATGCGATGGCGTGGGGCACGGTGTGGCAGGTGGTTGTCAATGTCGGTCTTGGCGGGTTGTTCTGGTGTGTATAGACGTGTAGACTATGGCAACCGTATGTGCATCGTCGTCGTCGTCGTCATTATCCTGCTTCCCAACCAACCATCCATTAACCCCCCTTTTCTCAATCATCACACCCTTTCAAATTCCCAACCGCGCACCTGCATCCCTCACCCCCACACCTTCCCCCAAATCCTCCCGTCCATCCACCTCCCCTCCTCCCCCTTCCCACCCAACAACACCCCCCACCTCCGCCAAAACCGCAATCAGAAACACCCCCTTTGCCACATTCGAATGCCGCGCCAACTGCGTAAACGCCGTCCACCACGTCTCTACCAGGCCACGCTCCTGCCACATCCGGATGCGCGCCCTGGCTTTTGGTCCCCCGGCACCGGTCCCTGCTGCACTATTTGCACGTGATACCCGCTGCTGCTGCTGCTGCTGCTGCTGCTGCCCACCAGCACCGACAGAATCATCGTCAGTCCACTCAGCAAGTAGATGGGCAAGCTGTCGGCGCAGCATTTGGGCGTGGCGGAAGGAGAGGGTGTGTCTGTCGCCGTTGCGGAAGTGGAATGTGTAGCGACGGAGGTAGGTGTGTGTTTGGGTCAGGATATCAAGTGGAGATTGGGGTATTGGGAGTTGTGGTTTCGCTGCTGCTGCTGTTCCTTTGGTGAGATTCTGTGATGGTGTTGGCGCCATGGTTTATCTTATTTTTATTTTTTATTTTTATATTTTATTCATGTCATGTTTCTTTCCTTTGATTTTGGGTTGAGGTTTTCTTGGTTTGGGAATTTGGGGAAAAAAAAGGTAGAGGTGTGGGTATGGGTATGCTGTGCTGATATATACGTAGTGTGTCGATGCCAATAACAAGGGGTCCGAGCGCCCAACGTTGGCAGGCTAGACGAGCCACGATAGCGCGTTTTGATATTGCTGTTTTGAGCAGCGAGCGGGCCAATGAGAAGAGAGTGAGTGAGCGAGCTTACCAGAACGCGTCAATCTTTTTATATCCAGTTTTGAACCGTTGTGCAGGCTCTGCTATGCAGCAGTCGGGCATCACAGCTGAGATGAATCAGTAAACGAATCTGTGAGCGAATAATCACTGTATTGCAGAAAAAATATGTGCTCGTAAATGTGGTTGTTTCATTAAACCCCACTAAAGGGCATGTAGTTGTGAGTACCAACTCTGCGCATCGCGCTGCATCAGCAAGATGCGTGTAACTGACTGCATAAACCAGAATGACCAAGCGCTGTACCCATAGACAGCTCAAACAGTATGCAAACGGACGTGTTGCAGAGACTAAACAAAAAAAGTGACCAGGTATTGCATCCAACTCCGTACCATATCGAGGCATTCCTCTACTCTGGCCAGCTCACAACTGAGCGCCAAGCGCCTTCGCTTCCAGACACTAAAACGCCAAACAGACAGAGGACGAAATCAAAAGAAATCATTATTACGTATAAACGTGAATCGGGGTTTGCATACGGCCGTAAAATCAAGTGCAGTGTTGGGTTTTGAAATAGCAATTTAGGTTGCTTAGCCAAGCTCCCAGTCCAAGTAATGACTAGGTAGGAGGCGTGTGGCGCAATGCGCTCAATGGATGATCGAGAAGCTCCAGTAGCTATCGATCGGGGTATCATCTTCGTGACGTCGTGATGAGAAGAGGTTGTTGGTAAAGGAAATAGGAGAGGGCCTCCGATGTGGACGGTGTCGATAGATACAGTCAGCGGGTAAGTCTGAAAAATAACAGGTTACATGCCACTGGTGGCCACACGACTGCCATCCAACGTTGCGGTGAAGTACGGCTTGAAAGAGCTCAGGATGAGTTTGCGTTCTGTCCGCAAAATGGGGAAGTGTGTAGAGAATTTAGAACATAGGGGTAGTGGAACGTCCAAAAGTAGGTCTTGGACCCTTCACAGGGCTGCCATTGGCAGCAACACACATAGGACGGGCGCCAATCTTCTGGAAGCCTTGCATGATATCGCAGCCTTCCTCGGAGCCGTCACTGGCGAGGTCAGGGAACATTGCGAGATCATCTCCGAGGTCTGCGGCACGGTTGTACTTCTTGGTACTCCTGAACAGGTTTTCCTTGCTGGAAGAGAGAGGGGAAAATGAGATGGACCCTTTTGACGCCGAAGTCAAACGTGGAGCTGGCTTGAGTACCTTTGGTGTGTCAAAGAAGTGTGGATCGGCAAGCTCATCAGGATCTTGGAGAAACTTGCTTGGGCTTGACATTATGTTTGGGCTGGACAGCAAGTGGAGATTGGCCTTGGATCCGGTGATTGTGGCGAGGGGTCCGGTTGAGGTTGTGGCGCGTTCAAAGAGCCTGGGTCGCTTTACGGATCGCTTCTCGGGAGATCCTCGAGCAGCGAAAGTGGTAGAGAAGTCATCCTGGTTAAAGACGTCAAACGCAGCATCAAAGCTGGCATGGTCTTCGTAAAGTGTAAAGTTCTCGGACGGTGACGCTACAGCAATGTCTTGAAAGAGCTTGACGTGTTCCGGTGAGCATTGCATTGCAGCAATGCGATGTCGGTGGTTGGCGAGGTTGGTATTTGGAGAAGCAGAGGCTGGAGGGATTGCTGGCCGCTTGAAGATGACGGGCGGAGTGAGTGGGGCACCACGCTTGATGTGTTTATCGAACGGACGGAATGGAGAAGACCAGTCAAAGGTGAGAGATTTCTTGAGTAGTGCAGGCTTTCGAGGACTGTCGTGAGAAGAGCTCCGAATGCGAGCAATCTCTAATTCGGCTCGGCCCTGCTTCAGCGAGCGAGGAGGCAGGTCGTATTCGCCTTCTGATGTGAGTGGCCATTGCGGAAGCCTTTGTTTGGCAGCCGACGACTCAATTGAAGAATAGTAGCCACTGTCACCAAGTGTGCCACATTTGCGCTTCTGCGTGCCCACGCGACCTTGACTGGACAGGGGAGGCGGCAGTCTGAGCGGCGATTCATCTCTGATTGAGTGACGCGAAGGCGGAGCTGGCGGTGAGGATCGGATGTCTGCAGGAGGCGGTGATGACTGAAGTGCACGCGATGGCGGAGGCATCGTATCATGGAAGTCGTGACCGTCGTGAATGGCGGGGTCAGAACAAGGGATGGTGGCGTCCGACGAGAGATCTTGCTCGGTTGGGAACTTGCTTGCGTCGACGTGTTTTGTCGGAAGTGCAAGCGGGGCGGGCGGCGGAGCGACCGCTGAGCTTGAAGTTGAAGGCCGGGCATTGCTGCTTGGGAGCGAAATGCTAGCTGGGCGTTTCACCTGCTTTTCTTTGAGGAAAACATGCTCCTGGCCTGGCTGGATAGTCCAATAGTGGCCTTTACCAGGATCTTCCTTTGGCCGGTCCTGCTTGATGAAGTTCTTGTTGAGGCTGAGGTTGTGGCGGATGCTGTTCTGCCAGCCAGAGTCGGTGGGAGAATAGTAGCTGTAGTTGTCAGAAATCCACTTGTAGATCTGAGAGAGCGTAAGGCGACGACCCGGGGCACGAAGAAGAGACATGCCGATCAAATTGGCATAGCTGTAGTCTGGCTTGCCACCGGGATCACTGACGGCGGGCATGTCTTCGGGCTCAGGAACCTCGATTGGGCCTTCGTCTTCTTGCACCTTCTGCTTCTTAGCATTGCGCGGGTTGGCAGAGCCATCAGTGAATGATCTTTTATGTGCGATGGGCTTCTTCTCCATTACAATTTCGAATTTTGATTTAAATATCGCGTCGGTCGAGGTGGGTCTGACGTTTTCTTGGTCAACCAGACCGGGGAGAGGCGGAAATATGGCAGCAAGGCTAGTCTCCTGATGACCTGATAATGTATTCGCTCGACGTACGGGCGTCAAGCACTTTCGTGGAGGAGGCATGTTCTTCTTTGTTGGAGACATTGTTACTCGGATGTAATCTGGAGGTGCTATCTGGAAAGCATTAACGTCGACACTGCTCAACTTCTCCGCTCGTGGCGAGCTCCAAGGATGATCCGAGGATTTGTGAGGAGAGCCAGCTCTGAAGGTCTTGCATGGCGATCCAAATATGTTTTGATGTTCGTATGAGAGAGAAGTGAGAGGACCGAGCTGCTCGCAGATTGCAGAATCCTCAGGGCCAGGACAGAGGTCGAAATCTACATCTTTGTAAATGTCGAACAGTGGACTCCGAGTCCGACCTGTGCTGCAACTCATTCTGAACGGATTCCGGTGGATGCGAGACGGGAAGGACGGGAGTTCGGTTCCAGACGCGTAACAACGCGTGGCAGAGGCTTTTTCCTTGAACGAGGCTGTGCGGACAGCTGTCGTCTCGTACCGATAAAGTGGCGGTAGAAGAACAGGCTCAGCTGCGGTGCGAGCCTTGCATTAATAGAACTGCGCAGACGGTGCTCAGCGGAAGCAAAGGAGTAAGAATCCGAATTCGTGACGTCGATGCGTCTGATAATGTGCGCGGATCTTGGAGGGACGAATTTGGTGGTTGAGGTGAACCAGACGTGGAGGGCTCGGTTTCGGTTGATGGACTACGACGGCCGACAGTTCGGTAATAGTGTTCTTTTTTGGACAGTAGTCTTATCTCGAGGTAAGATGACGCGTTAATATGTGGTGATTGAAGCGATTGTCGAGGTTGTGGTGGTGAGAGAGGTGAGAGAGGTGAGGGAGAGCGTGGCAGAGGTGAAGGTGGGAGAGATTGGAGAGAAGGATGAGGTGATGGTGGTGGTGATTGGATTAAGGTGGAAGCTCCCCAATGTCACAGATGAGCTGTAGTGGGCGGTAGACGGTGGGCGGTGGGCGGTGGGCGGGAGAAACAGCTGGCGGGCGGGCGGAGAAGAGAGCTGGAGAGCTGGAGGGGGGGGGGGAGTCTGCGCGGTTTCGGCGAGAAGGTCGAGCGTCACAAAAAAAAGGTGCAAAGGGTGCGAAAACTGGGCGGTTATGGTAGCGGGTGTAGGCTCTTTTTTGCTTTTTTGCGTCCAACCCACTCTCGACTCCTCTATTCCCTTTTCTGCCCTTCTACCAGCGCCAACGCAGCAAAAAGCACCGACCCGCCTGGTAGAGCAAGGAAAGGCGTCAAAAGATCCCCGTTATTACCATGCAATTGGCTAAAATTACTCTCGTAGCTTCAGCCCGTCCTCGTTCTGGACATGTTTCCTGCTCCTCTCACTGGCTGCCGTCGGGCACGCGTCGCTCACAAGTCGCGCCCGTCACCTCGATCTCGATCGCGTTCTCTTCTTCAGCTCAGTCAAGCCAGAAAGTGCCAGGAAATGCCAGATACCCAGTGTCTCCCGACCGAAAGTGAAACGCGTCCAGTGCATCTCGTGAAAACACGGACACGGTCTTGGCCGATACGCTGGTGCTCAAGACATGGATCTTGTAACACGCTGCCTCTACATAGCACATACACTCATGAGTACTGACTCTCTCACTCTCCTCTGCACCGGCCGTCTCCATAAGGCAGACAGGGTGGTGTGGTGTGCTATTACCATGTCCATGATCAATCGCCATTTTGCCTGAGAACCAAACGAACACCCCTGTTCTGCCTCTGCCGGATCGCGGCACTTCTATATTAGAATACTATGTACTAGTTACGACCACGGAATGGGCTTGATTGAGGGGCGCGTCCTCCCTGGCCGGTTCTCCTGCTTGCTTACACGTTGGTCGACCGTGTTACCATGATCCGTTATGCTCACTTAGGAGGACATGAGGCATTCTTGCGTGCTTCTCAGACTCTGCTCTTCTTCATCACTTCGTCAAACTCTTTTCTTTCCTAATTAGGGGGCTTCAGTGCCATGATGATCCGTGGGGCAGACCATCGACGTCATGTTGGGGTGTGAGCATGGGCGTGCGCGCGCTCGCGTGAGGGCGCACGGCCAAACGTCCAACTCTCCGCTGCCACAATGCTCCACCATCCGACTGCCTGCATCGTGGCATTGGCATTGGCATTCCCAATTCCCTTTTCAATTGCACAGGGTTGATACTTAATTAGTTAGTTAGTTAGTGGGTTAGGGCTCGCGCTTTAGTCATCCCTGCCCAAAGTGATCGGGCTCTCTCTAGGCTGTAGTCTTCTTTTGCGATCTACTCATTTCCCTACGTCTCGCGATCGGGCTGATTTTTTGCGAGCACGCACGCTGCCTATCCCATTTCTTGATTCCGGTAGCCAGCTCGGCTTGTTTCACCCTCGGAACGATCATCGCACTGCTCAGAACGTCTCTCCTCTCTCTTTCTCTCTCTGATTTCGGATCTCGCAGAAATCACGAGATTGATGCGAGGTCATGTGATCGTCACTAGCTGGCATTCAATCACATCCAGATCCCATCGACAAGAACCTCAGTCAGGCACCACCCCTTATTAGTAACAACCATTGCCAACGCTCCACAGGAGGGACGGCTTGACTTCAGCCACGACACCCAGCTTTCGCATTGCTCAATCAAGCTGCTGCAGGTACCCGTCAGCCGTCATCCATCCCTTACTGCCAAAGAACAAATTCCCACGGTTCTCCCTCTCTCTCCTAATCTCGGAGAATTCCTCTCGTAGCGAACGGACCCCCTTCCGGACTTTATTCCTTCGCTCTACATATAGTTAAGCGGAGCACGGGTTCGCCCGGTAATTGTGTCTTCACCCCCCCTCCTTGGAACATAAATAACCCTTTGGGGCATTTTTTTACCCCCGTGATTAAGGTACGAGCCCCTGGCCGAGTTTGTGATATGGATGTCGATTGGAATGTATGTCGAGGAATGGATGTTGAAATGCCACAATCTCTGGATGACGCATACATTTGCTCTGCCTGATCTAGTCGTATCTCCATTGCCATCTCCCATCTCCATAAATCCTGTATAGCGCACGAACAGCAATGTATTCCGAGATTTGGCAGGCACGTTTACTACTTTAGTCTCCTCTTGGAATCTCACCGCCTCTTACACACTATATATAGACATGTCAAAAATCCAGGTGCTTTGACACCAGCTCCCAGTTTCTAGCGCGCAGTTTGGGCTCGTGCTTACTTACTTACCTTTCTGGCGTTCTAGAAGACTAATTAGAAGACCTCTTTCCTGGTCCTGAACGCCTGATGAAGATTGTCTTTGTGAGGCTTTGCGTTTCGATCGATCGGGCTGTTGTGGTTTGGTCTGTGCGACTACAATTATCTATCCATCTGTACAAACTATGGTCATGGTGCTGTACTAATCGCGTGCACGGAATGTGATCCACATGCTCGTTTGCGTATCAATCAGATCTGACAGTGAAAAGAAGGTTGCAATACACTGACTACCCCGTGGACGAATCATACCACCGCAGCAGCTCATCAATCAACGTTAATCGTCATTCCTCTCACGACGCAACACGAACATCATCATGCACGACTCCTTACAACGCACTGCGTCTCTAGCTCTAGGCTGATAAATGAAAAGCATACTTGACTACAAGGTATCAATCACGCCCTCCGAAAAGAGCAAGAACCATCGTGGCAGCAATATCTCACATCACCATCCCTCAACGATGATGATGGCTTTCATGATGATGATCCCTATCACCGCCCTCCAAACTTCATGAACTACCCTTCGTCGCGGTGGTTACTAACACACACAGCACACACATGCGGGCCGGGAAATCGCTTTGTGAATCGCTGGCACTTCTGTGGGATGTCATTTGCTTGACATGGAATGCACAGAGTGTGGAGTGGAAATATAAGATGGGATATGATAAGCTAGAGACGGCGTTTATATGTTTTATATGTGTCTGTGGTGTTCGCGAAGTGCTGGGTTGCTGGGCGTGGACACCGTGAATAGTGATATAATAGTTCGCGCTTGTGAAAGGCCCATTCATTGAGAGCTCTCTCTCAGAGCCTACCCGGCGCTCACTTTCCATTCCTGCATATCCGATTTACTTATTTATAAGTCATTCCTTCTCGATTTGGATACTAAACTACACTACACTGCTTGAAACCACATGCACCATCCATCTACCCGGTGATATCCAGCCAGACTTACATGCACACTTATTAATAAAAATTATGCATCCGATGCCTTTGTGCCATGCTTTCCATTTCTTTCTTTTCGTACCTTTTCTGCGTCAAATGACTGTGTAGAACTAAGGAACGAACAGAAGATCAAGTGTAATGGAAAGCAGAGACATTGGATGGTCTTATGGTTCGTGTGGTATGTCGTGATGATGATGATGATGATGATGATGATGATGATGATGATGATAAGCACTACTACCACCACCATCAATACAAGAAAATGATGCTCTCCATTACCACTTTTGTACGCTTCGACGAACGGAGAACCCCACCATCGACTTCGTTACTATATATCTTGCCAGGAACGTCGTGTAGGGCCGAAAGAAGACGTCCATCATGTGGTAGTACGCCAAGACTGAATTGGAGAAGTGTGTGTCTGTGTAGTCTTGTTCTTTCTGTTCTTGCGGAGGAGGGAGAGAGGGAGGGCCTGGGGTGCTTAATATATATATTCCTAAAGACTGCCGCCGGGTAGGCAGAGGGAGTCTATCATTCACAGCGTCTGAGACCTGGCAGGGTAGCGGATTGGTCTTGTTGAGCTTCCTTCACCAGGCACAGGTCGTTAACGATATCGGAAGGACACTGCTTGTAGAATTTCACTCATTGACACAAGGAACGTGGAGTCATGCATACAACGAGTGATGTCCATATTTCAAACTGACAATCTAACTATCCCCTCCAACAAAACAGTATATACAAACAAAGCCGCGACGCGCCGGGGTTCTATCCCATAACACAGCCATTCCGATTCTCCCCATCCTCCCCGTCCTCCCCATCCTCAAAACGCCGGCTTCGCATTCCGGAGCAACATCTCAAAGTAAGCTTGATTCCACGTGCCAGCCTCAGGCGCCGGCTTGTACGCATCATTCTTGCCACAGAACGAATCATACCTGACCGCGCTCGTATCGCTCGTGCCATCACTCTCACCACCCGGCTTCACCCACACGAACGCATCCACGCCAGCATCGCCCGTGTTGCTCGTCGGCCGCACCCCGAAGCCCGCGCCGTTGACATTGCACCAGTCACCCCACTCCAGACGCAGGCCCTGCACGGCGTTGCGGCCCGTGTCGACGATGAACTTGTTCGGCATCCCGGCCGCTGCCAGTGCCGCACCAAAGTACTGCACGTAGCGCTTCTCGTCTTGCGCCTTGTTGTACTTCCCGTCTGGCGTGTTTTCGAATTCGCCGGGGGTTTTGATCCATGCGTTCCATCCGGCGACGTTGGAGGAGACGCCACGGAGTTGGGCGGGTGAGCCGGCGTTCTTCCATGCCGATGCGAGTTCTTGTGCGCCTGGAGCTGTTGCAAGGTTAGTATGCGGAGACGGTTTAGATGTTAGACCGGGATGTGTGTACTTAGGTTTGCGTCCCAGCCGAGCCAGCCGCCATGTCCGGCGTCGAGGTACATGATGACGTTCGGGAGGTTCAAATTCTTCAAGGCATAGGCAACGCCCTCACGATAGCCAGAGGCAGAGCTCTGACAGGTAGCAAGGTTGGCGTTGGTTACCAGGTTAGGAAGCGAGTCGGGCTCGATGACGAGGGCGAAGGCGGTATTGGGGTGTGCCTTGATCAGCTTGACAATGGCTGTTCGTTTGGTCAGCTGGAAGTTATTCATCTTCAAGTCATGTGAAGCTCACGGTCAATGTATTCGGTCTTATAACGGTTGATTGATCCCACTGGGAGCTCTCCATTGGAGGCCTTGGCAGCACAATCACGTCCTGGCAGATCGTAGATGACAAGACCCAAGATGTTGTTGCATGGCACGTCTTTGAGCGCTGGCTCGATCCTGGCAATATTCGCAATGGTGTCGCTATCGAGAAAGTCAGTTTCTGCTTGACTGTACAGGATAGGGGAACCCACATCCACAGAAAGGATCCTACGTTGGCAACCTTCAGGGCAGAAGCCTTCAGACTTGCATCACTAATTGCAGCTGCGGCAGCGGTGACTTCTGCGCGGTAGAAGTTGTTTGGATGCAGTGTCTTTGACGCAAATGGATTGCCAGTGAGAGTGACCGGAGAAGCACAGCCAGAAGCCTGACGAGGTGCGACCTCAAGAGCTGGAGCAGCCAGTGAAGCGGTAGCAAACGCAGCCACGGCACCGAGAATGTACTTCATGATGTCGGTAGCAAGATATCAGATGCTATGTGTGCTGGTATACTCGAGCTCAAGGGAGCAGCTCGATGCTTTATAACTGTACCGTGAATGATTGCAGTGCCCTGGCTCGACTACTTTCGTTATTGCGTAATATTCAATTTGTAATTCGGGATCAGGGCCGGATGAGCAAGGGAATATGACCGATGATTTAAGCTGCACTGGCTAATCTCCATGCGAGACGTGTCCCAGGAACCGTCCTACCATGATAGACGACCATATGTGGCATTACAGGACAAGAGGCATGCCCGTAAACGAAAGTCGCAAGTGCAATATGCTCTATATCTGTGACTGACCAATCGCTAACTACTTACACTCACTGTAGTCCAGACAGACCCGTCCTGTTGGAAGCATCCGAATGGTTGTAGTTGAATCCTATTGATAGGAAGGCATCAGCTAGATGGTATTGGTAAAGTAGTGTTAAATGAGATTTGGCGGTAATTGAGGCTCCTCAATATACCTGAGACCACATGAGGCTTATGCGGAGCCCCATGACTATGACGATTGTGACGCCACATCTGTTCGGTAGAGTGTAGCAAAGGTCTCGATGCATATGATTCAGACCTGTAGAAATTCACTCAGCCTGTAATGGGAGCGTCGTGGTCCCATGTGTTGAAGAAAGATGGCATGCCAGTCTTCCATATCTGATGCCTTCGATTATACAATCTAAACGACTCTATGCCCTGTAACGAAGCTCAACTTGATTGACGCTTTAGACACTCGTATGCTGGCACCAGTATGGTGGTCGACCGTCATGGCTGTGGTATATTGCGGCGGCTTTCTTCTCCGACGACTCGGGAGCAGTAAGAATGCACAGCTCTATCTATGCATCCTCGACCAGTGAAAAGACTAGGTTCTGATCAAAGGACAATGAGAAGCTGCAGTCGGTCCGGCTGACCCCATGGCTATAGTTCAAGGTACTATACAGCACATAGCCATAGAAAGCGAGAATAGATGGCTCCATGTGATAGAAGCGAAGGTTGACGGTAATGTACCTGTGTTGATGGAATGTTGTTGCACCAAGGTTGTTGGGCTAATTAATATCCATCTTGCGCCAAGTCGCCACACCGCAAAGCCATTTATCCTAAATGCTGGCCCCAGATATTCGAGTATAGCTCCAGGCAATGTGTCTATTTGTTCATGTGATCGACGTGAAATTTTTCCGTCGAACCGGTGATATGAAATAAGCACAGATAACTGCTCACGATGAATTCGTATGTGGTGCGGTACAAGCCGGAAGTCACTGGATATCACTCACGCAGGGCAGACCGTCGGCTCGAAGATGTAAACATACAATAGTTTGACAGGTGTTGCTACTGCCAGATGATCAGAATACTTCCAGACTGCCTATGGTAGGAGAGACATTCGAGGACAATGTGCCACTTTGGTCCCTAGAGTAACTTTGTAGTCATCCGAACGCCATATGTGCAGCCGCTACTCTATCCAGTGGTAGGCGACTATAGTTTTATCGAACTCATGCTCGATACGTCCAGACCAAAAATGTGTGAAATCATAATACATTGAATGGTAAATGTGCAAGAATCGGGAAAAGTTAGACGGCCCCTGGTCCTTTACCATTGTTCGGGTCCAGTAACAAATTTGGTTTGATGAAACCTTCATCGATTTGTCTGAAAGCAGCCGCAGGATCTTCGCTGATACCATGGAAAAGATCACGAATGGCTCCAGATGCAGTAGCAAGTCTCGAGGGCTCGCTAGTAGCGGCTGTAGTCTTACCAGACGTTGGGTATGGTGTGCTTTCGGCATCGTGCAGTGGCGATGCCATGCGATTTGGAGATCTTCGCACAGAAGGCGGCAAGTCCAAGTCAGCGTCGTCGTCGTCGGTGCTGCCGCTACCGCTGTCACTTGGATGCAACAGCCCCTGTTCAGCGCCGTCTCTAAGACTAGTACGGCTCGAATTACGACGAGAAGCGCCATTTGGACGATGGGCGCCGCTGCTGCTGATGTGTCGGTCGCCGCCGGACCCAACCTGTGATAGCGCAAATCCATTTGACCCCCGAGGAACGTTACCAATACCGTTTCCAGCCTTCCGAACGTACGTGCCTGATTGGACGACCTCGATGTCGAATTCATCGTCCGAATCAATCTCCTCTACAATACCCGTCCGGATGCCTAGAATCTCGAGCATTCGAGCGGTAGTACCACCGAATATGATAACGGTCAGAACAACCACAACCAATACTGTGGCGCGTAAAGCTGAGCCATTAGGACCGCTGAGTCCAGCAGCTAAAGCCACGCCTACAGCTCCACGAAGTCCAGCCCAAAACAACATGGCCTGATGGGACCAAGGGATCTCCTCAGCTGGTTGATTGCGGCGGCGGGCACGATATCGGATGGCCGCATTGATCAAAGCGGACAGAGGGAAGACTGCACACCACCTTGCAGCGCAAATTCCAAATACTGTGATCAATATGAAGAGAGGTTTGTACTCGAGAGTGTCCTCGGTGAACAATGATAGACCGAGGTAGATGAAGATGAAGTTCTCCGATAATTGCGCCATAATCTGGAATATGAATTTTGTCGTGAGCTGGGTGCGCCTGGACATGTTGTGATACGCGTAGTGCTTTAAACATATTCCGCAGAATAGCAAGGACACAATTCCTATCCAAGTTAGGCAAGTCCATTGATGGCGAATTTTTTTACCTACCTGACATATGAATGGCATTGGAAAAGAAATAGCACGCGTATGCAATGAGTAGGATAAGACAGCTTTCAGTCTTGGGGAATCGCCTCACATGGGTGAACTTTAGTAAGAGCGATGTTGCGATACCGACCAACAGTCCAATCACGAGGCTAGCAAAGAATACTACCAAGAAGATTCCAATGCTTTCAAACACAGTGAATATGTTGAGCGTCTTCCCTTCATTGTCGCCAGACTTGTATTTCTGGGCCGTTTCAAAAAGCACAATTGCTATGGCGTCGTTCAGTATCGACTCCCCGAAGATGATTGTATAAAGCTTCGGATCGACTTTGTAAGTGTTGAAGATGGCTAGAATTGTGACCGGGTCTGTTGCAGACAAGGTGGCGCCAACAGACATGGCCTCAACGAATGATATCGAGAATCCGTCGAAAGGTATCCGGGTCCAAAGCCAAAGTATCACACCCAGAACAAGGGCAGAAATGAATGTGCCAGCAAAAGCAAAAGTCAGGATCGAGCCGATATTACGGAAGAAATTACCCTGCGACTTGTCAGTCCGTAGCTCTCGCTGCTATCTTGAGTTCACGACTGACCTGATGCAGCTCATATCCTGAGGCGAGGATGATAGGAGGAAGCAAAAGGTTGAAGAAGAACTGGTAGTCGAAGCTCACAGCGCCGAGGACGAATTTGACAGCTGTTAGTCGGAGAATGAGACCAATAATCATGCCTAGTAGTGTTCAGTCTACTATTTCATCAAGGCATTGTACCATAACGTACCAGCAAATATGGATACAACTGTCTCGTGTACTGCCTGTATCTTTCTAGTCTGTAAGACATAGCTTGTAAACAGCGCAATTATGAGGAGTGTTATCAGGATGAGAAGTGACCACGATGCGAATATCTCTTTCTGACCAGCCTCGGGTTCCTCTGTAAAGATGTTAAGTATTGCACCGGGAGACAGTGATTTCGAGGAGTATATTCGAAGGACTGACCATCGGAGTTGGGATCCTCTGCTTCACGTTCTATGACCGCATATTAGCAATGCACTGCTCCTCGCGCTATAGACAACGTACTCAGGAGCTCCATAGCTGCCCACCCCAGAGTCGACGCCATGATAGTTACGACGGACGTCTGCCCATATGATAACTTCCAACAAGCGCCGTCAAGGCGAGGTTCATTGACAAGCGCAGGACGACCTGGCCTTAGGTTGACATAAGACTTCGAACAAGGTACCCGTTGGTTTTGGCGGGCGCGCTTGTGCGCAAAGAGCACGCAAAGAGCGAATCGATATTAGCGACGTCCTGGGTTAGCGTGTGTTGAAGGAAAAAGTGTGTTCCAAGATCGAGATAGTGTTTCCGTGTTGATATTTCTAGCAACAAGACAGACAATAGGCTTCGACATACACGTTATAATTAGAGAACACGAATGCAAACCACGCAGACGCAGACGCAGAAGCAGACCGGAAGCTTCTAAGAGACGGGCCGACTTCCGACTTCCCCCACACCTAACTAAGATCTGTGGGCCTGAGGCTAGACCTGACTAACGTTACAGCCCCAGTCCACATGCAGGAACAGCTAACAGCTATCCATAAATACAGGTCTGGCTACGCTTGTGCTGTTTTATGTGTCATTACCATCAACATATCTACTTGCCCATGTTATAACTCCTATTACCTTGGTATCCTGACTTGTCAGCAATGAAACCTTCCTGACTCGTTTCTGCACCTCGTGCTGTTGTCCTCCGGTTGTCTCACCCTAACCTCCGCTCATCTGGTCGTCCACGACATGGCAGCTGTGCGGCCTATAGATTCGGTCTCATTTGAATACAGCTCTACAACGCCTATAATCCATATCGTCTTCTTCATAAACATCACTAGATCGTCAAGACTTGGAGTGTGAACAGCACTCTCCTTGCTCAACCCTTCGACCTTGACTCAGCTCTGAGCTACCTCGTCATGACGCCTCCAAAGACTGATCGGTTACATCAACCCCATCCTGTAGACAGCCCTTCGTCATCAACTACGAACCCTTCGTCTTCCGACAGAGCACAACCCCCGATCAAGACGGTCGCCTTTCGACGCGACTCACACAGTACTGTACGGACCAGTACTGAGGTCACAAATGAGCAATCTCCGCTGCTAGTAGCAAGATCATCGGAGGATGGGTCAAGTCTAAAAGTTGTCTCGCCGCTGAGAGACGACGACTGGCAGACAGGGCAGTATGAACAAAGTAAAAGCAGCTGGTACTTGCTTCTGTTGACTCTGACGGGTGTTGGGTGAGTGGAGGAAAGGTGCTGTATAGCCCTGCAGAGATCTGACAAGGATTCACAGTCTTCAAATGTCCTGGTCAGTCGAGATGGCTTACGGTTCAGTAAGTATTCTTGGTCCTAGAGTATAGCCAATCTAACAGACCCACAAGCCCTATTTATTGTCTCTTGGTGTAAGCAAGTCATTCTTAGCACTCGTCTGGATAGCTGCACCTCTTTCTGGCGTCATAGTACAACCATACGTTGGCATGGTCAGTGATCGAAGCCGCAGCCGCTTCGGTAAACGCAGACCTTTCATTGTTGGGGGCGCCTTCGCGACCTTAGTGTCACTCTTACTATTGTCGTGGGCAAGAGAGCTTGTGGGTGGCTTCTTGGCCATCTTTGGTGCGAAGCCTGAATCTGGAGGTGTCAAGAACTCTATCATCATGTTTGCCGTTGTCATGATATACGTGCTTGACTTTGCCATTAATACCAGTAAGTCATGCTATTCACTCATGCCCCCAAAATTGACTTGCGTTGCAGTGCAAGCAGGTATACGTGCTTTTGTCGCGGACTGCGCTCCTACCCATCAGCAAGAAGAAGCCAACGCATGGATCGCGAGAAGTAGCGGCATGGGAAACATCATTGGCTATCTCGCAGGCTTCGTGAACCTTCCCAAATATTTACCATGGCTTGGCTACAGCCAATTCAAGGTCCTTAGCGCGATCACTTGCTTCGCACTTGCACTTAGTGTAACGATTAGCTGTGCATCCGTACATGAGCGAGATGCTCGTGCCGAAGGCTCATCGAACGCAGATGAGAGCGTCGCAGCCTTCTTTAGGTCGCTGATCAAATCCTTTGGTCGCCTTCCGAAACAGGTTGTACGCGTTTGTCAAGTACAATGCGCTGCCTGGATTGGTTGGTTCCCTTTTCTTTTTTACACAACGACATATCTCGGCGAGGTCTATGCGGACCCCTTCTTTAAAGAAAATCCCAATATGACTGAGGAAGAAATCGATCGACTGATGGAGAAAGCCACTCGTGTTGCCACACTCGCGCTGTTCATCTTTGCGTTGACAACGTTCGCTGCGTCGGTCTTCTTACCGTTCATTATCACCCCGACCTTTCAGCCACCTGAGCGAACAGTCCCAACACCATTGACGCCTAATACGCCGAACAGTCTTTCAAACTCGCAGAACAGCAGCTATTTTGCTGCTACTGAACGAAAGTCCAAAATAAAGTCCATGGCCCAACGTGTACATGACTTGCTTAGCCATTTGCGGATCAGATCTCTGACAATCCGACGAGCATGGATGTTCTCGCATGTCCTATTTGCAATAGCAATGTGGCTTACTATATTCGTTCGGACAGTCACGGCGGCGACGGTTCTGATTGCGTTGATCGGAATCCCATGGGCTCTTACACAATGGGCTCCTTTTGCACTGATCAGCGCAGAGGTCTCAAAACGTGATGCAATACGCCGCGGCCTTATTCGTGCACCACCCACGCGAGATGGACAATTACTGGCGCATGGCGAGGACGACACCGCAGACCAGGCCGGTGTGGTACTGGGTATTCATAACGTCGCTATCTCAGCACCGCAGGTACTTGCAACTTTGATCAGTAGTGGTATCTTCAAAGCGCTACAGAAACCCAGAGGTTCTCCGGATGATCACAGCGTAGAATGGGTTCTGAGATTCGGTGGCACATGTGCCCTCCTTGCTGCCTATCTTACCACCAGAGTGTTCGATGGCGACGAGGACCTTAAGGTAGACAGCGAACGCGTAGATTGAAAGGACTGTTTTATACTTGTGAGTTTCATACAACGGGAAGCAAGGGGCTGTGATCCTATGCCTCTCATCATTGGATGGCATTGATTTGCTAGATAAATTTGATGTACAGCCAATTTCGAGCATGTTTTGCTTACTAAGTATTTTGTGACTGCCTAAGGCTCAAGATGAAATTCTAAATGACGTCCCCACCATAGCCCGCCCCGCTGCCAAAATAAAGTTAGGCACACCCACCAAAGGTAGCCAATGCACGAGCGCGAATCTTCTACAACACTGCGAAACAAATCTAGACAGTCTGAGTATTAGACAATATGGTGCTTCCGAAGTCCAAGAACTCCGTGGGGCTGGGAAACAGCCTCATGAATGACCGATTCGGGAACAACAAAGGATCGGATATGCGAAGAGGAAATCCCAAAGAAGGCATACGACGAACAGATCAGAACGGAGATACTGTAAGAGTACTTAATGACTGTGACCTTCTGGCAACTAATCAGAAGTTTAGTATGTTTCCGTTGCAAAGAAAGAGGCATCATGGGTGAAAATGCGCAGTGTCACCGAGCAAGCTGACCTTGATGAATTTCTCAGCACCGCGGATCTGGCCGGCACAGATTTCACGGCGCAAAAGATGAATAACGTTAAGATCATTCACAAAGATCAGAAGAACCCATACCTGTTATCAGCTACAGAGGAACACGCCACCATAAAAAAGCACAAGGAGAACAAGAAGCGCCTGACTGTGCCGAGGCGACCGGCATGGGATGAGAAGACCACGCCACAGGAGCTGGACTCCATGGAAAAAGCATCCCTCATGGATTGGCGAAGAGGTCTTGCAGAGCTACAGGAGAATAACGACCTTCTTATGACGCCATTCGAGCGGAATCTCGAAGTGTGGCGTCAGCTATGGAGAGTCATCGAACGTTCGGATCTAGTGGTACAGATTGTAGATGCTCGCAATCCTTTACTGTTCCGATCGGAAGATTTAGAAAACTATGTAAAGGAGGTGGATCCCAAGAAGAACAACTTGCTTCTGGTCAACAAAGCCGATATGATGACGCTAGAACAGCGACAAGCCTGGGCCAACTACTTTCAGTCTGCCGGAATAAATTACAAGTTCTTTTCCGCAGAATTAGCGAAAGAGTTGAATGAGGCCCGGGAGATGGAAGAGGGAAACGAGAGTGACTACTCAGGGTATGGTGAACAACAAGAAGCAGACGCCGACGAACTCGCAGAACAAACCAAGAAATTAGACGTAGAATATGAAGCAGGCGAGGATAAGGAATTGCTGCGTGAAGAAGATATTGTGGACAGCCCGGAATTGGACGATGATCCGACACGGATATTGACAACTGATGACCTGGAAGCACTATTCCTGAAACACGCACCGGATGTGGACACTGGACCAGATGGGCAGATACGAAAGACTTCAATCGGGCTTGTCGGATATCCGAATGTGGGCAAATCGTCTACTATCAACGCACTTATCGGTGCGAAGAAAGTGTCGGTGTCCGCGACGCCTGGAAAGACAAAGCATTTCCAGACCATTCATCTTAGCGATGAGGTTATACTATGCGATTGTCCGGGTCTGGTGTTTCCAAACTTTGCCACTATAAAAGCCGAGCTTGTCTGTAGCGGTGTATTGCCAATCGATCAGCTGCGAGAGTTTACCGGTCCAGCAGGACTGGTGGCACATCGCATCCCTCAGACATTCCTTGAAGCCATATATGGTATGAAGATTCAAACAAGGCCACTGGAAGAAGGCGGTACTGGGGTACCCACAGCAGAGGAAATGTTAAGAGCTTATGCAACTGCTAGGGGCTTCTCAACTCAAGGTTTGGGTCAACCCGATGAATCAAGAGCTGCGCGTTACATCCTCAAGGACTATGTCAAAGGGAAGTTGCTTTACTGCCATCCGCCTCCAAGTGACCCTCCCATCGATGGACGACATTTCAATCGCGACCTCTACGATGAAGAACATCTGCCACAAAAGAGAAGGGCAGCGTATGCGATTCACGCAGATGGCTCGATGGCTGGCTCAGAAGATCCCTCGTTGATTGATGGTCCTGATCTAGAACCACTGCCTCCTGTCCAGGGCGAGAAGTCCAAGGGGATTGACAAGAGGTTCTTTGCGCCTCAAGGCAATGCCGGGCATTTCACAGTTCCATCGAACTTGGCCAATGGGAAACAGCTCACAGGTCGCAAACAAAAGACTATGATTGCATTGGAACGTGACGTGGATCCAGCTGATCTCAGGCTGAACAGCAAGAAGCACTTCAAAGGCAACAAGCGTGCTCTACAGAAGAAGAGGGCCACTTATGACGAGTAGTGTAGAGGCCTGGTTTTATGCACTGTCCGAGAGCGACAGGAGTTCGTATTACTATTCGAAGTGTACAGGTACAGTGAAGCTATTCTGCTCATGGGTAAGGAACGAAGAAGAGTGCATTCAGAGTCGCATTCATGGCGTTCCCGAGGGCATACTGTAGATACAAAGTCGCAAATGGTCGCAAGCTGCCTCGCATATCCAACGAAGCATATTATCGATGATCCGCCCAATGACCATTCCAGACTAGACTTATGTGGCGGCCCGTGTGGTAACTAACCGTATGCGGACAAGCGAGGCATACCTATGTAATTATGTATACACTAATTACAACGTTCTATTTCTAGCGTGAGCCTCGGCTGTCGGTCTCCAGCTTCTGGAGTCTGCGGGGAGTGGGAGCTCTATGAAACAACCGTTAACCGCTCCCCTTCTGTAAAAAATACTGCTGCCCTGGACATCTAAGCCTCCAGACCTCGCCATTGTCTTACCATTCTATTTTCCTACCAACCTCTCCACCATATATTCGGCCCCGTTCTATCAATCATGTCTGCCCTGATGGTCAACTCCGAGAAGGGCTACATCCCCGCCTCGGAACGTATTCCTGTCATTGCTCGTCCATTTGTCAGTGAACGGGCTAAGAAGACATTGGATCTGGTATGCTCGAGCATCAATCTTGTTCGTGCGCTCGTGTACTGACATCGCTATCAGGTCGAGAAGTTTGTCGAGGAAGAATGTATTCCGGCCGATACTGTATACCACCAGCAGATTGGCGTTGGTGTTAAGGAACGCTTCACTTCTCATCCGCAGATCATAGAGGATCTTAAGGCTAAAGCGAAGAAACTTGGTCTGTGGAACTTGTTCCTACCCAAAGCACACTTCAGTGAGGGAGCTGGTTTCTCGAATCTGGAATATGGTTTGATGGCGGAATACCTCGGCAAAAGTAGGACAGCTCCCGAGGCGACTAATTGCGCTGCTCCTGATACTGGTAACATGGAGGTTTTGGCAAAGTACGGAACTGCCGAGCAAAAGAAGAAGTGGCTTGAGCCACTGCTAGATGGCAAAATCAGGAGTGCATTCTTGATGACAGAGCCCGATATTGCCAGTAGTGATGCGACAAACATTTCTTTGAGTATGCGCCAGGAGGGCAACGAGTGGGTATTGAACGGCTCTGTAAGTTCTCCATTACTTATCCTTGTGAGATCAAAGCTAATTATGCACAAGAAATGGTGGAGTAGTGGTGCTGGTGATATTCGGTGCCAGATCTATATCGTCATGGGCAAGTCAGACCCAAACAACCCCAAGCCATACAAACAGCAATCCGTCATCCTTGTTCCCGCAGACACACCCGGTATCACAATCAAGCGTATGCTTTCTGTCATGGGCTTTGACGATGCTCCTCACGGCCACGGTCACATCGTCTTCAACAATGTTCGCGTACCTGTGAGCAACATGGTGATGGGTCCCGGCCGTGGCTTCGAGATTATCCAAGGACGTCTTGGACCTGGTCGTATCCATCACGCTATGCGCAGCGTTGGCGCCGCGGAAAAGGCACTCGAGTGGATGCTCGCCCGCATGAGCGACGAGAGGAAGAAGCCCTTCGGCAAGCTTCTGTCTGAGCACGGTGTGATGCTCGACCGTGTTGCTCGTTCCCGCATTGACATTGATGCCGCACGTCTTGCTGTGCTAAACGCAGCGATCAAGATCGATGAGACCAATGCCAAGGGCGCGCTCAAGGAAATCGCCGAAGTCAAGGTCCAAGTGCCAGAGACTTTACTGAAGACCATCGACTGGGCGATGCAGGCTTACGGTGCTGCTGGTGTATGCCAAGATACACCATTGGCCAACATGTACTCTATTGGCCGTACGATGCGTATTGTTGACGGGCCTGATGAGGTGCATCTACTCCAGCTTGGCCGCAACGAGAACAAGAAGGGCAAAGCGCACAAATCGAGAATCGAAGCTCAGGCGGCCAAGAGTGACGAACTCCTAAAGCAGTATGGTCTTGAGAAGAAGGACGTTTTGCAGCTTAACCGCGTCTCCGGTGGCAAGTCCAAACTGTAAATATATTGAAACGTAAATAAAACTCGACTTGCTGTGTATATGTTGACATTTCGTAGAACAGCGTTTGGAAATCCCCTGTAATCAATGTGTCAAAAATGGGTTGAATCTGTCGTCATCTCATCATACTTGCCCACGATTCTACCAACGCCGATCGACGATGCCCATCTAGACTTGCTTATGTGAGACTACAGCCGAAGAGAGCTTGTTTCCAGACCCTGTATGCCTCCGGTAAAGTTCAGTCGGTAGCCACATACGACTATGTACACTAAAAATGCTTCGCTTCCTAGAGCGGCGTTACACTCTCCTAATCCCTATCACCGCTATCAATAACTATGTCAAAGTATAGGGACCTTATTCATGCAAACTTCACGAAGCTATAAGGACAGCCGGACTTTTCACTTGGCATAGACCTTCAGACAATAAAAATCAAGAAGCTCTGTATAGAATTAAGTAAAGGCTTCACGAGCATCGCATCTTTCACCCATCACGCATAGCAATAAACGCCAGACATGCCACCACCAAAAGGAACTCCCAACCCTCTTGAAGGACCAGGTATTAATGCCCCTATTCAAAACCTCCAGTTCCCGCTTACTGACTTTCAGGGGACTACACCACAACACAAACCATCCACAGCGACACCTACCCGGCCATCTCCCCCTCAAACTTCAACTACAACGGCCTCGCCGTCTTCATAATCGGCGCATCCAAAGGCCTCGGCCGCTCCATGGCCCTCTCCTACGCATCCGCAGGCGCATCCTACATTGCCGCCGGCGCTCGCTCCTCGCTCTCCCACCTCGCACCCCTCATCGCCTCCGCAGCAACATCGGCCGGCCACCCAGCACCGCAATTCCTTCCCTTAACCGTCGACGTCACCTCGCGTACCAGCGTCGACGCCGCCGCCCACGCCATCACCTCACAATTTGGCCGCATCGATATTGTTGTGCACTCCGCCGGCGCCATCCTTAACCGCAGCCTGCTCGCGGACAGCGACCCGGACACCTGGTGGGATGAGATGCGCCTGCACGTGCTGGCGCCCATGCTCGTGGCGCGTGCATTTGTACCGCTGCTACTGGCGTCGCCGCGCGCATATCTGGCGTTTGTGTCGTCTGTGGGTGCGTGGTGTGCCAGTCCGACACTGTCGGCGTATCAGACGGGGAAGGCGGCGTTGGCGAAGTTGTGCATGCATATCGATGCTGAGTATGGCGGGAAGGGGCTCACGACGTTTTGTATTCATCCGGGGAATGTGCCGACGGATATTGTGGGTGGGAAGGAGGGTGTGAGTGGGGGTGTGTTGGAGAGGGTGTTTGTGGATAGTGAGGAGATTGCGGCACATACGTTGGTTTGGGTGACGAGTGAGAAGAGGGCGTGGGTGGGTGGAAGGTATGTGAATGTTACGTGGGATATGGATGAGTTGGAGGCGAGGAGCGGGGAGATTGTGGAAAGGGATTTGTTGAAGGTTACGTTGGCGGTCTAGAGGGTTTGGGTAGGAGCTGCAAGCTGGTGTGTGTATGTGAGTTAGGTGCAGTGTATATCGAGCAGCAGAGGATTGTCGTTTTGCTCTGATCATCATGGCGTGGTCCGATTTAGGGCGACATTATGATGACTCTCCTTTCTCATGGCGATCTTGAGCTGAACATCTTAACCCTATCTGTATAAATCATACTCGGGCAAAACAAGAGTCTCAGCAATATGCATATCTAATTTGTTACTCCTCTGAGCTTCTGAAACAAGACTCAGGGCTCAGTTCGGTATCTTCATTGTGGAGATGTGCCATTTCGGTGTGAGTAGTGCACTGCATAGAGAAGTTGTAGGAATCCAGTGCTGCAGCTGTGATTCGTATCTCAATCGTAGGAGTGTTTGTTATATTTGTTGTGTGTGGGAACTCAATTCCTTGTGGAAGGAGCATTAAGCAGGTGGCATAGCGGCCACGAAGAGGTTACGCTCAAGTACATGCTCAAGATCAGTGATCTGCACCCGTTAGTGGAGCTGAGCTGACTCCAGAGATCATTTGACATAGATCCTGGATACGACGCAGAAAATTGCTATGCATGAAATGAATCATCTATAGAGACTGCATCGACGCTCGAATTGATGGAGTTAGGAGAAACTTAAGAACTCTATCTGAATTCGTTCATTTAATGCAATCAGCTTATGTATATGTAGCTAAAGCCTACGAGCGCAATTTAGCGCTTATAGACGGCATCAGATACAGTGAATAACGTGATTTACTATCCCTCTAGAGCTTTGCGCTTGCGTCTTTACTCAAACCAATCCCTTCTTCCTCCAGTCTGATCTCTGTCGTTGCGAGGATGCATGTATCCCTCAAAGCAGGGAGTCTGTAGCGATGATTCGCCTCCTGATAGTCTTCACTGGCTGCCATATCCGCGAAATGCCATGCAGAGGGGTAGTGTGCTATAGCAACCTCATCCCAATCTTTGACAGCTCCTTCATCAGCAACAACAGTTCCGACGATCTTGGCTTTTCCGCCACGCCTGCTGCCCGCACTTTTCGCGAATGCCTGACCATACTGCCTATACGATTCAAGCATGTCTTTGCCGGGGTTGAAGGCAAGTAGATTTAGCATTGAGACAGCACCCCCTCCGCTTGGCTTCCCATTGCTGTATTCTTTCATCCATTTGAGGACGTCGTCGCTCAGCTCCAAATTCTGAGAGTCAGACGCCATCTTTGGCTTGTCAAGTGAGCCCGTAAGTTGGGCAATATCTTCTTTATTTGGTTTCAGGAGCGAAGAGTTGTCCCTCTCAAACGATTTAAGTACAGCGCTCGGAATACCAGCAACGATGTGCCATGAGGTCTTTGTGTGTTGACTGGACGCCTGTGAGAGACTGGACGCTGAGCCAGGTATCACGACAAGAACGGACCATGCATGAGATAGTAAGATGTCACGCGAAGCCGTTTGAGTGTGAGGACGAATGATCCATCGAAGTGGTCGTGCAATTAGAAACGGTTTCTGTTCTAGTGACGAGACAAAGGATCTGATTGAAGATGATGCTTGAAGCTCAACAAGATACAGCGTGCACAAAGGCATGATGCGATGTTTGATTGAAAGCGTCGAGTTGGAGTCAGGAAGTTACCCATAGTGTCTTCCTGGTAGAATTATTAATATCATATATAGGTATACGGTATACATGGAATTCGTTGACGATGATGTTATGCAAATTATCCTAACCTCGGCACAAAATTGTACAATTTGTGCAGATCACGTGAGTCAAGAATATCGTCTTCGAAAGGAAATCTTGTCACGTCCTTTGGCAACATCATGCATGCCTTATACTTGCACAGAACTTCCGACGAGCTCATTGGCAGCACTCTGTGTGCGTCCATCGAGCACAGCGGAATGTAAGAAAAGAAACCAGAATCGTCCATCGCAGAGATAATTCGCCGCGGAACCGCGGACCGAACCTGGGCGATCATTCTATTCCATGCTTCGTGGCGAGCAGTCGATCACAACGTGCATCCATGGTTTGATCGGCATTCATGGTGTAGGTACACACACTTCAGAGACTGGTAGTTCGGCTGTATCATACTAAACTGTGGCACGGATCGTGCTCTTCCTGCATGATATGACCCATGGCTTATGCTCATTCGGGTAGGTAAGGTGTTATGTTTCATCGTACCTCACTCGTGGCCTACAGGATTGCTCCGTTCTAGTTGGATGCCTTTAGCAGCATGAACTACAATAACCACACAGACTTATATACCTGCCGGGCCTCATATATGTGTTACGTCGACCTTGAAGCTTGCCTTCGAATCTTCCAGTCTACTGATCACGTCTTGCCCCCTCCCGACAAAATCCATCGCGAAACGCCATGGCTACCTTACAATCAAATATGTCACTCCCTTGGAGCTCCTCAGATGAGGTCAGTTGGCGTCAAAACACATCATATTACGCAACAACGTCGACCGAGCAAAAGGCCACACGAAACTCAAGATTCAGTCCATTTTCAGCTTGTGACTCTACGCCTGAGCTTGTCGCCGATGAGTCGGCCGACAGCACTGACAGTTCGCCCGGTTCTCCAGTATCTCAGTACGCGGACGATGACGTCCATGTTGAGGATTCCGATTACAATACTACGAGCGTGTCCAGAGTAACGAAAACTAGACCCGAGTCGATACCAGCAATGGAACTGAGCAAGGACTGGTGCGGACGAGAATGGGACCGACCGAATAGGTCATCCACAGGTAGTCCATTATCAAACGAGCTTCAGCCAGAGCATTGTAGAAAAGTGAAGAAAGTGGCAACATATGCCCTTAAAATGAAGAGCACCAAGACTGGGAGAGGTGTGTGTAGCTAGGTGCAGGTGATCCTTGATACAAATGAACTAACGCTATTGCTTAGAACATACCGTCTTGGTGAATTTGCACAACAAAAAGGATGTTGCGCTTGCACATTTGGAATCAAAGATGTGACGGTCAGAACGGATAGCTCAAAAGCCACCGGTGTATCGAGTCTGGTCTTATGGCTTTATTGAGCAAATATGTTCACGATATGATTAAATTGTATTTGGTAAACTAGCAGGTTCCTTGATTTCGCTTTAGGGCAATCATTTTTGTACTATTATGGCAACTAAATATATCACATGATGTCGCACACTATGAGCAGTTGTGACTTGGAGATCGTCTGGTGAAATGCAGATAATTGACCCACCCCCAGTCACATGATTGGAGACATGTCATCTATATCCCGGCGAAGAACATGTTAGAGTAAAACAAAGGCGTTTTGTGCTTGCCGAAGTAGAAAATGCGTAGATGAGGTAAAGTGCGTGACGTAATCCATGAACCGTTGTGAAACGCCTGCGAACAAAAATGCCAACCTCCACGGTTCATCTCAGGTCTCAACATTTCTGAAACGACTCCACAGCCCTTCTCCCATCGACTAAAGCGCCAAAGGGACTCCATAATGACAAATTTGGATGCCGAATCTAACCACTGAGCCGATTAATCAGGAAAGAAATGCTGCTTCAGCGAAGTCGGTCCTCAAATGGGCACCTCATTCTTCGCCGTCTCCTCGTGTGATGCTGAAGGCGATCGTGGCGGAGTGAAAACTTCATCAACCGCTTTGTAGTAGCATGAGAAGAGTGGCTCGGCAGCCTTCTTCAAGATTTCTACCTTGCTCTGGCTTGAATCCACTTCCCGGTTTTGCAATTCAGCCTCGAGCCTGGTCACCAAGTCATACTCGGTTTGACGTTGATAGTACCGAACATCGTCGAACGAGTCCTTTTCCTCCTCGTCGAGACATCTGCTGTTTAAGCGGCGATGTCGTGCAAAGCGAAGCGGTGTGTGGTGATTCTTCACCTTCCTGACGAAGTTGAATCTGCGGCTATGGTAACGCACGGATCGGGCGCTGAAGAAATCCTTGGACATTTCGCAAAGCTCTAGTGTGCGTGCTTTGGAAAGAGCCATTGCACTGAGATCTTGCGTAGACTTCCAAAACCCATGTCCAGACAAAACAGACTTCAAGAGGAATGGTACGTGAGTACGTATCTTCTCGTCCAAGACAAAGCCACTGCCAATCAGAACATGATCCACAAGACCAACACAACGCGCTTCAAATGGGCTCATTGGAGTCATAGACTGCAGAATCTCTTTAGCTTTGTGTGCGCCACAGCGCCCTGGGTACGAAATCGTATGGTATTCTGAGCCATACAGCCCAACGCCTCGATATGCTGGGCTCAACACGATCTCGGAGCCGGCAATAACCACGTCGCAAGCTGCAGCTAAGGCGACACCACCGGCGGCGGCGTTACCTCGCAGAGCCCCGATGGTCAAGACATTCCGTCGAGGGAACTCCAGTAGCAGGTACTGGACAACATCGTCGATACGATTGATGTTAATCCAGCTTTCCTCAGCAGGACTTTGGCTAGCCTCTATGACATTTAAATCTATACCATTGCTGAAATAGGATCCACCCATGAGCACGACAGCATGGATTGGCCTCTTTGGTGTAGAAGTGCTCAGAATGTAGTCCATAGCTTCGACGAGACGCGAACACTGAGATGACGACATAGCTCCGTTATAGAACTCCCAGTGCAGATATGCTACCAAGCACGAGTCATTATACGTCGATAATTCTACCCAGACATCCTGCATCGTAGCAAATGGCGATCTAGACCAGTCAGGCGGTGCGGACCAGTATAAATTTTCGATCTCATAGATGTCAAGGAGTCCGAGCTCGAGGAGCCCAGACACTGCTGGAATTTTGGGCCAAAGGGCAACATCAGATGACTTCTTGACCCTGCGAATATGTGAGATCCACACGCCCTTCCCATCGCATGTAGTGATGCATAGAGCGTCGTTGCGAATGCCAACTATAGTACCAGGTGAGGCGGCAGGCATAACTCCTGAATTGGGTCCACCTGGTGTCTCATCGACAAGACCGCCGTATAGGTACAAGCCAAGACCGAACAGGTTACTGAGAGCACCAGGCTGTGAGTCGCCACATCTGATACGTCGTGAGATTTGTTGTGCTGTGTGCCTGGTTACATCGAAGTTACGCTGTGCTGCCTTCAGCAGTGGCCTGTGGAACAACCTCCCACCCTGAAACGGTAGACGGTTCTCGATTGACAAATGCCTGAAATCTGGGGAAGCTTTGTGAAAGACACAGGGACGGCCTTCGGCTGAGACTCGTGCTGTCTCCTGGATCCGTGAAACAGCCACCAAAACAGAGGAGATCGCCGCCCTAGAAACTGGTCCTCGGTATAAGCTAGACTTAGTGAGGCCTCGTTCATCGATGTCAAGAGGAAATTGCTCGAAGGCCCACACAGGACCAGCGTCAAACTCTTCGATAGCTTGCAACACCGTGACACCCCAATGTGTGCGTCCCGGCCGAGGTGGGCTATTATCGAGTATTTTGAGTAGCTCTGTCGCGTTTTCGATGCTACCATCGTCGCCCAACAGAACCCAATCCAATGCACTGGGTCCAACATCTCCAGGAGGCCCCGGATGCACAATGAGCGTAGTGTAATTGTCATAGATGACTTTCGGTACTCGCGCTGTGAGGAAAGGACAAATGACGACATCAGGTCGAGCAAGCTCAGCAGCAGTGATCATGACATCTTCGGATATGGCAAGTTCGATGGTAACATCATGAGACGGTGACAAGGCAAGGTAAAGACGCTGCGAGAGCGAGTTGTGAGCTGTACAGAGGAAGAGAATTCTCATTTTCGCTGAAAACTTGTCCTGAAAGAAGGTAGGGCTTGGACAAGACGAACGCTCTTACCAGTGCAGACATGTTTATATCTGTATGTCACCGCCAACTAATCTGTCCCAGACCCACTTTGCCGCCGAACTCATCAAATTCACTTACACTTCAATGTCTCACTATCACCTAGTGACAATATCTTGAAGTATCACCGTACAAGGGCCGTCGAGGCATTGCTCGTATCTCGATCATACCTCACCCCGGCGATGCCGGGCACCACGCTCTCTGCTTGCAGTTGACGGCAGAGTGCATGTGGCTCAACGAATCTGGTAATTGATCTCTGAGTGATAAGGAAGCGTGTACACCGTTAATGTTAATATCGTATTCTGGATGACCTCCATTTCCCCATCCAGCCTTGGTTGGATTACGACCACTTTGCGCCTCAAAATGACCATAGGGGTGGATTGTCGAGCATGCGCTCTCCATGCGTAGACAGTAACATATCCAGCCCTAGGACAGCGTTAGGCGCATCAAATATGGTTCCAATCTCACTAGGTCGCTGTCAGCCTCCTTTAGATCACTTGTCCCAATCGCAGGTGTCATGTCTGTAGCTGTAAGTTAAGTGGCGCATTACCTGCAACTGGAAATAACGACGTATGACAGCACCACTAAAGTACAACAGCATGCACGGTGTTTCCAGGAACACTTCAAGGATGCATGATGATCGCCTCGCGTTGCACAGTCCTTCTTCCAGGACAAAAGTTGCACAGTCGTGAGTGTTACGCCCCTGCTGGGCAACGCCACGGCGTGGGTCAAGATGTAAATGCTCACTGTGGAGAATATCAGCGTCTCTAAAGGATTCAGACGAGTTCTAACTGCTCCAAATTACAGTCTCAAGATCTCAAATACAGCACTAGCCTTCAAAAATCGACGACAATTCTCCTCAAGGCACATCATGTCGTGTCACATAAGCATCTATTTTGTCCAAATATCTAGATCTAGAGTCATATCGTAAAAGCATTGAATACGTAAGGGGCGCTATGATACACCTTTTAACTAACGACCTTCAGATACCGACACTATGACTGCACATCTATCCGTTCATCTCCCTAGCTGCATCTGCGGTGTCCTTAAAATATTACTAGCTTTGCATGAAGACGATGTTGGCGAACGAACTTCCAGCCGCGGAAGCTATATCCACTACTCTGGTCTTCTGGTGAAGTCTTCACATGGACTTCACGTACACGACTGCATGAACCATGATACCCAACGACCCCTGAAACGTCAGTGTGAAGTCCAACTAACATCGAGGACTGTCTTCACAGTAGATTTTCATACACGTGAGATAGGTGAGCGGAACAATGGGGACATACCATTATCTACACAAAGGGTGGAACAGCAAGGCGAAATCAGCAATACATACCATTGTTTCAGACCATATGCCCCACTACGGTATACAACCTCCGTTGCTTATTTTTTTGTAGCGACCAGCAGATCATACTATTGGCGATAGTGGTAAGGTCTCTGAATATATATGCTTTACGGATGCCCCGTGAGTGTTTTACAGAGTGGCATTATAGACATTCGTGTGGAAGAGATACACATATGTGCATGTCTGTTTCTTGATTAGACTTGAATTAGTGCCTTTTTTGCGAGCGTTGTAGGATATGTTTCATGAGAACACGGACAAATTGGTCTCGCTCGCTGCATGTATGAAATGGGAGGTTTGAGTGCTGAAAGCCTCCTGAGCGTGAGAGTCTACCTCGGACATATATCACTATGTGTTTGCTATTCTGTAGCGGGCGTCCTGAGATCCATCCACGTTCGCACATAATAGGGCGCAATTTAATACTAATTGGGTAATTTACGGCAACAAACAAATGCATATTCTGACACTTAAGTGTTTATGCCTCTATATAAAATCTATCATCCGTGTTTCATGCAGGTGACGTTCAGACGGAGTTGAAACTTAAGCTTTACCATTATTGAATTGGATTACGGCATACTTACCAGTCCACGCCCATTTTCTCGCACCACTGGTATCGTTATCAGTGGCACGTAGCTCCTCGTCCTTGCCTTTTGGCAGACCACAGATGACGTCGCCCTTACAAGTGCGCAGTGTCATCACACGGAGGCCCGAGCCTGGGCCCAGAGGACCGATGGCTTCGGAGAAAGGTGTGGCGGGATCCCACATGGCCTGATGAATCAATTAAAACCTTTACGTTGGGGGGGTCATGTCACATATACTTACGTCGGCTGTCAGTTTACGATAGTTGAGGTCACCCTTAAAAATAACCAGCTGGCTTGCCTTGAGGTCATTGTAGAGCTCTGGTTCGACCTTAGGCAGGCGCCAGAAGCTGCCTGGACCGGTCCAGAACAGATTTGGACGGATGACGAGCCCGCCTTCGCCGTGGAGACGTCCCCAGTGTTGGAACAGGAATTGGATCTCCTCAATCTCTTTGTCGGATAGAGGGTCGGGCTTTGTGCCGTTGCGCTTATCGTCCTCTGATTCCGAGGAATAGAAGGCTTGTGGATCGGCGAGGACACTGAGCAGGTCTCCAAAGTCCTTGGGTGTTACATCTGATACGAACCATGGGATGTTCTTGGGGTGGAGGACGACTGAGGTAGCTAGACCTGCGGCGAGAAGGTAGCTAGCAAGTATGAGATCGACAAAGAGCTCAAAACCTGCGTTATCAAGAACAAAGTCCACGCGTCTGTCGGGGATGTTTGCTTTCTTCGCATTGTTTAATGCTTCAAATGCAGCACCAAGATCATTCGCAAGTACATTCTTCTCCGACGCTTTCCTTGCTGCTGCTCCTTGAATCTTAGAGAAATCCACTGATGACAAGTTGGTCATCAAAGAAAGATCTGTGGCATTTCCCCATAGGCAGATCTCGCACATCTCCGAGAACAGTACCTTTTCGGCTTGTTCCAGCTCTTCGGGCGATTTGGCACCTTGCAAAGTGTGCTTGGTCTCTAGCTGCGTTACAATGTCCTTGTAGCGTGTAGCCAATTCGATGACGGCGCGTCGAGAGGAATGGAAGCCAGACATTTTCTGCTTGGCGAAGAGGTCGTAGTTCTTCCACTTTGTAGAAAGTTTGAAGAAGTTGCTCATACGTCTACCTTGTGCGCGTCAGCATGCGTATGGTAATGAGACTCTTGACCCTCGCACCTGTACATGTAGCATTCGGAATACAGCCAAGTCACGTCGAACCATTGTGGACTCCCGCGCTGCTCGAGCTCTTTGTTATATTCTGCGATGTCAGGATATCCGTCTTCCTCAAGAGGGCTGCGATCGAATCAGCTGTCGGCCTGAACCTCGATGTTGAAGCAACCCACGTTAGATTCCTATTGTGCTGGAGCTCATACTTGAGCTTCGCCAATTGCTCGATAATTGCCTTGCCTTCTTTCTGTGCTACGGGATCGGTGGCGTCACTGACAGCGCGATGGACGTCGTCGATGCCTTGGGTCTTAATCTCGGTCAGCTGTATTGTCTTCATATGCCATTTAGTGAGCATGCGTACGAGTATCACAGGCCATCGGTCGCGAGCAGAGGGATACGCGAAGGATAGCTTGTCTGAGGTTTGCCATTGAGCTAGAGGCTGTCAGCACATGATCAATGCAGGTAGAATAATCGACTGACGGGTTTTGGTATCGTACTCCATAACGACATTGATCGACCGCAGACGTAGGTGAGAGATACCTATAGGATCACTGAGGGGCCAGACGATAATAATAGTGATTATTGCAACTGTTGAAGCTGCCGGATTGGGTAACGCTTCCGCATCTGATGGCGGGGTCGAAAGCTAGCGGAGAGCCAACACAACAACCTCTCGGACGTTTTGCTTCCACAACCTCCTCCAATCGTAACTCGTCTCTGGTAGCAACTTTACTTCATACCGCCATCATGGAGCGGAAGAATTACCGCCTATGTCAGACTGCCCTCTGCCTAAACCTCTGCGAATGCTCAATGGCCCCGACGTCAATGGCGCGATGGATCATGGATCTCACCCTCATCCTCTGAGCCTCTGCGGACAGAAATACATTCAACTGGCCCCTAGTTTATTTTAAGCCCAGGACAATCGTCCTGCTCTAGTACCTCTGGTCTGAAACATAGCTGCAATGTCGAAGCATGAGGTTGCAAACTGCCTTGGCGTTGGTCCAACACCTTACATTCCGCTCTCGTCGTCATCGCTTTGGCGAGGCGGTTGGCAACGACAAGATGTCAAGCACAAGGGCATATTGCAGGCTTGCCAGGGAATAGAAAGGGAGATTTGCACCGGCTCGAGATTCGATGAAGACGTTAATCGATAGCCAACGTCGTCTTGCTGTTGCTGTTTGCATGGCATCCTCTGTGGCGACATGCGGCCTCATTCTTGCATTATCGTTGTCGGCAATATCCATTTGGGGCCACATAACACCACTAGGCATCATTAACGAGGTGGATTGCTACTTCACCTAATTACTAATCACTGCAAGGAATAATCGCGACATCTCAAGCGAACTGGGTCATGTTGCAGCGACGTCGCTCTTGGGGCTTCACCGCTAGCGGACCTGATGCAGCACAGGATCTGGCTTCTGTGTACTAATGAAGCGACGTAATGTTGATTGAGACCTCATGCTGCTCAACTTTAGATTTGAGAGTCTTCCTGGCCGTGGGTCACCAAGACACCCAACGAAAGTATCTTTGCGAGCAGGGACACAGTTGTTGAGTGTACAAGCTCAGGCATGAAATTACTCTTGTCGAATTGAAACATATGCAAATAGTGGTCCTGCTTTGATTGCCGGTAAACCCAAGCAATCTGCCTAACGTATGCAGACCAGCTCTTTTCTAATCCCTGATGGACAACAAGAAACGGTTTCAATGTTGGGTCTCCAACCGTTGCTCGACTCCTGAGAAAACGGATCTCCTTGGTTCTTGGTTTGCAGGTCCTCCAGGTGTTTTGCACAAGAGCCACGACTTCGTCTCCACAGCACTCCGGCCTCCTACATGAATTGGAGTCTCTGTCAGCCACATTACGTGATAGAAACCACCGAAAGGCACAGCGCCAGTGTGCACATATATTACAATATCAGACAACACAAGCGCACCATAACAGAGAACGGTTCTCGCCGTGTGGTTTAAAGCTGGGTACAGTGGGTGGACATAACATTCTGATTCGGGCAAAGCATAACTGCCCTGCGAGTAAGATGAGTGATGATCACCACATCGAAACGTGTCCTGCGAAGGATAGGAGTGCTCCACCTGGCTAGCGATCGCCACGGCCACGTCAATTTCTGCCAGCGCTGGGATAACAAAGTGTCAGATCGGCGCAGTAACTTTCCTGTTCCTGCTTACCTGACAACTGCAGATGTAGCCAACAAATAGGGCTCCCGGCTCCCGTCAGCAAAGCATGGCGGAGCATATCCTCACGCCTCGGTCACCGCTGGGCATATGCACACCGATGGCAACTTCACAGACCGATGTGAAGCCTCGGCGCGAGTCTTGAGCAGACCGTTGCGATGCATCTACCCCCGTTTACTAATACCAAATCATGCCGCAAAGGCAACCGGCGGGAGACGCGCAACCAGGGGCACATCGGATCGAGGCCTGAAGCCTGTCAACCGTATGAGTTAACACGTTGCTGGTGGACGACCGGCCCCCTCGGGCGACTTTGCAACAGCGGGTACTTTGCGCCAAAGTGACTAAATGAGAACGCGTTCCTGGGCTTCCTGGTTCCTGGCGCCGGCTGCCGTCTGTGCGGCATAAGGCCAACCATAACCATCAGCCGTCTCCAAAATTATCCCTGCTACTATTCTGCAGAGGGCTTGGGGCAACAATATCAGGCTACGTGGGATGCTTCAACGGAGACGCTGATTGATCAGACTCTCGAAACCAGGAGTCTTCCGCCCTCGCCCCACCGGCCCGCAGTCTGGCTTGTTTAAGAGTCTGAAAAAAACAATATGGCATGGCGCTAGTTCCTGGTTGGTCCATTCCATGGAATAGGCTTAAGCCATACCAGAACACTGTCAACAAGGCCTGTTGGCAAATCGTACCGCGTAATCGACACTCCGACACTGTTCCTATCCGGGGGAAAGGGAAATAACGGCGCTTGCCTAGTCTGCCTGCATTGTGAGATAAATACTGTGCGTCCCCAGCACATTGTTCCGCCTCTATCCATAAGTTCAATTGCAGTTCGCACCACTATCCTTCTCAATTTATTATTTTTTTTCTTCCTCTGTTAACACACAATCCTTCAAGATGGTTCAAATCACTTCAACCCTGTCCTTCCTTCTCGCTTGCTCTACGCTCTCTGTAGCAGCACCTATCGTCGCCCGCACGGCAGCACCAAAGAGACTTCTCCTTTGGGATTACACCAACGGAGACCAAAACACCAAAATTAACGATGCCCACTTTGGAGAAAGCCAGATGGTCGGCGTTCTAAATTGGAACACATGGTAATTTGGAGCTTTTGCATTTTACATCCTGGTTAGACACTAATACCTCGTAGGACTCCACCAGCTTTAGAGAAGACTCAATACTTCCAACCTACTATTCGCACTATGGCAGAAACCACTGGTCAAAACTTTCAATTCGCCCAAAACTTCGCACAAGCCAACCCAGGCGCTATCGTTCACACTTTCAATGAACCTGAACTCAATGGCATAAGCCCTCAAGCCGCTGCCGATGCGTGGAACACCATCCTTGCCCCCATGAGGGCTTCCACTGGCTGCAAACTTGTCTCTCCCGGTATCACCAACACACAGGCCAGTGTTGACTGGCTCAACGAGTTCTTTGGCAAGATCACCAGCCAGCCCGACTTCCTTGGCCTTCATTTCTACGACAAGGTTCCCGACAATCTCCAAAGCTGGCTTGAAGCGCGCCACGGCGAGCACCCGTTCCCCATCATTCTCTCAGAGATTGCTTCAACCAGCACCGACCAGGGCACCGTTGACTCCATGACCAAGACTTGGGCCAACTACATGGACGGCGCCGATATCGTCCACCAGTATGCTTTCTTTGGTGCCATGCCTGTCCTGCCCAACGACGGTGGCTTCATCCCTACCACCACACTACTCATGAACAGCAGTGGTGACTGGAAGCCGTTGTTGAAGGAGCTCGTCAGCAGCTCCCCTATGCAATAAGCCTGAAGCTCATCTATGAGGCAGTGACCTCAACACCCTCGTTTCTTAACAGTACTAGTTACTTCATTTCATGTTTATACTTTATGTAACAGGTTGGGAATACCCCTGGGATTCGTTGACGTTACGACGCTGCGTACTGTGTACTGCGACTCTTTACTTTCATGCATCAATCACGAGCAATACAGTCTGCACGGACGATTTAGCCATGGCGCTTGGGATGCACGGACTATTTGATGTTATTGATATTCTTTGATATTCCATGCGTCTTGCATAGAGGTATGGGAAACTCGGGAGTTATGAACAGGAGTACCATATCCTTCTGCAGTATCCTAACTACTTATTCTACCACCCCAAAAAATCTTTACCACAAATCATTTGTGTTTATTCAATGACCTGACTGTGCCGAACCCACCCTAATGCATTTTGTGCACCGCCGCACGTATCCGGCCCACAATCTTACGACTCCTCGATTTTACAGTTTTCCCTCAGTCCACACTATTATTATAATAATATTATTTCTCATTTCCTCGCGGTCTTCACCGGCGCGCGCCACAGCGAACCGAACCAGTCCAACAACCATAGTTTCACACATCACACTAAATCAGTCTTGCACTGAGCCTCTTTTTCCTCGCTGTACTACGCTCTCATATAGTGCGCTACGCGTCACTGCCGAAGCCGAAAACCGAGTGGGCCACTGGATGGCATGGTATGCTTGTCGCTGGGCTACCCGGGCTGGGGTCCTTCGGGTGAGGTTTGGCAAGCGCCCATTTATCAATCCATGTATGTGGGACCCCGTCAAAAGGAGTAATTAGTCGTCGCACTAGCCGCCCGCTGAACATGCCGCGCGTTCGCGTTCACTGGGCCCCGCTTGGATGCATCTAGGCCAAGTCAAAGGGAAAATGCACATGTGCGGCAAAACTTGAATAGGAGGAGGTAGAGGTTGAAGTGGGATGTGGCAAGCGGGTAGAGGGGTTTTCTTCTGGAGGGTTGGCGGTGGGCTTGATGGGGCGAGGCAAGGAGAAGTTAGCATGCATGAGGACATCATTTATTAATCACTGTGGGGAACATGGAAGAGGGGGAGATAGGGATGAAGTTATTCCACTGTGAGAGTTGAGTTATGTATGGTATTGGATAGATTGGCAGAAGCTGTTGTTTGGATAACATAATGTAATGCACATAACATAGATAAATCACAACACGATACGTATGCCATGGAAATAACCTAATTACCAGCAGAGCGCGGACCAGTAGTTGGTTCCTGGCTGGCATCCCTCGGAGAACGATCCTGGACGACGACGACAACGACAACGAAAAGGCAACAGGCACAGCATTCCTAGGCGAGATCTTCGAAAACACATCCTAATAACGCCATCCTGACAGGCGGCGGTAAGCAGGTACATCCGAAAGCAGCGGCACCAGCAACACCCGACAGCACATTACACCCACACACACCCACATACACTTACAATGATACTAGTCTATTACTTCACTCGGACTCGAATTCTTTCCTTCTACCGGGTATTCGTTCGCTTCGAAACGGGCGGCACGCCGGGAACGTATCGATACGCGCGGCGCGGATGTCAGTCACATGGATGCATGGATGAGAGGGATGGAAACATAGAATGAATGGGCCGTGTAATTAGCGGGTTGGGGAGAATTCTTCGTTGGTTATATTCACATGCACATGTTGAGCTGCACGTGTGCGGGGTCGAGAGTGAGGTTGGGGATGGTTTTTTGCTGTGTGTTCTATATTGTACATTGTAGATTGTATGTCTATGGTGTCTTATAATTCGTAATATCTATACATCGTGGTGGGCTGACTGACACTGGCGGTGAGGCTATGACTTGTAAACGCATATGAGCAAAGACCGAGTTCTATACCGCATGATCTGACTGAGACATGTTGTCTGCCTCATAAATTTCTAGGGCTACTACTAGTACCTAGCAGGTAAGAATAATCACTGACTAATACGGCGGCTGCGTCGCAAACCAGTCCGAGATCAAGTCTACCTGCGCCGGCTGCGCGATAGGGACATTGCCAAACTGTGTGCCTGTATGCATGACCTCCTGCCTTGCGTCAGTTGGCGCCCACGTTGGCAGGCTGCCATTGCGATACGAGCCGCCAGTGTTCGGATCTAGTGTTTTAATGAAGTTTGCCCAATACTAAATATTATGCGTGGTGAGTAAGACTGCGTGGGGATGTTTCAGAAGGAGTGAAAGGGGAGACGACTTACACTTGACATGACATCTGCAAGCCAGTAGTCATACGCCGTCCATGGTCTGTCTGTCTTGTACAGGTTGTTCAGCACGTAGTTGATCTCTGCCATATGGTACGCGCCCTGGCTCTGGCCTGGCGGCGCATAATCCCAGTAGTACGTGTAGAACGGGCTTGTCGCCTTCTTGTACCATTTCTGACTGAACAACCACGAAGAGACGAGTGATGTGTCGCGCGCCGCAGCGTTCCATGCACGGTTGCCTTGCGAGGAGTTATGGGCCGGGTAGAGCGAGAAGTAGCGGGAGGAGAGGTTGCCGTATTTGAGGCTGTTGTAGAGGTAGTATTGGCTGAGCGTGTAGGATGTCCCTGTTGAAGCGCCAGATTCATCGCGGTTGTTACCAGTGATCATGGGTACATCGGAGGCTGGGCCGGTCTCGAGGGTCTTGAGATATGTCGACGGAACGACGTAGCCGTCGAGTACTGTCTTGTAGAGAGGTGGGTTCATGGTCCATAGTGCGGTCACATTCGATAAGCTATAGTCTCTGTCATCACTACCGGACAGCAGGCTCTCCATGGACAGTGCTCGGAGTTCGGCGATGCTCGAAACATTATGGTTCTTTGTGTAGTTGACCCCTCTCTTCAACGCTACATCCAAGGTGGAATAGCTGTCTGCAAGACCGGCGAGCATGTAGTCGTAAGGATCGCGGATGCCACTTTCTGCGATCATGCCTTTGAAGAGACCTTTAGCAAGAGGGCTATTGACTGCATGATATACCTGTGCAGACCCAAATGATTGGCCACCAATGACGATGTGATCCGGATCACCGCCAAAGTTCGCGATGTTCGACTTAATCCAACGCAGCGCCGTGAACATGTCCATGATTCCATAGTTGCCACTTGTATTGCGGCCACTCTCCGCACTCAGGTCTGGATGTGCAAGAAACCCGAATGCAGCGTCGCGATAGTTGTATGTGACTACAACCACATCCTGGGTTGCGAGTCCGCCTCCGTCATAGAGCGCCTCGCCACTCGTCTCACCAGACCCATAGCTCCACAGAAAGACAGGCAGGCGATCGGCGGACGACTTTGCGTTTGTCCAAATGTTGACGCTCAGACAATCCTCGCTCAATGTAAAGCCTGCTTGGGCCTGCGAGGCGATTGGACAAGCCGGGCCAAATGCGATTGCATGAAGAGTGTCATTCCACGGCTCACGGGGTTGAGCTTCACGCCAGCGATTCTCGTAAGACGTATCTGCGGCATAGGGGACGCCGAGGAAGGCAGCGACGTTTCCGGATGGATTTGATAAGTTTGCGGAGTTGTTGAAGTATTGGAAACCTTGGACTGGACCGTACTCAGTACTGACGACCTGGTTGTACAGCGCCGCTGACACGGTCTGTTGTAGGAACAGTATGGCTGAAGTAGCCGAAAATCTTGCCGATAGAAGCATTGTAACGGATTGAATGTTAGGTGCTATCACAAAGCCATTATGGTCTCCGTGATAGGGGTTTAATACGTATTTTCATCCTGCCTCGTCTCGTAAATCATGGGTGTGGAGACTCAATTACTCGCGGAGGGACTGGGAATGTCGTCATGAAATCAAAATATATGATATATGTGGGAAGCTGACGTTGACAACTCCTAGGCTCCAATGTACGTAGAGCTGACGATGACGTTCGTTGGGCTCTAAATTCCATGTGTAGATACTCAACATGAACTGCTCATGTCTTCCAAGTAGTCGTGGAAATGCGGGGATAGGACGCTGTTTCTAAGTGGAGATGCGGGTCTCTGCGCATACTGAACGACAACCATCTATCCATTGTGGGTGTCTGTGTAGCATGTGCCCCTGAATTATGTCAGTGTTGAGCACTAACCAACATGTACTGGTATGTGAACAGACAGCTACCAATCATGTGACCAGTATGTGTCGTGATTACCAACCAGGAAGACTAGCGGCCTCGAAAAGATCGGAAAGTAAGTGAGATACAAATTGGGATGTTTCCGTTGGAGGGTGACAGACAATTGCATATGCGTGGTTGACGTTCAGGCTGGGCTGGAATGTCAAGATGGCGCTGGGACTAAGGCGGCTCGAAGATACATCGGTTCGTAGGAATCGCGATTCCTAGGGAGTAGCTAGGCAAGAATAAAGGTGCTTCGTAGCCTGTGAAACGAGTCTACAATGTGAGGACGTTGGACTTGATGTTTTGAGTGCGAAAATCCGAGTGCCCAGACGACCCCTGTTTTCTGGCAGAATTAGTAGTACACCATAATATGCCATGTCGCTGCTCATCCATGGTACTAGAAATGCCAGCATATGCTCTAATGTCTGACAAGTGCGTTGTGTTTAAAAGCCGGCGGAGTAAGATGCCTGAAGGCATGAGATTATACTATCATACTAGCATACTTCCTGTGCCAGTGCTGGGTCCTACGATGTGGTCTGCGATAAGAGTAGACTCTACTCTATTCGCCGCACAATACTACATGTATAATGCACTATTCTGATTGCAGCCATGTCAGTAATTCTTTATGGCTGTGTGGAGCGTTGATAATAAGGTGACGTCGTCACGAATAGAGGCACTGGCGGCGGCGGCAGTGGTTGGTGCAGTCGATACTTTGTTTACGATGAACGAGATACGAGAAGTAAAGTAAAAGTGATGTTTCCAGTCACAGGTCGTGAACGAGGAAGACTGCAAGAAGTAATTGAGGGCATATCTAGAATCCTGTGAGGTGACTTGGTTTGGCTTGGTGTGGCTGTGCATCTTGAGATTCGTCGGCGACGCGTAAAGCGACGTCATGGCATGAGGCAGGGCATTCTTCACAACAACTCAAATAGCACGCCAGAGAAGATACGACGGCGTTGTTATATCCCATCTAAGAACTTACCAAAAGATTCTGCACCTCAAAACCCTCTTGAGGCTTTGCGAAAGCGTCGGGTTCATCATGTCAGATCAGTCTCCACCGGAGCGCTATTACCAGCAGCATCCACCATCGACAGATCCAGCTTCACAGTATCAGCCATATAGGCCACCACAGCAAGCTGAAAGTAGCCACCCAAGCACAACGGGATACGAATCTCAGCCTGCACAACATCAAGCCACCGTACCCTATCCCGAGGACAGTGCGTCTTCTCCGCCCAGGACTGGCTATCAGCCCTACAAGCCATACGCGTCGGGTGCTCTGCCGTCGCAAGAATCAAACCAGCTTCCAACAATAACGATTGAAGAGCCGACGCCTATCACTCCATCCTCGTCTCTTCGGCGCAGACCTGATGGCTTTCCTGTAGCAGAAAATCAGGGCGGACAGCCTATTGAAGTACATCCCGAGCAAGAACATGCTCCGCCGACGTACACATTGCCCGATAGGACTCATGAACGGACACAAGACTATGCAATCAACACTGTATCTGAGCTCCCCTCAGAGCCTGAGCCACCCCATGCTGTTCCTTCTGTAACTGTCGCGCCCCCAGCCCACGAGGATGATGATGATATGTATTCTGCGCCGGCGAACATACCTCCCCCTCCCACTGGCTCACCTCCACCACATGTTCCAGAGAAGAGTCCGAAACGTCACGACCAATCCATGTCGGGTGCCTTACCATTGTACGAGCATCCGGAAGGAGTCAGTCTTGAACACGAACCAGTGCACGATGAGAAAATTCTTCAGAAGATGACTCGCTTTGACGAGGCAGGACCTTCGGAGATTCCACCACCAGCTTATGATGAACCTGAAGGAACGAGTGTCATTTCTGGTACTGCTGAGGGTGAGAAGGTCACGCCTTCCGTCGATGCAAAGCCATATGTGCCACAGGATTACGGATTTTACCAGCCCGAGAAGGCTCCTCTACCTGGACAAGCAGGTTTTGTTGGATCGCCGTCTGGGTCAGCACCGAACCGACCTATTCCAGAAACACCACCAGCTCTCCCTCCGCGTCGGAGTCCTGTTCCCTTTGGAATGGATGACGATCATAACAATCCCATTCATTACACCCGCGATCCTCACAAACTGATTGCTTATCTGATTCCGTTTCCAAAACCCAAAGGTCACGATACAAACATACCAGACCGATTTTTAATTTACACTCCTCCACCGCCTCCATTTCCCAAGCCAGCTGAAGGCGAAAAGGAGAGTCGTTCAGTCAAGGTTCAACGAAAATGGCAAGAAGAAGTCCGAGCTGCCAAGACCAGCGAAGCCAAGGCTGCATCTTGGGCTGGCCTGCGCAAGAATGCGACGAAAGCAGTAGCATGGGGGATGGATAAGACTGTCTCCGCGAATCTCGAGTTCCTGACTCGCATGCATCCAGACAGCATGAACCGAGGTCGTTCACCTTCACCTAGTGCTCACAGAGAGAACGATAAGGAATATGATATCCACACCGACGACGGTGTCAAGGAGGCCGACACAACACGCAAGACAGTTGGACTTGAGGAGATGGTTCTTGTCTACCCGGCCTCGATCCCTATGAACCCAGAGCAGATACGTACAGAATTTATCAACACCATGTTACGTTCGCAGAGCAAGGCACAGCGTGACTCGATCCTTGCCACAGGTCTTCTACCGGTCACTCTCGCTATCGATATCCTGTCAACCCCTATCTGGCCATTTGGTGGCCTGTTTGAAGTGGACGCGGTATGGGCCTACGCCTCGATACGCGGCGCTCGCATTGCGCGTAGCACGACAAAGCGGCTCACATCGACCGGCACAAACTCAGATCCTAACAAGGATACGCTGCACATCCGATTCCAGTCCGCAGCACGCCTAGATATTCTGCGTCGCTATCTCGCAATGATATGCCATGAGCGCAACCCTAAGCGATTTCCAAGCGCAGGCGTCAACGTCACGGAGACCGAGGTGCTGGAGGCCATCGGATGGAGCCCAAGTCAGGTCAAAGAGGGAGAAAGGAATTGGGAAGACGAGCAATGGGAGCTGACTAGTGTCAAGGATGATCTGAGAGCTGTAATGGGCAAAGGAGCAAGGGAATGGAACAAGTGGGTAGGGAGATGGGAAGAGGACCCGAAGAAGGCGGCTAAGAAATAGATGATGATGATGGAATCGACGACTTTCCTATAGTATGAGCGTCGTTACACAATAGCAACAGCAGCATACCCATGTTTCAATCTGCACTGGAATTCTCTTGTGTGAGTCAGACGCGAGCGTTCAGAACGGTGACCTATTCCGCTCATCGATGCCTGAGGCGCAATGCTAAGCAGAGTCCCGATGACGCATCTGGATATTTTCTTCACACAGCCCTCTGACAAATGCACTATTCAAACCCTCAAAGACCCTCTTGCACCCTCATGTCTTTCTTACATCCATTCCTCTCTCTCGGCGCGCAGTCGCAAGCCTTACTATCGAAGCAGAGCATCCCGGCGCCATGATCACCACTACAAAACCACATGGCCCAAGCGCGCTTCGCCAATCTTCACTTCAACGCTGTCCAGCCTCCCCACACACCACAACCACATCGCCACCTCAACCACTCACAACTCAGCTCCCACTCACACCCTCCGGGCCAGCCCTCTCCCACAGCTCAGTACGCAAAGCCCGGCGCGCACAGCGGACGTCTCGCTGCACATCCCCGTCCACCTCCATACCACCCGTCACGCAACACCCGCCGCAGAACGCTCACGCTCACGCTCACGCTCTCCCTACTCAAATCCTACGACCCCCCAAAATGCCCACCCCAGCACAGCTGCGCCCACTATTCATCGCCTCGCTCGGCAACCCCGGCGCGGCCTTCGCACACACATACCACTCCGCGGGCCACATGTTGCTCGAGACACTGCACGCGAGCAGCGGAGTATCATTCAGCGGGTCCAGTGCCGACGGAGCATGCACATACCCGGGCGGTGGTGGTAGCTCCTCGCGCGACTGGACGTTGTTCAAATGTCCGAGCTATATGAACACGTCTGGGCCGAGTATTGCAAAGGCGTTCCGCAAGTGGAAGAATGGGCGGCAGGATGGGGTGTTGGTTGTGTTGCATGATGAGTTGGAGTTGGGTGTGGGTCAGTTGAAGATGCGCAAGGAGGGCAGTCATAAAGGGCATAACGGGCTTAAGAGTATATTGGCGACGCATGGGAAAGAGTTTGTGAGGATTGGGGTGGGGATTGGGAGGCCGGAGAGCCGGACGAGTGAGGATGTCTCGAAGTATGTGCTGGGACGGATGAGAGCGCGAGATCAGGATATAATTAGGGGCACTGGAGGAAGAGTTGCTGGGTTGTTGGAGAAGATTGAGGCTGGTGTATGAGAGAAAGAGCAAGCCATTTATGTGGCTGTTCAAAGAAGCTACAGTGGAGAAGAGCTATGCAAGAGGTATAGACACAAGAACGCCTTTGCCGCGACTGAAAGTAAGCTGGGAAAGGAGATGTCCAGGCTCAGTCAGCGTGTCGTCCCTCCTTGGTCTCTGCGAGAGTCGGACTATCTGGCTCATCATCGGACATGAGTCCGTGAAGCTCAAACTCCTCAGCATCCTGTACTCTCCGATCGTTGGCGCGAATATGCCCATTGGCCGCGCCATTCATACGTGGTACCTGGTTCTCTGTGTCGGGTTTCTTCTTCTCTGGGAAAGCATGGGAGGCATATAGGGTCAGAAGCATGTTGACAACTGCGAAAAGTCAGCGTTTGCAAGAAGATAAGCGTGGCTGATGGTACATACAGAGGAACATGAGGAACGCAAAGCTGTACAGTATTAGGATGTAAGAGACATGCGTGACCCCGGCATCGGACAGGAGTTGCATTTGCTCTTCTGTTGCGCCCATGAAGAGAAAGCCGGACGCAAACAGGAGCTGTGTATTATCAGTATTATTTTATGTAGCCATAGAATCGACATAGGACCACTTACAAAGCACGGAATGTATTGGAAGCTGTTTGGCTCATGCCAGTCGTCATCAGAAAATGTCTGTCGATCCTTGACAACAAAGGAAATTTCGATAATACGGGTGACACCTGCACCCATCAAGGTGTAACCAAATATCGTGTGAATCATTGTAGAGAGCGGTAGGTGTTGAGGATGAGCAGACATGGCATATCCGGTCAGAATGAGCACTATGCCAGGTAGAAGATTCCTCTTTGGACGTCCAGATCTGGTTCTGCTGAGCCAGATACCCACGAGACCTGCGCACCACCAGACAATGCCCATTGAGGTGTGCTGCAGATCATTGTGACCCCACGGGTGTCCCCATCGATGCTCGGTGAACGTGTTGACGCAACCCCAAGCGGCGATGATTAGCGAGTCGAAGAACTCCTGGCTCCTTCCTGTGCGGCGTAGCCAGAATTGTCCAACAAGTAACAGGATGGTCAGGACAATTCCGTATGCGATGAAGGCACTGCCCATGATGAAATGTGCCAAGCATTGACCAGTGTGATCGCCCTCAGCCCTGCAAAACCCAAGCGCAGTGATGCCGCCGAACAGCATTTGTACCCAGGCAGCGAGTGGCATCATTTTGCCCAGAATCCCATGCAAACTCACGAAATATCTCCTGATCTTGCCGTGAATGCCCCTCTCTAGGTGGAGCTTTAGGTATATGCCCATGGCGGCTTGCGCAATGAGCATCATCATTAAACTCGGAGCGTAAGCCTGATGTACGTTCGCTGAGAACTGTCGGCCTTTGTGTTTGTGGCCGAGGAACCATCCAACTACTGCCATGCCGGACGCGATCACTTGGAGGGGGACGTGCCATCGTGATTTGATCATCTATGCAGATTTAGTAACTCGTTCGGTACGCTTCGTTCAGATTGGCATACCCCGAGAACCATTCCTGTTGGGAACAAGACACCCCAAGCAAATGTCTGTAAGATGATGTGCATCCATAGTATGGAGTCCTGTATCTTGGTCAGTAATTCGCCTATGCATATACCACACGCGTCCAGCAACATACGATAGGGTCCACGGATATCGCTGAGCCTTCCGGAATCTTGTCCATATGGTGTTCGTGTGCTGTCACCGGGCCTGTGAGGAGGATCACGGCCAGGCCTTGTGACAGCCTGCCATATTGGTTGCGCAACATGGCAGATGCGGAGGTGTATGGAGCCTAATTAGTAACACCAAACCTCCGGCAAAGGTTCTTGAAACTCGAAGGGACGAATCCAGTGGCGTGTAAGGCGCTGCCCTTGGTAGATCTCCTTCGACTTGATAGAGAGACGTTAAAGAGGAGGTCGTAGCGTAGGGAGTGGAAAGGCGTAAGATGTCGCCGCCGCTTTCCGGTAAGGTCAGCCAAGCCTCCCTAGTTACTTTACAGCCTTACGAGACGTACACGCGCCTCTCACTTGTCACTCTACAGAGTCCTGCCCGACAACTGTTATGGATAATTATTCTGCATTGTTGCTCTGGCAATTAATTCGCGTTCTAGGTCTGCTCCCGTCCGTCACCCTTTACCTCTCGGACATGCCTGTTTCCTCCGTCGAAATGCCTGTGTGATGCGTGGCTGCCTATATATAAACAAAGTCATGCCAATCGAACGCAGCCTGACCTTGGATCATATTGTCGTATATATGTAGGACAGTGCATGAACTGCATCAAGGCCATGATTTTTACTCACATGCGCTTCTAAGAGAAGCAATTCGTCTGGTGCTGCTCTATATATTTGGATCTGTAGAAGCTCTTAGTAATGAAGATTGCAACAACAGGCGCTAGCAAAGGCCTCCAAGGATGAACGAACGTGTAAAAATCTCTCCCTGACGCGGGCTGATGTAATGTCTAAAGGCAAGGCTACTCGCAGTATTTCTATCCGTAAAGAGGTACTCAACACCTGCCTTTTGTAGACCAACATATATATGGCTATGTAATTACATTTTTATGAAATACGCACGTTCGTAAACAGCGAAAAGTACAGTGCAGAGTTCGGTTCGGACTTTGAATATAAGTTAAGTTTCCCATCTCAGGCTTTTCCGCACTCTTATATGTGAAAAAATATCCTATTCCTTTTGATAGAATCCGCGGTATCTTGACTAATTACCACGAATTCACGCCAGGATAACTTAACCTTTTAGTTGGGCGACTGCTGAAAAACTGGCTGATTAGCGTCTTGGCATTATGACCAAGAATAGTACCCTAACGAATGACGATCTTCAGCACGCATGAACCCACGATGAACACAGGTGCCGAAGAGGATCAATTGCTTCAGGATTATGGTATTCTACGTTCAGTGAATGTGCGCGAGATTCCTGAGACACCAGCCGGAACACAAGACATCTCCGACCATGACACCTCTCCTGTGAAGATTGGCAATGTGTCAGAAAGCCCTGGAGAACTGGTAGAGACTAACGGACATATTCAGCATACGATGGACCGACAAGATCATCTTACAGCTGAGAGCGATCAGAATGAAGGCCCAACAGCGGGTATATCTTCGTGTATTGTTCGTAACGACGAAGATACGGACGATGATGAACTGTTGTTCGCACCAGAACGCGGGATAGCCACCAATTGCCAATCATTCGACCGCGACGCGGTTGCTGATGACACTGTCATATTCTCATCAAGCTCATGTCAGTCAATCCCTAACAGGACCACGACTCCGCATGATAGTTCTACTGTGCGAACGAAGGCTTCAGAAGAAAATCTTGGTAATCTTCAGCGGGAGATAACTCACCAACATGATGTTGCATCCTCAGAGCATCGTCTAGCTGATGAGCAAAAGCTTGCCGACTCAACTTTGACTGCAGTTGAAATAACGCAAGTTGGGTCCGCCAGTGATGCTGCATATCACGCAGGTGGGCTGGGGATTGGCAATACTGCAGATAACACTAAAGCAACAACAGAGCGGAACGAGACTGACACCAGAAAGAGATTCTCAGCTAGCTCCAATGTACGACCGACAGCGACACCAGGCACCCAAGAAACACAGGTTACGGATTCTTTCACTACCTCAGCATCAACGCAGCAGTACCCATCACCAACAAAACCTACTGCAGTTCAGTCTCGCTTTGCAGCTCAGCAAGCTACCATCGATACCCTTGAGGCCGAGCGTGACAAACTCCTGCGGGCTCTTGCGTCATTGCCTGGCGTCAAGGATCACCTAAAGCCTGGAATCGACCCTAAGGACATGGATAAAGCTACTGCTATGGCTGCGGCAACATCTGTGACTAAGCGGCACATCAAATTACTACACGAGTACAACGAAATGCGCGACATTGGCATGGGACTCATGGGACTGATTGCTGATTCACGTGGTGTACGAATCAAGGAAGTGCAAGAGGAGTTTGGGATCGAGACGAAGGACTAATCATGTCATAAGCATTCGTCATCGAATCCTGAATGCATGCCACCTTGTCATCAAGAAATGAGCACGTTCAATGACACAAGGTGACACGAAAATTGGGTCGTCGCAGATTCAGGGTTCAGTTTGGACTTGCAATCTGATGGCACTAGACGGCCTAGTAGCTATACCATGGAATTTCCTCATGATGGTGTTTGTAGAGACTGTGTATTAAAACAAAATGCCAGCATGATGCCCACGAACACATATTACGAGGAAAGTATTTGGCGAGTAAGTAAAAACCGATCATACGAAAGGTCACTCCAATGTCTCGTCATAAAATAGACTTATTGCGAGTGAAAAGAATGTACATGTAGCAGACAGCTGAATATAATTCCCTAGGAGGTGCTCGAAAACGTTGTCGATCCTTTGCGTCTCAAAAATGTACTCGATAACTTTCGACTCAGTGAATCGAGTGCTCCATATGGCAGAGGCTCGCTGCTGAAGGCCGAGGATGAAGGCGTCCGCGTCCGAGTGCCGGATCCGCTATGGCTGCTATCGACGAAGTTGCCAAATCCACCGATGCCATAGTGTCGATTCTTCGGACGCCCCTTGAAAACGCGGTCGCGCTCGATCTGGTCCTCCATGTCGAGCAGAGACCGGTTGTTTGATGAATGGTGGTTTCCAGCTCCGCCAATGCCCGACGAGTAGTTGCGCTGTGGTCGAGGCGGTAATGTGAATGAGGCTGGCATGGGTGGGACTTCAGAGGCACAGACTTTGCGGTAGTTGCCTCTGCCGCCGATCCCAGAACGGCATACGACCTTTGTGCTGCTTGTGGATCTTGTTGAGCCGCTGCTGGACGTGGATGGGGAGAGGAGGTCCGACATGCTGGATGATGAGGATGTATTTGGACTCTTGTATGGAGACTTGGAGACTCCGGAGGGCATGAGCTTGGTGGTAGCAGGGAGAGGATATATGTTCACTGCAAGTTCAGCAGAAAAGGAGATCCACGAGGGATAGTGTTGTTTCAACAAGATATAGCGATAAATGACGTTGGACCAGACTGCCACAGAGAGAATCTCGTTCGTACTTAAAGCAGAGAGACATCAAGCACAGCACCCACAAACAAATACACCAAACAAGGGTACATATGACTCTCCCCTCCCAAAGAAAAATGAATCACACAACGAAGCACAGTGCACAAGCGCCACGATCTGCATCCATACTGTACAGCCCTTGCGTGCGCACCAGTACACACGCACATATCTCTTCCTCTTGGGGAGTCTTCTGATATGCGGCGCAGTCCAAACGGGATGGACCATAAGGAGCATCAGTATCAAGCCACCACGCATGCACGTTTACGTTACATCACCACTACTGCAGCTTCCTGGTTACCTGCAGCGCGCAGACCGAAACAACAATCCGCCCGCGCCGCCCCAAGGGTCGTCAGCGAAAGCCAGTGACGAGCCTTTCCGGGCACAGTCAAAACGTGCCAATCGATCGCAGACTTTACTTGTGTGCAGCCTGCCGATCCGATGTGCTGCTGACGGTGTATCTGGGGCGCTTCCATAAGACCAGCTGGCGAGCTGCATGGCGTGCTATGTTTGGCCGGTACGGCAATGTGAGTGTGCGACGTCGTGTTCTTCTTTGGCTGGTGTGCGAGCAAGCAAAGCAATTCTTATATGCTTATGCGAAATTTGGATGGACTGGCTGCCTTAGGGGTGGAGAATTGTGTGTGGGGGGAAAAGTGTCACGGCGGCCGGAAGGGGAAGAAGAGGCCCGCTACGCATTAGGGTGGAGCGGAGCTTCCGAGTGGCCCAGCACTGAAGGTGAAACCAGGCATTGGGGACTTGGGCCTAGGCCTGGTGCTCGATAAGGCTGGCATGTAGATGTTTGTCTGACTTGTCTGTTACTGGTGATGATGAGAGCGAGGAAGGAGAGATGAAAGGGTGCACAGAAGGAATAGGCGAATTTGCTGTCCACGTTTTGAGGTGACAATCCCATATTTGCTATTGTGCGCCGTGGACTCAGTATTGCGTGTGCATCTGCCTCTTCTTCTTCTCAGTGCTGGTTGAATGGATGGCTGCAGTCGGCTGTGTTGGTGATGAATCAACCTTTGGCCTTAAATGCAGGGGGGCCACAAATAGATTCTCATGCCTAAGCCGTAGGATCTCGGCTTCAAACTCCTATGCCCGTCTGTATCGAGATCCCTGACAAGTGACTGGTCAGTTGAAGATCTAGAGGATCGGCAGAAATGCAACTGGCAAGCCTGGCATGTTGTTCGGACTCATTCAATCGCGAGCCTTGCGCAGGACGTCACGAGACCTTGTCTTTTATTCCAATCTCCCTCCCGTGCCGCAAACTTACAGCGCGCCAGGAAGGTTGGGTGATATGGACGATCTTCCCAACATCGCCGCCGTTCTTTGCAGCTTCAGCATCGTCAAGACCGAGTGATGTCTCCGCAGTAAAAACGCATATCAATCAGCAGCCAGTCAGGTCTGTTGTTTTGAACGACCTTTTTTTGACGAATGAAATGTCATCAATCGACACGAGTGTTGACTCTTGAGCAAGAAACGCACGGATCCATGCGGGGTTACCACGGACCTAAGCAGAATTAGGCATCCAAGGCTATCCATTGGGCGTATGGCAATGGCATCATCGGTCCCTGACCAAATCTTCCAAACAGCCTCACAAGCTCATGCTATCCTAATAAGACATCTCATCAGCATATTCAAGATGAAGGCATACTGGTATGATAACGAGCCCGTATGTCGCCACCACCATTCTTTCCTCGATCGCAAGCGCACTCGTTGAAGAAAAATTATGGCTGACATTAACATGCAGGGCGACCAACGCGCCCCTCACGACTCCGGTCGCGAGGTCCCCTCCGAATACCTCTCCAAGTTGGGCATACTGCACTATAATTACCCGTCTCTCGACGATGTAAACGCCCTCGCTGCCGGCCGCAATTACAAGAATCGCGATGAAGTCACAATCTCGCCGACGACCATGGGCGATGCGTACGAGGAGAAGGTTAAGAACTTCTTCCACGAGCACTTGCACGAGGATGAGGAGATCCGATACATCTTGGATGGCGGAGGGTACTTTGACGTGCGGGGAAAAGAGGATGATTGGGTGCGGATCAAGTTGGAGAAGTTTGACCTGATGATAATGCCGGCGGGCATATATCATCGATTCACGACGGATGAGCAGAATTATACAAAGGCAATGCGCTTGTTTCAGGACGAGCCGAAGTGGACGCCGTTGAATAGGGGCAAGGAGACGGATGAGAATGGCTTTCGTAAGCAGTATCTCTCATCGCGGGAATCCTAAGCGCCGGGAATGACGACGAGCAACTTGACAGCTGGAACAAGGTTTGAGTATGTTCGTGGTTTGAGAAGATTGAAATTTCAAGTACATAGAATCGAATTCGACAGTCTGCTTCGACCAGACAATCTTGACAAAGTCTGCGAGTTGTGTTTCCTTTCCTTAGTGTCCGCTACCAGGAGCAATCATGAAGCCAATTTTGCACAGGTAATGATTGACCTTGGAGCAGGGCCTACCTAAATGAGAATCTGAATTTGGACCATCGTGCCTCGATGTAGTTTCGTGTCAGAGGTCAGGGCGCTGCTTGATCGGGTCTCACACGCTCCGTTCTACATGTAGATCCACAGTGTCTGTTGGTCGGTACATAGTACGAATCGGAGGATAGCTGCAGCCTTATACGTGGCAGCATAGTCGCCGACCAGTGTCTCGGGACCGTATGTTGAATCGCGCCAGAAGTCTGCCAGTGTAACATGTGTGGATATATGATGAACGAACAAGCTGATCACAGCGCCACCTAGTTCTAAGCGACGATACACCAGCGCCCACTCCGTACAGAGACACAGCGTACAAGAGCTCAATCCCAATCATCGTCATCTTCGTATTCAGTGACCTGTTTTTTTGGCTGGAAGCCTCTCCTGGCTGCTTCCTCATCACCAAGCTTGGATCGCACGAGTACGTTTGCTTCTAGTAAACGAGACTCCAGATCTTTAGTAGTAAAAGAGTCCTGCGTGTACCCAAGTCCTTCAAAACCAATAATGCGGTCGACTTGTTTGCCGTCCATGAATGCGATCACACAGGGCAGTACCTGGACCTTCAGCTTAGTGACTAGAAACGGCGCGTTCTCGACATTGATTCTGAGGAAACGTGTATCGTAATGTTTTGGTGCAAGGGTCTGCTCTCGAAATCAACGAATGTGCAATAATGCAAATGATGCATGTTTACCTCGAGATGACGGTCCATTATTCCGCACCTATTGAAGTCTGGCTTGAAGAAATGCACCACGCAAAGCTTTGTCTGAGTGGTGATGTCCATTAAAGACTTTTCATCTTTCACCTCGAGGAACGTGCCATGGTCGGAACTGCGCAACGCTTTTGCTCGATTAACCTCTTCATGGAGTTGCTGCAGACGCCGCTCGCGAAACGCTGAGAGCGACGCATCCTCATCTTTCTCAAGGCTGGCAATCAGAGCGTCTTCGTCATCCGAGTCAGGGCCTGCGCGGTCCAAGACTGACGCGACCTTGGCATCTAACTCTGGCATACTTTCGTAGATGAACTGTGTTGAGCGTCTTGTGCCCGTCTGTCAACGGTGACGCGCAATCAAGCAGTGGAGATTCGTAGCAGCTGCGTAAGAACGTGCAGGGTGTTGTACGTAGAGACAATTGGAAGTACGTACACCTACTCTAAGCACCTCCACGCACTAGTGAGCAGTGCTGTGTCCTCACCACCAGCACGTCGTCTCCAAAACCCGATCAGCTTCACAAACATCGATAATGAAAGTATATTCACAAACAACAGCGCTCCAAACACCAACCAGCGCCAGTACCGGTGTTAGTATTTGCATCCTTCACATGTACCGTGGATGAACCGCCACACATCTCCAGCCTCAACCTCGGTTTGTGGACAATATCCACCCCTGGTATGGTCATCAAAGGGGATTAAATCATTAGAGGAAAAAGGGGCCGGCAGATTACCGGACGCTGACGTTGAATCCATCCATCCCCGGCCATATCAGTGCAGCGCGCAGGACTTACCCGGCTAGGCCAGGCTATCCCACGCCGGTACTGTTTCCGATCTATCCATATCCACGTCTCTCTTATTTCGCGTCCAACGTTTTCCTCTCATTCTTTCACGTCGTTCGCCTCTCTCTGGCTTCAGCTGTCCCAATCCGCTCGTTCCTCCCCCATTCGCTGCAACGCGCCGGCATTCCAGCCAAGCATACGACGTCGCACCTAACCTTGGACTGATCGAGCACTTGTCAGACTCGAGACCCTCTATTCCACCACGAAGCAACTTCGACGATAGATCCCGACCAAATATAATGGCAGACGAGAAGAAGCGGGGAGACCTACCGGCCAATGCAACAGCTCCGCGCGCAGCATCTCCACGGCCTGTCGCAGGCAGTGTTGCACATAACCCAATTTTACCAGTACTGGCTTACTGTGGTTCTTCAATCTTGATGACCACGACGAACAAATTCGTAGTCTCAGGCTCAGGGTTCAACTTGACATTCTTCCTGCTCGCCGTACAAGTAAGACGGGTCCTGCACTTCAATGCCTTGAAGAGAATGCTGACGCCTCATAGTCGATTGTGTGTGTTGTCGCGATACAGAGTTGCAAGACTGGAGGACTGATCACATACCGAGACTTCAAGACCGATGAGGCGAAGAGATGTACGCCTGTCCAATCTTCAGACCGGCTCTCAAGAGATACAAAGCTAATGTACACCAGGGTTTCCCATCACGCTTCTCCTCATCGGCATGATCTATACCAGCATGAAAGCAATGCGCTACCTGTCCATCCCAGTTTACACGATCTTCAAGAACCTGACAATCATTTTGATTGCATACGGCGAGGTACTGTGGTTCGGTGGAAGTGTTACCGGCATGGCCCTCTTCTCGTTCGGCCTGATGGTTCTCAGTTCTGTGATTGCTGCATGGGCGGATGTTCAGCACGCGCTAACTAGCTCTCTCAACGCCAGCACTGAGGTTTCCAATCTCAATGCTGGCTACATCTGGATGGGGTTAAACTGCTTTTGCAGTGCCAGCTATGTGCTGGGAATGCGCAAGCGCATAAAGCTTACCAACTTCAAAGACTTCGATAGTATGATACGTCACTCCGACTCCGATGCTTGATAGTACTGACCGTTCCCAGCCATGTTTTACAATAACCTCCTATCTATCCCAGTCCTCCTTGTCGCCTCCGTTTTCATGGAGGACTGGTCGAGCGCGAACATCGAGAAGAACTTCCCCGTGGAGTCGCGCCATACGCTTGCCATATCCTGGATATTCTCCGGTCTCTCGACTGTCTTCATCTCCTATACATCCGCCTGGTGTGTCCGTACTACATCCTCTACAACCTACTCCATGGTGGGCGCTTTGAACAAGCTGCCCATCGCTCTGAGCGGACTCATATTCTTCGACACCCCCGTTACTCTCGGCTCTGTATCTGCAATCTTTGTCGGCTTCGTCAGTGGCATCGTGTACGCCATCGCTAAGCTCCAGCAAAACAACAAGCCCAAGCCTGTACTGCCAGTCAGTGCCCCGCGTATGAGCGCCAGCAGTCGAAGCGCCACCGACAGCTACAAAGCTTGAACCCCCTCTACGACATTTATAATGCGTTGCAATCCTTTAGACCGTACCCACTAAAAGCAGATTGGGGGCAATGACTGCATGAGCGCATGAAGATTGACGAGCTGAGCTCGCGATATGATGGTAGTCCTCGCTTGAGGACTTGGGACCACTTGTACTTTTAATGAGAGATCTGGTTTGGCGTAACACCGGAAGTGGGCTGTATGGCTGCTCATCTGCATCGTTTGATGACGTTCAGAGCGCTCCGCGATTGGCAGGCTAGTAGTATAGCCATTGCGACTTTGGTTCACTCTACATTGTATACACTGTATGGCAGACTAGGCTGGAAATTCGACAGTGATGAAGATGAGCTTGTGCTGTGGATAGTTCGTAGGGAGTACCTGAGACACAAGTCTGAACGCTGAGCAATGATACATTCCTAGATGCAAACTTAAGCCATAAAGTAGATTGCCTGTATCAACTAACAAGGTCGATAACCCAGTTATAAATCTCATTGGAGTCGGCACGGAGTAGCAAATCCAAGTGCTCCGGCGGTTGGAGGAACGGGTAAAAGCGCCGGCGGGAACAAAGAAAAGTGGTGCTCTGAGTGAGAGAGAAATTATGACTGTGCTGTGGTCATTTCGGCCAATGTGAAACGGCTTAAAGGGTGTATTAAGGACTGAAATTACAAGGTTCTAATGCCAAGTAAACTGTAGATACATCAGGAACGTCATACCGGGAGACTTGATGCGGAGCGTAAAAGAATAATAGTGTTGAAAACATTCTTGGCAACATAGAGGCTCGGTCGTCTTGAGCTATATAATCATGTGTGGGTAAAGGCTTTGATCGGAACCTGGCTGGTAACCCTCCACGACGTGGTCATGCCAAGATCAGAATGTTCGGGATGGATTGCCGCAGGGCTGAAGAATATCCATTGAAGGTCACTAGTCTACATGTCAGGGCTAATGCAAGGTCATTGAAAATTTGATGTACATGGTGTTGTATCGGGTGGAAGACAGAGTGATTCAGCGATTGAGCGTATCTGTTCAGCTATGAAACGTGTTTATTGAAGCATCTTAGAATGAAAGTGAAGTCTTGTTCCTAAGGATTTGTGCTGCCTTGGCGCCTTAATGGAGTGCCCTATCTATCTTTAAATACTAGTCAGTGACCTGAAGATATATTCGGACACTATAACACGCTGTCTAAAAGAACTAAGTTGTGTAGAAGCATAGGTATACCTGCCAAGTGAGTGTTTAAAATCATATTCTGATGGGGCTTTACGACCTGTACTTGCGGTTTTTCTAATAAATGTCGCAGAGTATTGAGGGATTTAAATCTTCTTGGCTCTAATCCCAATCTAAAACTAAAATCTTAAGCCGCTTAAGATGCTAGGCAGTACTGGATGAAGACTTTCGTGCTATGGCTTAATTGAACATACCCTGGCATAAGTGACACAAAGCGACCGCCCAATGGTCCTTGCACATTTTATCGCCGTAGCGCTTTTCCAACAGTCACATCTAGGCGTGTATCAAGGACAATAATGATTTTGATTGCGCGAATACTAGAACATGAAGATTTTACTATTTATATATCCGGGCAATAAGTTTTACGGCCCGGACATGGGCTGGGAATTTGTATAAGGTCACTTAGATGCTTGCGATTGTCCTAACGTATTCATATTGTTAGGACAGACCAGGTCTTGGTCCTTATACCAAACGCACTGCCTTGGTTATATTGAGCAGTGAGAGCTCTTTACAGTTTGACGACCTTTCTTTTGCAACCCGAAGGGCTCTCTCTGTCTCTCACTCTTATCACTTATGTTCTTACCTCGTACGGTGACGCTGCTCGCAGCAGTGTTACTGGGTTTATTCATTCCTTCTTCCTCGGGCTGGACGTTCGCTTTCGACCAAACTTGCTATGAAAAAGCCGACTTAGGCAGGATAAGAGCATCAATGACTGAGGCATACAAGAGTGCTGCTCTGGCTCGTTATTATTTGACTTTAACGTCCGGAGTCCCCCCTGGCATGGCACAACCCCTCAAAAGCATCTTCAAAGTCGAACCTACTGATCCCGAATATGCGAACGTCCTTGAAAGGGTGGTACAGGTCTTGGGAGTGATCCTAGAGTTTGATCAAATGACGGAGTCGAATATCGCAGCAAACTTACTGATTCATTGCGACAATGGAGCAAACTGGGAACCCATGTCCGAACGACTAAAGCCACTAATCGGCTGGGACCGGATCCCGGCGGATCGGGCCTGGATGAGCATGAAGAGCGGGTTGATCTTCCATGGCCATCAGCCGTGCCATAGCCCGGTTGTTAACACTGCCGTATACGCTTCTATCCGCAACCCATGGCTGGCTACACCAGACTTCCGGCGATCCATCACATTATGCCAGGGGCCGCTTGACAGATCTCCTCGCAGAATAAAGGACACGCTGAATCAAGTCTCCGATAGACAGTCATTACACAGATTCGTGGCACCAGATCGATCATACCCCGTCCTAAGCTACCTGTTACTCCGTGAGATGATACGTGCGGCAAACGACAAAATCAAAAGCTACCCATATACCTGGCGTAACATTCTAGCCCTCGACACCAAGGGCGCGACGGAAAATGCGGCCAGTTACGCAATGTTGGCCTCCTTCGCGCTGCTTTATAACCTGGGACAAGTACTGGGTCATTCCGAGTCCGATATAAAAATTGGTAAGATGGTGGCTAGGACCTGAGCGGAGTGAATCATGTATCTGCTATGAGTGTATCAGAAGGCTGTATATATCCAACAAATAACTCTACACATTATTTCACATGTTTGGAAGTAGATACCACCATTAAGCATCCTGCCACTAAATATCCTCTCATATCCTCTCTAATAAATGGAGAATGTCCTCTGTATGCGGAGTCAAAGTACATTATTTAGCACCTACTCCAAGCGCTTGTTCTCGGGGCTACGACTGAAGGCCCAGTATGCGCTCTCCATTAAAATGCAATGGTCGTAAACTCCTCATAGCCCGAAGAGATGACCAGATAAAGTGCCCCTATAAAGGGCTCACTGTTGGGATGTGGTATCGCTGGAGCTATATTCCCTCTTGTAACGCGAACCGATGAAAATACATTGTGCAAGGAGAGACGCGACAATGGAACATGGACGTCTAAGATTTTCATGAAAGACAAGGCCGGGATCCAACAATTTCTGAAGACATTTCGAACAGGACATAGACTGTCAAGCAGAATATCCGAGGCAGTCGGAGACGAAACTGCAATACATCATGCATACAGACAATCTGACGCGGAAATCCCAATACCGACAAGAAACAGTTCACTAAAGACATGGGGAAAGCTACATGACCGGTAGCGAGCTCAGCCGTACAGCTCTGCCTACGCTTTGAGCAAAACCAGTATCATCCCTGCAGATGGCGATGGAAAAACTAGCTTTCAAGATTCTCAGATATGAGATCACCAAACGATTTGCCCCGAAAAAGAGTTGGTCGAAAAGGTGTATACTCAAATTTGCTGAAAAAAATTCAATTGAGAAACAACATACCGAAGGGCAGATCCGAACCCGGGGGTTCGTACTCTCTCGATCCCCCTACGACCGCCTGGCCGAATACTTATTCCTCTGATCGATGATTACCCAGCTTTTATATGATATATATATGGTATTAATTAGAGTGGTTTTTTTCACTGTGGCGCTGTTAGCACAGCTCGCACCATCACCCAACGACGTCACTTTGTGTGAGAGCAGCAAGGTACCGTTGCCTGATACCCTTTATTCCCACCGTCGACATTACCGTGTGTCTAAAGGTCTCGCTGTCTATCTCATCCTCTCGATGCGCTGTCTACTCGTTTTGACCCTCGAACCTCGAACCTCGAACCTCTCGAACCTCTCGAACTTCCCGAAATTGACGATGATTGAGATCTTTGGCTTGGCACAAGACGGGTGGACATTAAAACCCATACAAATGGACTGCAGTGGAATCACTTCTGTCCATCGGCTCCACGAGATCAAGTACGTAGAGTCAAAGCTCGAAAGAGGATGATAAACAACAGCAACACGAGAAAGGAAGATCGTACTCCGACGATACACAAAATAGCACTGAGCAAAGTAAACAATGAAATTAAAGCTAAGGAAATAGAATGGAAGACAGTAGCTGTTCCCTACTGTAGCAAATGGCGCGAACCAGGGTGTCGTAATAATGATAAGACAGTGAAAGTGACGTGTGAATATGAGTTAATGAAAGGTCCTGAGTATATCTGCAACTAGTTGTCTCTCTTCATGCATTGCTAGTACGACCTTGGGCTTTAGCCACGGTAATACAACGCGGTATGGTGGGTAAGTGTGTTGTTGTCTGGACAGAATTTTCCGGAAGGGTGGATGAAGGACATAGACTTCATGGATGACGTATAACAGGAGGTATACAACACAGCGGAAATTAGAATCATGTCGAGCACGATTGCTCCTACAGCCCAATGATGTGCTCTACATTGTAAAAACTTCGACGGAGAGTTTGTTTCCGCCAAATACGGAGTGCCAAGCGGAAAGTACTCATAGTCATACACTGAGCTGTGCCAACTTTTAGAATTTCTGAAATCGGCGAAGCGGACGGTTACTAGCTCTCTTGGAGCCGGTTATGATGACACGCCCAGCTTATACAGGAGCGCAGTGGCGAGGGCGACAATGGAAACTATATTATTGATTTATTTGTAGTAGACATGATCCTACACAAAACATTGTCTGTAAACCAAGTTCCTCTTAGTATATCGATGCTCCATTAATGTCATTAATTCGATAAGGGTATCACCTCACAGGTCGAGCTCCATCCATTTGCGATCCAAAGACAAATCCGCACCCCAACCCTGCCATAACTCAGAAGCCACCCTCACCATCGCCCAGAAACACTTCAACAAACCGGACTCTCCGGTCTTGCCTCATTTTCCTTTCTTTATCCTTGCCCTTGTCCGGGTCCTCCATTCTTACCATCATATCTGCAAACAGCGCCGCAAGACTCCTACGAACGATCTGGGTCCGTGCATGCTGCGGATCCAAACTCAGGCTTTTTCGAGGTAGATGCGATGGTGTCTTCTTTGGGCTATTTGGAATTCCGGGTTCCTTTGAACTTGCCCTATAGGTGCTTAACTCCGACATAAGGCGCGAGAGCATTGTGGTGAGGAGCATAAAGCTGACATTATGTGTTGGGCAAGAGGCGGCAAGTATTTCGAGGAGAGCAGTTCGTTCATCGTCAATTGAATGTGACTGTTGTTTGGAAATATCGCATGTAGCGAAGTGGGTCTCGATTTGTGTGAACGTTAACGCAGGTATAATTCCGTCGACAAGGGAGGAAAGGAAGAGCATCAGAGTTTCAGCGAAGACTTCAAGCCGATGTAAAGGTGTAGTCTCTGGTACGAACACCGAGTCGAAGCGCGAATCGGTGTCCAATGCCTCAAATAGCTGGCATTTAAGCCTGTCTCGAACATCGACAGTCGTGAGTGTCCAACTGTCCTCTACAAATGGCCATGCAGCATGGAGGTACCATGGAGGTGACTCGATTACAACCGTGGCAGTACCTGAGGTGTCTCCTTGAGGCTGCTGCTGAGGAGTCATCATGTCCCATTCCGCGATGACGCGTTCAACTAAGACTTCTATGCTTTCCGTCAGCCGGAACAGTTCTCGGGGAGTCGACCACATTACCCCAGCGTTGCCCTTCGAATGCGTCGTAGTATTACCAGGAGTACTCGCAGCTGATGTAGATTGGGGTTTTTGTCCTTGTAGCCTGCGGATTCCTCCCTCTGGAATTTTGATCAATTTGTCGATAGATTGAGCAAAGGTAGACTTGAGCCAACGACCGCGTATGGGAAGAAAGTGATCTCGGCCATTTTCGACGCGTAGAACGAGTATGTCATCAATGTTAGAGACGTCCTCATTAAGAGAACGAACAAGCTCCATGACCGCAACCTTTAGAGTCAGCTCGACTGTACTGGAATCTCCGGGCTCGATAGTATAATGATCCTTGATTCCTAGAGGTAGTTTCGGATCTATTATGTCTGGATCACGGTCAAAATACACGGAGAGCCAAGGTGGAGCTGGTCCTTGGTTTTGCCCCTTGACGAACGGACGATCCGCAAACGATATCGTTGCTGGCACACGACCTGTGTTTGCGATAGTCACCGAGCGTGTCTTACTCTGTGCGTAACGTATGTCACCAAAATTTACACCCTCGAAGTCGTTGTCAAAATCGTCACTCATAACGTCCGAGTCGAGCCCTTCATTACGATCTACGATCATCGTGACACAAGGTCTACCTTCATTCTCTGCACGGTCAAGCTCTTTCGCAACTTCCTGGTGGACTTTGGCTTTGAGCTCAGGTATGACCGAGTCGTAGATGAGTCTAAATACCGAATCCAGGGGTTTGTGGTCAGAAGATAGCACGCGTTGGTGTGACGTGTAGTATTCTTGGAAGATAGTGTCCTGATGTCCGTCCTTTGTATTGACAAGCTCCAGCTCTGGTTCTGCAAATTCACCATATTCATTGTCGGCGTCATGATCAGGGTCGTAATCGAAGAGAACGTTATCATCATCTCCTGCGTGGTCCATACCCCTGGCTTTCATATCGGCGTCCTTTTTTCGCGTCTCTTCAGCGTCTTTTCTTTTCATTTCAGCGGCGAGACGGGTCTTCCGGGTTCTATATAGGATTCGATCGCACCACGAAGGACATCGTTTCTTCTCGCTAGAGTCGAATTGCCCGATGGAGCCTACATCATATTTGTATGTAGGAAGAAACTCAATTTTGCCTTCCTGCCAGCCATCGTAGAAAGCCTTTTGAGTAAGTTGTTGCTGGTGTAGCTCATCGTGAGGTAAAAGCGATGAGAGTGTAGTCTCCAAAGAAGCTGGATCCTGTAGCGGTGGTAGTACTTCAGGATCGAGAACGGTCATCGAGGAATCTGAGAACCTGTCTCCAACCGAGAGTGTCGAGTCTGTGTCTGTGGTACCTGACGACGAACGGGTAATTGCACCACCTGTGGAGTCTCGTGGCAGCCCGTATTCGTTACGGATATGAAGTGTGAGTAATCGACGAATGTCATCCCCTGGCATGCCGGTCAAACGATAGTTCAAGTCTCCAAACCAGAAAGTAAAGTCCTCGTCGCCAAGGCTTTCGTTTGTGAGATTTGGTATGCCGGTAGGATTTGGAACAGGATCAAACTTTGTTCTCGACATAATCTGCTGCCAGTCCCAATTTCTTCGATCTAACGCTGCTTTGTCGGCACCAGCTGACATGTGACAGTTCACGAATACAAGCCTTGTTGTTTCGCCTAGTAAAATTCGACTCGTGACAGCGCCTTTATTGCCCATATAGCCCATTAGTCCTGTTCCTACACTCGTGGTGCTTACGGCGCTTATTTGCGGTGTGACATCCGGAGCGGCATAGATTAAGAGTAGCATTCCTATAAGCTGTTGTTCGGACACGAGCTGATATGTGGGTAGGGCATGTTCTACAGCTGTCTTGAACCGATTCCCAGTCGCCGGGTCTGTGTATGGCCGTAGAGCTTCTGTGGCCGAGCTCACGTCCACGATTTCCTGAAGACCTAACACGTACAGCCCAATTTCATCACCACTGGGCAATGCGGACGGGTCATTTCTTGGAAGGGTGCTCTTTTCGTTCGAGCTCCTTGCTTCTTGATCTTCGGCCGACTCTGCCTTCGTTATGGCGCCTTCGGGTAGTTTCGAAACATTGTATCCTGAGCCATCGTCGAGCTTTAAGCCCGATAAGCCCTCACTGATACCCTTTCCCTTGATGAACCATCCAGAAATATCTTCATCGGTCCCTTTTAGAGCAGCAATATTCCAAGTCCCAACCTTGATCCTTATGCTCTTCTGTCTTGTGAATTCTGCCCGTCTCGCATAGATAGCTTGTTGCAACGTGTGATGAGAAGTTTCAGCACTTGGACCATCGGCTTGAGCTCCAGAGGGAAATGCCCCAGGAATATCCTGTTCTAGTGACTCCGGGCGCAAGCTGGACCTGGAGTTGGACCTGGAGCTACGGGAGTTTGACATCGCGGGGTACAAAGGTCGTAGAACATCAAGTGGGGTCTACACAATCGAAAGTATAATCATTTGTATCTAGAGTGAATCAGCCCATGGCGACGAAAAAAGTCTGCTCAGTAAACGACTGAATGTGCTCTGCGAAAATAGCAAGAAGACTGCGTGGGGATTACGGCAGCAGCAATGGATGATGACGATGAGGTCTGGAAATCTTTAGCCAGTGTAGAAAGCACGGACGCTTGTGCTTCCGTTTTGTAGGGCTGGACAGTTGTAGCTCCACTTCGTTCATATTCACATTGGACCATATAACACGAACATTTATTTGCATTATGTCAACGCGCAAGAAAACGCGTCAGCAGCATAATCAAGGTTCGCAACCGTTGCCTCAACCCTCGGACTACGAGACCGACGCACCCACAATGTCAACACACCCCCCTCCTCCGCCTCGTTCCAATGAAGAACTCAACCACTCCGTGCTACTCCGCTACAACCCTTCCATAACATCTATCCTCGCTATCGCACCTTATGCCACGGTCTACGCATATTCTCACTCGACCTCTGGGTGGATCAAGTCCGGCGTTGAGGGCACCATATTTGTTTGCGAGCTGACCCCAAATGAGCTTGGTGTAGTGCGCTATAGCGTGATTGTGTTGAATAGACGAGGATTAGAAAACTTCGAGGTCGAAGTGAAGACCGCGGAAAGTGTACAATGGGAAGAGCCGTACATTATGCTACAGGATGAAAGTATGGATGAGAACGGTGAGATGGTTGTGCATGGACTGTACGTTTTTCATGAGGATGAGACGAGCACTGAAGGGTTGCACCTACAAATGGCGAAAGCCATTCAGGAGTGTGCGGAAAGAGCAGACAAGAGTCGAGCACAGGCCGAAGTACTCTCTGCCGCAGAGATGGCGAAGCAGAAAAATGGGTACGGTAAGGAAGAAAACAACCAACTCGACGAAGACGAGCCGGACAGCGTAGCTATGGGCAGACAGCTTTCGTTGCGAGAGCTATTCGGCAAGCAGCGGGAGATTGATAGTGGCTGGAGCGTGAAGGCACATCAGAGTCCTGCGACACAGTCGAAGGAGTTCTCGGTGCCGTCGCATTCAACACTACAGCAACAGCAGCAGCAGAGCATCAGAGGAGGATTGACCTCAACAACACAATTCGATATGAACCCTGAGACAGAGTTCTTCATGACCGGCAGAAACTTCACACCCCAAATGTTGGCTCAGCAGCAACAAGCCAGGTCACAACAGGGGCAGAGGTTCTGAGTCTGTTAGAGTCTGGTTCATGCATCCCAAGAGGCGTTTGCGATCATTTTGGTGAGAAAATTATTCAGTGTGGCGTGTCGGGAGTCACTTCGTGGACAAAACAAACACATCTTTAGGTGATCGACGCATAACACTAGTAGCAATACTTTGGAACTTTACGTTCCTATCCTTCTGGACCGATTGACTTCGAACTTGAACACATCGAATCTCTGATACCCACCTGCAACGTCATGGTACTGCTTGCCTTCGATTGTCTCATTTAGATCGAGATCAGCGTACAAGACATTCTCCGTGTCCCGCAAGTACTCGACCACCTTCTGCTCGCCTGTTCTGTTGTCAACCGTATATCCATTCTTCGCAGCCCCAGTAGGATCCAAGAAAAACGTTGCTGCCCGCGGAGAGCCAGCCAATGCATCTCGCATGAAGGCCTGATCAGTAGACATGGAGGAGATCTTTTCAATCGACGCATTGTCCAGGTATCCTGAGCAAACAAGACCAAAGCACTTTGCTTCAAAACAATGACCAGCGGCTCGTGTTCTGTTTGCAGCAACGTTGTCATAGTTTTTGCCCGACGAAGCAGACGTAGACGGTACTCGCGTTGGCCAGATCGGAGGGAAAGTGCTGATGTGAACTTGCTCTCCCTGCTCCATCAGTGAGAAGCGGGCAAGTGGATTTGTGTTTTCACCACATATTAAGGCTCCAATACGTCCAAAGGGCGTCTGAGGCACTACTAGTCCAGCACCATCTCCAGGGGCCCAGGTCAATTTCTCGAAGAACGTTGGCACGAGCTTCCTGTGATGGGCGAGTATTCCGCCGTCTGCACCGATGAGTAGATTCGAATTATATAGCGTCCCATCTCTGCTACTTAATCTCTCAGAAATGCCGAGACTAACCATGATTCCGTTCTTCTTTGCCTCTTCTCGTATGGCGTCAACATACTTGCCGTTGGAGACGACCACTGACTCGGACGTCATGAGTCTGAAGAAGTCGTGGTTGTCAGTGGGTGCCTGCAATGCACTCCATACGGGAAACGCGGGAATGAACGATTCTGGAAATACGACAAGGCCAGTAGCGTTCTTAGCAGCTGTTTTGATGGCTGCGATGCATTTGTCTGTTGTCGCTCGTGCTGAGAAGACAATCGGTGACAGATGGCACGCTGCGACTCGGATTTGAGACATCTTAAATGACCTCACGCGAAGAGCGTCTAAGCAGTCTAAAAGCCTCAATTTCAAATAGGTGACAACAGGAAACGCGAAAGCGTTGTCTGACTCTTCGCCCTTTTGAGCTCACCCTCTACCTCGAAAGAGGGATTCCGTACGACTCTAGCCCAATATATACTAGCATTATGCTAGCGTCGCTTCTACTATTTCAAGCTCTTGTATCTGTGATTCTGTGAATGTTTGACCGCTTTCCATTGTCATCGCGAGGCCAATATCACCTGCCCATTTCCAAACACTAGACGACATTACTCAGGTGAGCAACAGATACAATGGTGAATATCACAGAGAAAATCAAGGAGTACGTTGTATGTTGCCCCGCGCAACACAATCAGCTAATCCTTCACTAGGATTGAGGATGAGATGCGGAGGACGCAAAGTAACGTGATCGAAGCCTGAACATGAAAACGTTCTAACATTGTAAAGAAAACAAGGCCACCGGTATGGGAGAGCTACCTTTGCACGAGAGTCCACTTATCTAAATCCCCACATTAGAATACCATCTAGGTCTACTCAAAGGGTTCGTTATGAGAAACGTTCTATGAGTTGACCTCTCACTGACCTTGATCAGGAAACTTGCCCGTCTCCGGGCGCAGCTTCTTGAACCCGGTCCAGGCGCTGGTGGCGGTGGCGGTACTGGCTTCGACGTCAGCAAAAGCGGCGATGCTCGTATCGCACTCGTTGGTTTCCCATCTGTGGGAAAGTCAACTTTCCTGTCAAAGATCACCAAAACGAAGAGTGAAGTCGCGGCGTATTCCTTCACAACGCTGACGGCGATTCCCGGCGTGCTTGAGTATGGTGGTGCAGAGATCCAGGTGCTCGATTTACCAGGTATCATTGAGGGGGCAGCGGAGGGCAAAGGTCGTGGGCGACAGGTCATTTCGGCGGCGAAGGTGAGGCCGCGTACCAGGAATGGATCATAGGACTGTGAGAGCTGATCATGTCGGTAGACAAGCGATCTGATCGTTATGGTCCTCGATGCGACGAAACGTGCTGAGCAACGTGCGCTGCTTGAAGCCGAATTGGAAGCCGTGGGCATACGACTTAACCGAGAGCCTCCGTAAGCCACCAGCGCGTGCATGTTAGGAAGAATTATGATCTAAGATGCCTAGGAATATCTATCTCAAGCCCAAAAAAGCCGGTGGCATGAAAATCACCTTCCAAGCTCCGCCCAAATATATCGACGAAAAGCTCGTCTACAACATCCTCCGAGACTACAAGATGCTAAACGCTGAAGTCCTCGTGCGCGACGAAAACGGTAAACTATCCCCTCTCTTTGCATGTTATCCTTGCGTAAGCAAGTCCTCTCTCGACTAACACTCCCTTAGCGACTGTCGATGATTTCATCGACGTCATAATGAAGGACCACCGCAAGTACATAAAATGCCTCTATGTCTACAATAAAATCGATTCTGTATCTCTCGACTTCCTCGACAAGCTCGCACGGGAACCCAATACTTGCGTCATGTCGTGCGAGCTTGATCTCGGGATCCAAGATGTCGTGGAGAGGTGCTGGGAAGAATTACGGCTTATGCGCTTATACACGAAGAGGAAAGGCATTGACCCGGACTTTAGCGAGGCGCTCATCGTGCGATCCGGGAGCACAATTGAGGATGTGTGTGATCAGGTGCATAGGACGTTGAAGGAGACGTTCAAATATGCGTTGGTGTGGGGGGCGAGTGCGAGACATGTACCGCAGCGGGTTGGGTTGGGGCATCTTGTGGCGGATGAGGACGTCGTCAGTATTGTTGCGAAGTAGGCGCGAGGAGACAGCTACGAGATCTAGCGACAGTTTGATGGCGTATAGTATGTCTCATGCGTTACAATGGTAATAGCAATATTCCTCCAACGAGTAGAAAGATCGCATAATTTCGACTTTCAATCCATGACAATGATTTCTCCGTTTTGCAAACTTTTTTCCCCACCGCTGCCAGCCGCATATCGCGTTGTAGGTGTCTTCCTTTAGGTAGTACTATAACCGTTGTAAATATTTGGCAGGAGAAAGCACCTGCATTCGAGCAAGGCTTGTGTTGAGAGGATACTGAAGGGCATTATACTACGAGTGGCCAACGAGTATGGCAAATGATGAGTGTACCTATCTGCATGCTGTGGATCTACCTGGAAAGCTTTGGGGTGTAGGATTTATCTCTGCCAACGAGAGAGAATGTGAGCCTGCAAGATACGTGTTTGAATTGTCAAAGGAATTCGTTCAAGAGAACAAGGGAATCAGGGAATCAGGGAATGAGGAAACGGGAAACGAGGAGATTAGGAAACCAGGGGATAGTCGGCGATCTGACTAGCGAGGACCTCATCTATATAAGAGTGGCTTCTCTCCTCTATAGGTCTACATGTCTCGATCTAACCTCTGAAGTCCAACGATACGACGTTAATGAGCGATTGCCTGTGACTTGTGATCAAATGTCTCTTAGTGAGATGAGCAAGCTACCTTGTCCAGCCCGCCCCTACAACTAGTGTAGGGTATCTTAAAGTTATGATGCGTGAATATATAGATACCTTTATATTGCGAAATCTGTGCCCTCTGTAGTTATTATCTACCTCCGGTCTCGTCCACCTCTATGGCTTCCTTTTTCTCGCCCTCGATTCCCTCTATCGTCTCGCCCTCTCTTTCCTTCTTTCAATTCCCGGGCTTTCTCTCGAGGATCAATAACCACAAGTTCCTCTTCGTTTTTCCGTTTCCATTCTAAGTCTTTCCCTAATCGGTCTTTATCGAACGTCAGTGCATGTCCCATCCAATTGGCATCATCGTCTTCCGCGTCGTCCTTGGCATCTTCCTTATCCCACGACGAGCAAGACTGACAATTCGCAATAAAATGTAAGTCACAGAGATGTGCCTCATCATCATCTGCAGTATTACCATTGTTATTCGCGGAGCCGTTCTGCTGCGGTTCACGCTCTGGGTCGGCTGTCACAGAACTCGGGGCTGATGCAGGTGTTGCATCAAGCTTGGATTTGAAAGCTGCTAATATAGCCAATGCGCCCTTCTCTTCTACTGCTGCTCCACCTTGTCGCCGCTTTCGACCTCGTGTGGCAGTCACTGGGATAAATTCCTCAAGCGCTGACTTCTTCCTAGGTTCTCCTAGTACGACATTGGTGTTGCGCTTCATTGATTGTTTAAGCGCTGCTATCTGCTCGTTTGTGCGTTCTAGTGCAGACTTGCGAGTAGGCTCGGGAGTGGGAGAACGGGAGGAGGAGATAGATTGAGGTTGCGTAGATTGCGTGACTGCCCTTGCGCGATCTGGCGGAGGAGTGGGCGATCGTAAAGGAGCTTTTGAATTTGTTTTTGGCTTTTCGTGAGTTTTGGCAGGTTTTGGCACGTCAGGTGCTTTGGGGATTGAGGTGTTGTTCCATTTCTCGGGGGTCTCTCCTCCACCGCTGACCAGCTTTGGATTGAACTTGGGCTTTTTGGGAACAGGGACGGCAACGTCCTCTTCACCCTCGTCCCCAGTAAAGCTAAGTAGAGCTTTCCCAGCTTTCCTCTTCGGTTTCTTCTTCTCCTTTTTCTCTTCGATTGTCCGCTGAGCAACTCTAACTCTTTTGACCATATCACTGAAAGGGTTAAGTAAGATTTCCGTACCGGTAATCTTCTGCGGATATAATGGTCGATCTGAGTCTGCTACCAAATCCGCATCGCCCATCTTCATAACATTGTAAATCGTATCTCCTACCACCCGTCCAAACATAGTATTCGTCTTCTGGAGCTCCGGGGTCGGTGCCAGTGTAATGAAGAATTGACTACCATTGTCATCTTTGCCAGTATTTGCCATACCCAAGAGACCCCTCCTGTTGAACTTCAGCCTGCTGTGGAATTCATCTTCGAATGGCTCGCCGTCAAAACTACTCTCGCCGCCTTGGCCGGTTCCTGTTGGGTCGCCCCCTTGAATGACGAAGTTTGGAACTAGTCGATGGAATATTGTACCATCATAGTAGCCATCGAGGCAGTGCTGCAGGAAGTTTCGCGACGCTTTGGGTATTTGTTTCGCGAACAGCTCGAGCTCAATATCACCAGTCGTAGTCTGGAGGAGGACTTTGGCCGTTGGCTGTGGCTCGACATTGTAGGTGCTAGCCATGATTGCAGCTTAGACGGTCTGACCAGATGCGTCTGGGTGACTTGCTTGTTGCGACGCGAGAGCACTGGAGTTGCTCCTGTCACGGTGCAACTTTCGCGAACGTGTTGTTGGATCGCCAAGCCAAGCTTCTCCTAGCGCACCAAGTGACACGACGTCACCAGGGTCTTGTACCTTGGCGGGATGCTGTCTATTTCTTTTGTGTTTCGACTCGGACTCGGGAGAGAAGTAGTTTTACGATATCCGACGTTCGCATGATCATGGCGATACTGCTCTCGATCATTTGCTGACGTCTAAGCACCTTCTCTAGTCGTTCCAACCGTCCCTCTATATCCAATTCACAAAAATGCTTCCTTATATCAATGTCCGTAAGTTACCTCCATTAATATCTCATTCAGTACGTAACTGATAGCATGTAAAGCATTCGAATACCTCGGAAACGCAATAGGGTCTTCGACTGATGAGCGTACGGAGAGTCCCTGTCCCTGCCTCTGACAATCAACCCTAAAACTGTGCAGTGAAGCTTATCACATCCTTCCTTATCTCTTATCCACTGGCTGGTCTTCTGAAGCGAATTCCGGACCAGAAGCCATGGCAAAAGAACCTGTTCATCATCAGGTAGATCATATCCTCCCACAAAGAGATGTGTGCTCAATATTTCCATAGCGTCGCGCTCTTCTACCTCGTCGGCTTGTTCGATCTCTGGAGTGGCCTTCGCACACTATTTATAAGCTCTGCTGGAACTTACCTTCTGTCTGCATATCTTGATAGTCCTTATATGCCATGGGTCAACTTTGTCTTCATCATGGGTCACATGTCGGTGAACCAGCTCCACCGCCAATTTCAGAACGCGCCTTCGAACGTTGACATCACTGGCGCGCAGATGGTCCTGGTCATGAAGCTTACTGCGTTCGCTTGGAACGTACAAGATGGAAAGTTACCCGAAAGCGAGCTGTCTGAATTCCAGAAAGAGCGAGCTGTTCGAAAGCTACCTGATATTCTTGATTACGCGGGATACGTACTCTTCTTTCCGTCACTTATGGCCGGCCCAGCCTTTGACTTCCAAGAGTACCACAAATACATCAGCTCCACGATGTTTGAGATTCCAGCTGGAATGGACCCATCAAAAGCGCCTCCAACACGGAAGAAGAGAAAGATCCCCCGCAGTGGAACACCCGCAATGTTCAAGATGGCTCAAGGTCTGGGATGGATTCTACTCTTCCTTCAGTTTTCGGGAATGTACTACCCTGACTTCCTCCTTGGTCCGGACTACATGAAGTACAACTTCTTTCGGCGAGTATGGATCCTACATATGCTTGGAGTTACAACTCGAATGAAGTATTATGGTGTCTGGACCTTGACAGAAGGAGCTTGTATACTTTCAGGGATAGGTTACAAAGGAGTTGATGTCAAAACAGGACGTGCCGACTGGAATCGCCTACAAAACGTGCGCCCTTGGGATATTGAGACCGCTCAAAACGCACACGCATACCTTGGGAATTGGAACATCAACACAAGTCACTGGCTTCGAAATTACATGTATCTGCGTGTCACGCCGAAAGGCAAAAAGCCAGGCAGTCGGGCTACTCTTGCGACCTTTGTAACAAGTGCATTTTGGCACGGTTTCTACCCAGGTTACTACTTGGCATTTGTCCTTGCTGCATTCCTGCAAATGATCGCAAAGAGTAAGTCCTACTTCCATGCTGACCGAAGCTACAGTACTAACTTTTAAAACCAGATGTTCGTCGTCTTGTTCGCCCATTCTTCTTCTCACCAGACGGCCTAAAAGAACTCCCGTCCAAGCGCTACTACGATGTCCTAACCTACCTTGTTACCCAACTAGCATTTTCATTCACTGTCTCACCTTTTATTCTCCTCACCATGCACGCCTCTCTCACGGTGTGGATACGAGTCTACCTGTACACTATCGTCGGTGTTGCTTGTTCATTTGGTTTCCTAAATTCTCCTGGGAAAGTTTACCTTATGAAGCAGCTCAAGAAGAGAAACAAGGGCGCGGAACTAAAGAGAACGCAGAGTGCAGAGAGACCTGGAGCCTTAGGTCTGCCCGACGATCCGGAGAAGGAGATTCAAGCGGTCATAGAGGAGGTGCAACAGGAGATCGAGAGGAGGAAGAAGGAAGGCGGTCCGCAAATGGGGCTCGAAGACATGAAAGCAAAACTGAACGAGAAGGTCGAGGAGCTGAGAAAGTCAAAATGAGGATGTTGATGATTTGACGAAGGACCTAGGGTTGCACCATAGTGAGAGGATAAGTAAGATGGTTCGCACGACTGCGAATGCTATAAGTATATATGCATCCGATCACAATATATATAACCCAGATCCTGGGGCCAATGCCTCACGCACACACTCCACATGTTCGTCAACTCATATGTCCCGCTTACCACAGCCATCAACAAGCATGATCTTTGGGGTCATTCCACAACGTATCGAGTGCCACCGTGAATCGTTGCACCACTCAGCAGACTAATTTAGACGCACATGTTGTTGAGTTTTTGGCCCCTTATTGACCTTATAACTATAAACTTAACCTCTACTATATCTAATAAGTTTCTATAAGGTATTTCCTTATTAGGAATAGCTTAATATTAGTAATTAATATTACTAATATTATCTACTTATATATATAAATACTCTATACTCTTATAGAAGTTTCTAGAACCCTCTAGAAACTTCTAGAGGTCTTTAGAAAACATGAACTTCTATAGAGTTCTATTAGATTCTACTATAGAATCTATAAGTTCTATAGAGTTCTACTCTACTCTATTCTATTCTAAGGAAACTACTAGAGCTATAGAATATATATGTATATCTAGAGGTCTAGAAGATTCCTATTATTAATTAAGAGAAGGATCTAGAATATATAAGGAGGAATATTATTAGGGCTAACACTAGAATAGACTTAACTAGAATACTATAGTCTAGTACGGTCCGTAATAGGTAGACCTAGGGTAAGCTAGCTAGAATAAGTAAGACTACTATATAAGTAGGCCGTATATACTTAATTCCTACTCTTTAGGAATTAACCTTATTAGAAGAGTAGACTACCCTTTTAAATATATTCCCGAATCCTCCTATAATCTATTAGACTACTATCCTACGTCTATAATCCTTATATTTTAATTTCTCTTTATATAGCACGACGGTAGTTTATAGAAATAGCTCTAACTACTTATTATAATACTCATGGTACCGCCTCTTATAGTAGACCTTCTCCTAATCTAAACGAGGAGAATAGTCTATCTATAACTACCCCTACTAATAACTATATCTTATAGACTATTATACTAATAACTCGTATAATATTCTATATAACTATAGAAGATATTATAGAATACAAGGATAGAGTCTATTATACTCTATCTTAGTCTAGTTCGAACTATACTAGATCTAACCTTAATATAAGGCTAGATCTTATTAATATTAACGAGTTAATCTATTAGAATTATCTAATATTAACTATACCTTATAATAATATATATACTAGACTATATAAAGAGAGGTAATAATAGATTTAACTTAAGTAATAACTATACGAACTCGACGAAGCTTAAGGACGTACTATAAGACTTAAAGCTATATTACGCGCTTTAGTTCTAGTAATAACTAATCTATATTTATATAGACCTATACTAACTAAAATAATCTATCCTAGTCTACTACTATCCTAATTACTCTAACCTAAGAAACTACCTTACTTTAATAGTAAAAGTAGAAAGAGTTTCTATATATAGACTTACTAATATAGCTGATTCTTCTATCTATTCACGAACGATAGTAATAAAATTAGATTCGCCTAGAACTACCTTAACCCGACGCCTTTAGAACGTTAGATAGTATACCGAATTAAATATTCTAAGGATACCTATAACTAGGACACGTTCACTAAATTTCTTCTCTAATATTTTAGCGATAGGGCTAAATAACGCGACTAGGCCTAGTGTAAGAATAGGGTTATTAGATAGTAGTATAGTTAGATAGAATAATAGAGTGTATTCTATTATAGAACGAATTACTACCGAACTCTTTCGGTAGAAATCTAAGAGTATATATATAAAGGGACGCCGATCTATCTAGCATGTGACTATTTACCGCCCTTTACGTTACCTCCTAACTCTATTAGCTAAGGTATATATAGGTCGGGTCCTATCTAAGGCTAAGTTCTAATAATTATCCCTTCCCTCTAGGAAGCTACCCTTAGCGACCTAGATTATTATCTATCTCTATATCCCTATTCTAAGTCTCATAAGACCTTAGTCGTTCTCTACGCTTCGTCTTAGATACTTACTAATATTTACTAATCTAAGATTTATATAAGCGTTTTCCTAACTAACTAGATTTTATCTATCTTAACTTCTTATATAGGTAAGATTATCTAATTAGGCCTAGCGTATCACGTAATATAATTAGATAAGCCCGGGTACTACCTATATTAAAATCTTTTCTTAGAAATATTCCTTTCTTTAAAAAACTTCTTAACTCTTTATAGAGTTTTTTAGATTATTAGGTATATCACCCGATCCTTATAGATATAGATTTATATAGATTTACTATAATTTAGTATGATTTACGTAATTTACTAATTTTCGTACCGTCCTTAGCTAGTAATAATATAATTTATAATAATCTATATAAATTAATAATAATCTTAATATAGTTTCCTGAAATCTTAATACTCTAAAGTAATTAGCGCGGAAATAGGCGCCTTCGAATAATCCCTATCTTATATACGTTACCGATATATCGAAAGCTATTAATCTACCCCGACCTAGGCCGGGCTCTAATAATCTAGCTATATATTATTATGGTTATCGCTTTCCGTTATATATTACTTACGGTAGTACTAAATCTATAATATATAGTACTTATATAACTAAGAAGCGTTATTACTTATAGATATTTAAGTAAGTTCGAAGAACTTTACGTAGATTTACTTATATTAGTATAGATTACTACTAGGCCTCTAGTAATCCCTACTAATAAGAAGTGTAGTACTACCGATCGTAACGCCTTAGAGAAGGCTTTCTATAAGCTATATATCTAAGGTAAGAGTTATATCTAGGAGTACGATTCTAATAAGATCCGTAAGGATTTATCGGAATCTACTATAGCTATTATTACCGCGATTACTAGGTAATATCGTTTTTCTTAAATCGTTATAGATTCTTACTAATATATATTAATCTCTATAATAGTACTAAAATCTCTACCACTTCGGACTTCTTTCTATATACCAGCGATATTAGAATTCCTAGAAAAGGTTCTAGTAAAAAGGCTAAGGTTCCTTCCTCGTATATACTAAAGAGCCGTAAATTTAGAGAAGATAGCTCTAATCTAGAAGTTTCTATACTAAAGGTATATAGTTCTATACTAATCGTTAAATCTTTTCGCTGATTTATATAATTCTTAGTATACCCGCGCCGGTCCGTCCCTCTCTATCCCGGGTCCCGCCGCTCTATAGGTTTCTATAGAGGAGTTTATAGCTATAAGACGCGTTATATAGAATTTATAGCGTTAGAACGAAAGGCTAGAGACTTATATTATAAAGCTCTATACTATGCTAAATAAGAACTAGCGGAAGGAATTAGATATAACTATCGCGGTAATTAGTACTTCTACTCCTACTCCGACTTAATTAGTTTAGATCTATACTAATTAGTACTAATATATCTCTTTTATCTAGCGTTTTTGGTTTTTCGGTTTTAATTTTAAAGCGATCTTACTTCTTCTAGATAGATTAGTGCGAGTTTATATAGATCTATATAGATCTTTATATTTTCTTTTAGCTTTCTTAATTTTATCTTTCTTTAATAATAACTTCTTTAATCTCTTTAGTAATCTATACCGATCTATACCGATTTTCGATATCTATTTCTCTTAGTAAATTATTTTTCTAAGTCTCTTTTTTAGTTAAATTTTTAAAGTTCTAAGTTTGAACTTTCTAAGGAAGTTCCTTAATTCCTTAGAATGTTTTAAAGATCTATATCTCTTTTACCTTCTTCCTTTTAGACAGCCGTTCTCGGCGCTAAACTATACTAAAAAACGTCGAATCGCTGTACTTTAGTATAATTCTCTACGATTCCGCGGCTTCCTTTACTAATCGCTACTTATATACTAATATCGCTACTTTACTAATGTTTATTATAGGTTCCTAAGTATCTTTATTAGGATTATATTCTTTCTAACGAATTTTATATAGTCACGTACTATCTTTGGCGCGTTACTAGCTAAGTATCTACTTAACTTTATAGATATCTATACCTTCTTACGTAACTACTTTATATAGTATCTATTTAGAATAATCCGGTAATAATAAGGTATAAAATAGCTCGAGAAGCGTAATATAGAATATATTATATATCTTTAATATAGGAGGGAGTTATAACTCGTACGCCTAGTTATTAATTACACGAGTAATCTTATATAGATCTATTATTATATAGTTAAGCTTCTTCTTTAGCCTAATACTACGAATATTCTTACTATTTAGTAAAACTTTATCCCTAACATTAAAGATCATAGGTTTTCTACCCTTATTATAGTGCGATTTACTATAATTCATAGTATCTTATAGTAACTTTATAACGCTTCTTTACGTTTAGAATAGTTCTATAGTAATTTCTATTACTTTAATATTAGGTCGTTCTACTTTAAACTAAGTCTCTAAGAACTATGTATTATAGTTCTAACCGAAATCTCTATAGAGATATTAAAAATATTAGGAATAAGGATCCCTAAGAGGCTAACTTGGTCCATTCGGGGTAATACAGCGAGATACATACCTTAATCGATAGAGTATACCGAGTATACCAACTACTACTATACGCATATACGTATAGCGTCGAAACCAAGACGTTATCGCCGTATAAAGATATATATATACCCTCTTAAAATCCTCACGGAGATAGAGACACGGACCACGCTACTAGAACGCCAATACGCCGACCCCCTTTTATTAGTTAAGGGTAGCCCTTAACTAATAAATATGGCGGCCTTAGGCACCGATATACCCCGGTATATACCGGATATACCCCTACCGGTATAATAGAAAAGGCTATATAGCGATATTACCGAGGGTAACTATATACCTATTGTAGAAGGCCGTTCCTACAGCCCTACATGTATGTGTCCCTAGCTCGATTACATGGCTCATTATATATTTAAGGAGGGCGTTTTCCTCGGTCATTCTGCTCCACACGCTTCCCCCATCACTAATATTCGATAATTCAACCTTTCCTTACGTTCATGGGCCTCTATAGGTATTGATTATTAGGCTTAGCTATTAATGAATTGATTGAGAGTATTATATAGACCTGTCCTATCGTAAAAGAGAACTAATAAGAAGTCGTGCGTTTAAAGAGAACTCATAATACCTAGAAGAGATACTTGTGAGTTCGTCGCGACTACTATACTAAGAATATAGCTATTTATAAAAAGGGATATACGTGGCGATAGCTCATTATAATTTTAGAGGTCGTACCCGGACTACGAACTTACAGGGGGAGATTAGGACTCCGAAACTAGCTTAGAGG